CAGGTTGATGCCTCCCGCGCGAGGGCCTGCTTTCGGAGCAGGGGAGGGGCTGGGGAAGGGGGCCGGTGTGACACTTTTAGCTTGGTGAGGCGAAGGGATTGTTGGTGATTCTTGCAATGTAACACCCAAAACCGATTGTGTTTGTGCTATAAATGGGTCTAGAGCAGAGGGAACGGCCTGTTGTCGAACAGATACGGCAGGAGAAGGAACAGGACCAACAGGGGACATTGTGGGCACCTTTTCGGAGGTAAGATCCATTTCGGGCTGGGGAGGACCTTGTTCAATGGAGAACGGACGAGCCCGTTTCGGTTCGGCCTGGGACTCTTCTACATCCTCCAGGGCACGCTTGTTCACAGGAGGATGAACAGGACTACTTCGGACAAGTATCGGAGAAACCCCAGCTGGCAAACCTGCAGAGAAAACGGGGGGGGCGGTTTCGGAGGGTTCCTTTTCGGGAACAACATCGGCAAATTTTGGAGGGCGGGGAGGGAATCGTGGCCTCTCATTTCGGGCTGTAGATGGTTCCGGTTGAGGTCCTTCTTCCCCATCATCTTGACCCAAGCTGGAATCTTGAACAAGAATAGGACCAGCTGGAGAAGACAGTTCTGTTTCTCCCTAAAAGTCAGCTGCTGAGACTTGCTTTCAGTTCGGAACCTAGAAAACTCACCTCCGAACGAGGTTGCTCTCTAGCAGACGTAGGCGCTTCGGTGAGAGGTTTCGGAGAAGGTCTGACAACCCATTTCGGACCGGGTTTTGCAGCATCCCCAGCTGCGACAGTGCCTCCCCTAGCAGTCCTACGCTTGTCCTTCGGTCCTACCGGTTGCTGCAGTGGCGCATTTGAGAACCCAATCGCCGTGGAAGCTGCAGGGGGAGCTTTTTCTTTTCCCTTTCCTTTTCCTTTTTCGGGAGGGGGGGGAGAAACCGATTTCTTGGGAGCCGAAGCTCTTGTGGAGCGTGTTGTGGTGGCTGGCCGGCGAGGTTTCGGAGGGGAGGGATGTGGTGAATGTTCAGAGTCCGATGAGTCCGAATCAGAATCCGAGCTGTCCTCAGGCTTGTCCTGACCTTGTGATGACTTTTTCGGTCGTTTTTCACTTTCGGAGGACTCTTCGACAAGGAAATTGGTCGGCTTGCCCTTGAGGGAGCAGGTGAGAGGGGGCTTTGTGGAGTTATAACAGTGCACACAGACACGAAACTTTCCTTCGTCCCAACGGTTGAGAAACACTGGTCGACCATCAGGTACATTGACACATTTCACTTCGGGATGTCTGAGATCAGCATTGAGTTTCGTTAATTTCTCCCGAATTCGGGAGCCATATTTGATAAACCAATACTCACGTGTAATTGAAAGCCGAAACACAAAACTGGACATGACAGTTTGGCTTTGTGGCCGACTCATCCGCCGAATAACATCGTGACCCTCTAGTAATCGCCCGAATACCCTCTTCCTTCATTTGTTTCGGGGTAGCTTCCCGAAGTCCTAGCTTTTCAGCAAGCTGAGGAAGATACTTCGGCTCTGCATGCCACCAGGGCTGGAGGTAGAACCCTATCTCAGCTTGAAAAGAACGAAGTGATTTCTCATTCTTCCAAATGGGGTGTTGTGGCTGAAGATACTTTTGGAAGTGAACATGGTCGGGGTGTAATTTGTAACCCTTCGGAGGGTTTACACTGGATTTATCTGTTTTTGGGTCGAAGGGGTTCGGCATTTTGAGAAAGAGGTCAAAGAGGTCAGAGAGATTGGGAGGAAGGGGGAGTGGGAAGACTCTAATTTTGATGATAAGATAATTCGGACGAGCCAAGGCGGAAGGTGAGATGAAGCACACAGATGCAGAATGAGCAGTGAGATCAGTTGAGAGTGAGCAGTGGAGAGCAGATGAAAAACGCTGGCTAATGTATGCTGGAAAAAGATATGAAGATACTGAAGTGAAGTGAAGTGAAGAGAAGAAGTGAATTGAAGGAATGAAAAAGGGGGAAAATCGCGTCAGCCCGTGTTAGTACTTAGTAGAAGTTCAATCAACACATCACCATCAGACACGTCAACATGATGGATCCTTAAGAGAGTTTTGTGCATTCAGAGGATGTATTACCATGAACATGAACATACATACATACTTACATACATGAAAGAAGCTATTCACTTGGGTAGATTGGTAGTCAGTAGTGAGTATGTGACTATCACCGAAAGCTCCCGAATTCGGCCGAAAGGGGACCGAAAAGGAAGTAGGATTTCGGGCTGGGGACATTGCCCATGCCCCTGTGGTCAATACTCCGAAAGCTGTGCCGAAAATGGTATGAATAGACTCAGAAGGCGTCAGGCATTCCAATGATATCAGAAAAGCCACGGAAAGATGATTTTTTAATAGTGAAGGTATTTGGGTCAGTAGTGACGGGATATGGGAGTTGAACGTCGTATTTTGGGAGAAAGTGGCAAAATTTCGTCGGGATTAATTCGAGTTCCGTCGGGATTATCCACTTTTGCGACGAAAGACGGAAAGATGGATGGATGGTGCCTGAACGAGTTGAGTCACGTGACGTCTTTCTTTGAGCTGAGCAACCACTCGAACTATCATGTTCAATTGCCTCAAAGTAGACTTTTGCCTCAGGTTTCAACTCTCACACACAAAACAGTAAAGGCCCAATAGCAGTAGAAGCGGCAAATACACAGAAATGACTCTCGCAACTCTATCGTTCAAGGTATGTTTGTCTTCCTCTGCTTTCGATTTTATCTCTCTGTCCTGCCCACCCTTCAAAGCCTTGCTTCTTGCCTGTGAATACTGTACATGTGTCCCTGCCTCCCTCTACTTTCTCTCATCTTCGAACGTTTGTGCTGTATTTTGTCGACTTTTTCAATTTTTCAAGATGACCGTCTCAATGGACCTCATGACTGACTCGCGACAGACTGAATTTGCGGTCGACATGACTTGTCAAAACGTATGTCTATATTTCCATTTACACTCAGACGTATCGGTCGTCACCTCCCGCCGCAATAATTCGAGTATACGAAGTATCTGATCTACCAGTGCGTCGACGCAGTGTCAGAAGCTTTGCACGATGTACCCGGCATTGAGCGATACGACATAGATCTCTCTAAGAAACAAGTCACTATCATCGGTCGTAGTGAGTTTGCGTTTGACCTTCTTCACTTCATATGCCTCAGCTTATAATTCAGCACCACCGTCACATCTTCTATCCGCTCTTAAAGCCACCCATCGTCAAGTCATCGTCCGTGGCTCTTCATCAGCTTCTCCCTCCTCACAATCCCAAGCTGCCGTGTCTATCCTCGAATCTCCCCTTCCTATCCCATCCTCCGTTGCTTCAACCTCTTTCCCCGCATTGGCAGGTGAAAACCCCGAACGTGCTTTGCCAGGGATGAATGAAGCCGAGTTCACACAGAAGGTATTTGGAATCTGTCGTTTTGTACAAATAGCTCCGAAGCTCGTCTTGATGGATCTCACTGTTCGTCTCCCCCCTCTAGCTCGTGTGGGTTTAGGTCTGGGAGAGAGATACGACGTCTACATCTCTTCTACAGGTAACATGATATCTCCTCCTGAAACGACCGGAAAGCCATATCTGCGTCTTGGACAGGTCAAATTGGACGAGGGCGGATATGGTGATATGTTCCGCGAGGTCGAAGGTGAATTGTGGGAATGGATAGGGAGGGGATGTATTGTTCAAGCTGCCTCGGCGATCTCGGCGGAGGAGAAGGTCAAGATAGAAGCGACGCCGACGTCGACCATCGGCAAGATCTTCGCCGGTGTGGTTGCTCGAAGTGCGGGAGTCTGGGGGAACGATAAGACTGTTTGTGCCTGTAGTGGGAGGACCATGTGGGAGGAAGGGAGAGAGATGGAATTGAAGAGTATGCTTTGATGTATGTAGTGACTTGATATCGAAATGATGTATCGACTTCTGCAGCTCTTGTCTTTGCGGTGATCAGAGCATCGTATTGGTAGGTCGACCTAGAAGATGATCAGTCAAAAGTCACTCTGCGCTCCGTGAATCCAGGAAAACCTACTTCAAAGTTGTATCAGCACGGTGAGATCCTTCTTGCTTCAAAAGAGAAAGGGTGCTTCTTGGAGGACGACCTCGACCCACTATGTCCCGAATTCCCATATCAGCCATCCGATCCAACATATCCCTAGTACTGCCCAGAAGACCAATAAGCGCCATCTTACTCGTTCTCTCTCTCTTACCTGCCTAGTGTGCACGCCCACCTCCCTTTGTTCTGCCGGTTCGACAACATAAATCGTCGTTTTTTCCTCCCTGGTGTATCTTCGTCCATTGACGATGGTCACTACCTGCCTCGTTGTGGTCTCCGAGGTAACGGAGATGACCATGCCCCTCTACCCTTCCTTCATGAGGCATTGATGGAATACGTTGACCATCATCAGTCTTCTATTGAGAGAAAGTTGTTGAGGATTGTGTGGTCACGTGATCACTTTCTCCGATCATCGGACCGCTTGTCCTCACTCAAATGTTCACGCTGTCCATCACTGCGTCACTTGCATGCCTTGACCTCACTCACAGCGCATGCCAGACATGCCTGCGACTATTTGATATGCTGTTAGGTGCGTGGATGTAGGGTAGACACTTATAATTGTGATACTCTTCACATTTTATCATTTCATCCCCTCTCTATTCTCCGTTCCATCCCTCTCTCCCCGCGTAAAATGGACAATTCAATCATCAAAAGCTTTGTAGAGTCTTCCGCGGCCGAATGGACATTGATACTTTCTCTCGTCTTTGGAGGATGTTGCTCGTACGTTTGTGTATTTCTCATAACGATGAAGCTGATGGACAGCAATGTATGGGCACTCGAAGCTGTCTTAAGGGACTATCCTCATTCCGGTGCGTCCCGAGTCATTTCACACATACTCCCACAACCACCCACATCGGACCAGTCAGACTCGTTCAACTCACTGGGGCACACTATCGCTATGAAGCTCAGAAGTGATTTGAAATCGGTCGAGCTATGGTGGACCCTGAGATATGATGTGTAACTGATGTATAGGCACATTCCTCACTTTCGCTCAATTCATCTGGGTAGCGCTGCAAACAGCTTCCTCTCAACTGGTTCTACCCCCAGGAAAAGGTTTCCGTCTACCTCAACTAAGACAGCGCAAAGTACCGATGAAAAGATGGATCGTTCAGACCGTCATGTTCGTTCTCATCAGTCTTAGTAAGTTCCACGTGGGTAACATGATGCCGTGCTGATGGATAGTGAACAACGCTACGTTCGGTTTGAAGGTATATTCCCTGCGACATTGCTGATGTCATGGATTGATGATAGATACCCATGGTCGTCCATATCATCTTCCGTAGCGGAGGTAAGTCTCTTCTACGCTGAACTGCTCGATCGATGGCCGTTAATGGGAAGGACTGTGTATGTCCATGTTGGTCGGTAGGTTGTTTGCCGGGAAGAGATATTCGTTTGGACAGATCGTAAGTCCTACTCGACTCATACCTTCATCCTCTGTCAAGGCGCCGCGCGAACTGTCTTCACAAGACGCATTGTTATGTCTTATCAGTTGAGAGAAATGATGAGGATCACTAACTTTGATTGTCCTCCGGAGCCCTCATCACCGTCGGTATCATCTTAGCCACACTTTCAGCTCCTCGACCACATCGTCCAACAGGCCCGACTTCTCTTTTCAAAAGCCCCAAATCGCAGAGCTGGGTTCCAGAGCATTACGAATACGCCGTTGGCGTAGGATTTCTATCAATATCACTGGTACTGGGCTCTTGGCTGGGTTTATGGCAAGAAGAAACGTACAAGAGGTATGGGAAACAATGGAGGGAATCTTTGTTCTACAGTGTGAGTACATATTTTCTCTTTTTCAACTATATTTCCCCGTTGAGTCGCGCAAAAATACTCCGTTCAAGCGAAAGAGAGAGAATATTAGCCTCAGCTCTACTGGAAAGGTTGTTAGCTGATTCAAACAGCATTTCCTCTCCATCCCCTTCTTTCTACCTTTATACAGCAACATCACTTCCACTTTCCTTGCATATACGCGATCCCCTCCTCTACTTCTCTTCGCCCTTCCCTCCGCTGCCCCAGCGTCTATATACACATTTGGACCTCATCACACTACGCAACAGTGGTTGGAATGGAAACCCGTTTCTGTTCCCGGAGCCCTGGTTGCTTTGCTGGTGAATGTCACCACGCAGGGATTATGCATTAGAGGTGTCAATCGTCTTACCTCGGTAAGTTCTCCTCCATCCTCTGTTGCCCCTAATCTCTCTCTTTGATACTCTCCTCTCCCTCCTCTGGTATCTTCCATAACTCCCTCTTTGCATCCATCCAAGTTTCTTTCAGTGATCGTGGTCAAAGAACAATGTCAGTCCATTCTTTCTAGCCTTATTGACTTACAGCGCGTCAACGCTACAACGGTCAACCTCGTCCTTACAGTCCGCAAGGCGATCTCGCTCGGTATAAGTGTATGGTACTACGGATCTGGTGTGACACCAGGTCTTTTTTGGGGAGGGATCATGGTCCTCTGTCAGTCTCTCCTTCTTCCACTTCATACGTACCACTGACGATCAGCGGGAACTCTTCTATACTCAGTTTCAAAAGGTCTATCGTCACAAGTAGCATATGTCGTTGAGAAAAGCATCAAACTTCCCTTCGACGATACGGAAGTTGACCAAATTGAGGATGAAGACGAATTAGACATTTTAGATGCCGACGTGAATAGCGCCGTGGTATCTCTTGATCAAGTGGAGATTCATTTGGAAAAGATAGAAGAGGTCGTCGTTCCTGATGACACTGTTCAGTCGGAAGAGTTGATCAAGTCAGTAGCTGAGATGTCTGAGGTCGAAGAAGGGGAAGGATTGAGGAAACGTTTGGTACAATCGACCGAGGATGAATCATGAGATTCTATTCTGACGGAAGACACACACATCGAGAGTGATCATCTACACACGTTGCATATTGCATCTGTTCATACTGTAGAATGATGATTGTATTTATCTGTATGCCAAAATGCATTTTCCATTTCACATGATATAACGTGATTAAATAGTTGTGTGAAGGGGCAATGGAACGATAAGCGATTGATGAACTACGATAGTAATCTCATTGTCGCTTGAGCAACCTTGGTCGTTGACTGACAACCCTAAAATATTAGCTGAGCACATGAGGTATGTGGTGAGAGTGAGGACTGACATTTTATTACCGTTCTTATCTTTTGGTCGACGGGTTCGTTTACCGCGAGTGAGCCAGCCGTATATTGATCGAGGATGTTTGTTTCCCTTGGACTTTCCACGACCACCTGGGAGTGAGCGTCGGCTATCCTTGAGAAAAAAGGTCACATAGTGTGCGCTTTTGTTACCCTCTACTGGCCAAAGATGCAGGCGCTATGTGGATGACAGGAGGGAGGAGGGGAAATGAGTCTAAGGGGGAATACAGAGGAAGGAAGGAAGGAAGGAGAGAGAGCTAATTACTCACCTCCATGAGGATGATCCGCAGCGTTCATAGCTACACCTCTGACTCTAGGTCGTATACCTAGCCATCTTGATCTACCTGCCTTTCCGAGTTGTCGAGAATGATGTTCTTTACTGTCTAATCAGTTTCATTCAGCAAAAAAGTCCATTGAGCATGACCATCTTTTCGTCATCATTCCTGGGGCGATACAGATGTGGAACGAAGAAGTGTTGATGCAAATGAAGAGATAATATATATGAGGAAACTTGACTCACTTGCTCACTGTCCCAATGGTTGCTACACACCCAGGTTCTACCCTTCTAACTTCCCCACTTTGTAATTTTATCAATACCGAACCATTACTTTTTATTCTCTTTCCATCTTTATCCAACCCACCACCCATTTTCAAGATATCTGAACCTCCCAAAGCCTCACCCTTAGGTCCATGATGTGCCACAACTTGAGCATTACTACCTGCCGATCTACATAATAACATTTTCCCATTCGCACTCAAAGCGATATTATGTATCACAGTTCCTGGTGGAATTAAATAAAGTGGTAAAACATTACCTATCTTTAAAGTACCAGTTCTTAATAAACCTAAAGCTCTAGAATCTGATGTATCTCCTGATTGACCTGCTATTCCTGTCCAACCTTCAACAAAACCTGCTGGTATACCAGAACGATAAGAAGTTACAATATCACCTGCTCTTAAACCTTCAGGTGCTAAGATGTATGACCAACCAGCTTTCACTTCATCTCTTTGCGGCTTTTCTCCTAGAGATGAAGTTTTCTTCTTGGGTAATTCGGCAAGTATTGCACCTTCTTCAGGGGAAACATTTGGGGATGGGATTGATGATATATTTCGACGTCGGATAAGTGCGATATGAGAAGATCTACCAGGATCATATTCGATTCTAATAACATCATGTTCTCCACCTTCTAATCGGTAGAAATCGACGGTACGTAATCTACGTCGATGACCACCACCGACATGTCGATTAACAATTCGACCTGTATGATTACGACCTCCTTTTTTTCTTTGAGGTAGAGTGAGTTCACGAAGAGGTTGACCGGAATAGAGATGGGGATGATAAGGGTGGACGAGATGACGAAGGGACTATAGAGTCAGTGTTAGTGTCAAAGTCAACTCTCTATGATCATACACCAGTACGATCAAACGTTTGTACATATTTCAGACAATAATGGGTACGATCAGGAATATATGAGGATAGACAGAAGGTCGACTTGTGAACTCACAGGGATAGCAGGGAATCCTTTCCCAGTGTATCTTTTCAATATAGCTCCACCTTGTTGTGCATTCCTCCCAGTGCTGGAGGTATCGAACAAGACGTCCGGAGCATCTGAACGTACAGGGGGAACGTCGGTTTCTGTGGCATACCTTCTGAGTGGGGTAAACCTTGAGGACGATGCTATTGTCCACAGAAGTGATCTGCGAGCTCCGGCTGTGCCTCTGACCAGTGCTGACATCCTCGTAGGGTGGAATGGAGACAGTGGACGAGGGAGTCCTGATGGTGAAAGAAAATAGCTAGAGTATGAAATGAAAATGTGGTCGAAATTGTCAGAATGGCAATCTCGGGAAGGCTGAGTTTTCTGGGAAATTTCAATGGTGATTTTCTCTGAAAACCGAGTTTTCAGTCACGCTCATGCCCACTTTGTGACTTTCGTCCTCCAGAGCTAAGTAGTATTGTACGACTCTAGAGTACACTGTTGCTCTTGATAATCGACTTCAAGATGGTTTCCCTCACTATCACCTGTCCTGGGAAACCTACCATCCATCTAGACTTTCCCTCCAAACCTCCAGGCGCGATAACAGTAGCCGATATCAAATCTGCTATTCAAGCGAAATTTCCAAAGGTGAGTTTCTTTTTCACTCCGTCTTTCTCGCTCTCCCTCAATCGTCTGTCTTGCTCTGCTGAGGAGTCTATGAAAGAGTGTCATGAGTGCCAGTTGAGATAGCTCATCGAGTGAAACCTGTCCAAGAGCTGACCATCAGTTCGTCCCCGCTAGACAACGACTGACGGCACCTTCCCCTGCTGGACTTAAACCTGTTCCTCTAGTGGATGAAAGCAAGTCTTTGGACGATTATGGGGTAGGCGAGGGAGGTCAGTTGAAGTTGAAAGATTTGGGGAGACAAGTGGGATATAGGGTTTTATATCTTTGGGAATATGTAAGTTGTGGAGAGTAATGGTAATGTCAGCTAATTATAGGCTGGACCAGTGTTTTTGGTACCGATTTGGTTGAGATATTCTTATCTTCTTTGGGGAAAATATGAACAGTCTTCTCTTCAAATGTGAGTTCCGTCATTCCCCCTTACCCTCTACCCCACCTACTCACCTCTCACACCCTCGCGTTCTTTCTTTTCCTGTGACAATCATCTCCAATAATCCCAAGAGAAGGACAGAATTGCTCCACTCACACTGGGTGAGCAGAAATGATATGACAATAAATCGACTAGCTTCGGTCGGGGCAGTCAGAAGTAGTTTAGACGTACTCGCCTGTGATGATTGCTCAATAATTACTGCGTACTCATTGACAGTGCCGTGGAACGGATCCTCGTCCTACATTTTCTCAAACGTTTTCTCGAATCTGCATTCCTTCATTCCTTCTCCCGTGCCACACTGCCCTTAGCATATGTCTTCCGCAAGTAAGTCTCTCCCTTTCTCTTGCAATCACTCTAATGAAATGAATAGCTAATTCTCAGCTCTCTGTATTACTGGGGAGTATGCGGTTTATTAATCCCCCTCACACTGTTTCGTCCAGCATATGGGAACGACGGATTGGTAGGTAAATGGGCCTTGCTCAATTCTCCTGCATGGGTAGGAGGATGGAGTATTTTCATCTTGGTAAATCCATCACTTGACTTCTTGCACCCTTTTCTTAATCCCACACTCAATGACCCATGTTATGCTGTATTATCTTCATCTCCCACCTTGAGTCATACCGTGTTTTCCTACACCCCATGTGACCCCATCCCCTTCTCTAGGATAAGGAATCGTCGGGATGAGAATATGAAGACTTGCATACCATTGCAAAGACTTCGATTGCTGACAGGTAGATCACCGAGCTACTCAACTTCAACGCCCATGTTCATCTTCGATCTCTCCGTCAACCACCTGGCAAACCTCGCAAATACCCCACTGGCTTCGGTTTCGGTCATGTGGTCTGTGCGAATTACTTTTTCGAAACTCTCGGCGTTTGTGCATTGGTCATCATGACAGCTGGTGATTTTGGTAGTAAGTCAAGTACTCCTTATCCTCTGTCGCTATTTTATCGTTCTACATAATCGTCTTGCTTACATTCCCTTATCACGCTCGTCTCATTTGGTGTTGCCGAGCTGATCACGAGCCATCGTTTATCTCTCCATTGCGACTTTCTTCATGCGACTTTGGTCTTCACAGAAGTACGCAAGATACAAGAAAGAATTCAACCCGAAAGTCTTTCCTGGGAAAAGGTGGAAGATGTTTCCTTTGGTTTACTAAATCACACGTGGATTGGAATGGCAATTCACATATAAAATAGTCACCTTTGATATCAGGACCAAATGCAACGATTCATTTCTTACATGGACCACGGCTGGAAAACTGATCTGTTTATGCCGGACGTGGAGTGTAACATACAGTTCTATGTGCTTACAACAAATAGCTGATTGAATAGTTGAATCCTGAGTACCAGTCTAATCGCTTTCATACCCCGCTAAAAACGCGATTCCCCCTGGTACGACCTCTTGAGCACCTTGCGTCTCACTCGACATCTGCTTAGTCTTTGATATCGTCTTCTTCGGAGGCCCAAAACCAAAGAGCATATCTGTCGTTGCTCCAAAAGGATCATATTTCCTTGCTGTAGATTTTCTCAACAAACTTCCCAAATCCGGTTTTCCCTTTCCATCCTTCAATTTCATCTTTTCTTCCACTACCTCCTCTATTCCTCCATCTGACAACTCTTCTTCGTCCTCCATTCCTGGCTCACGATCAGTAGATGACGGACCAACAGGTAATCCCGCTCTCTCCCTTTTCACCTCCCATAAAGCTCTAGCATCTTCCACATCTTCTTCTCCTAAATCAACATCACCATTCAACCCATATTGTTCTCGTAATCCATCATCCCTATTCTGTTTCTCCAAAAGTAATTTCTTTTCCTCTCGGAATCGTCGACGTAAAGCTGACGAAACGAGATAAGGGTCAGAAGATAGACGATCTGATTGATGTGATAGTTCGGTGAGACGGGAAGAATTTGTTTTCGCCCATTTTTGTTGATTGATAGTTTTCTCTACGTGACCAAATGGATCGGCTGGAGGTTCTGAGGCCGAAGGTGCTTCGTTGTCTGAACGTATCAACTAATAGGTTTTCAACGATATACACGGCAAAAGTGAGGGGAGTTCAAAGAAGATGGAGATGCAGAGAGGAAGGAGTGGTAAGGTGAAGAACAACTCACCATGTACGGCATAACCTCCATTAGCAGAAGGATCCCAATCTTCATCTTTCTTCCTAGCTCCTTCATGTACGATATAAGCTGCGTTCTAATTAAGTGTCAGTCGAGTCTTGCGCTCTTATAAGTCTTACTCCCAGAATCACCAATCACATGGCACACTTCAGTCTCTCAATTCGATGAGAAGGCTAGAAAGCGTAGAAACACTGAAATATTGACAGTGGAAGTTTGCTTCAGATAGATCGACAATGTAGAGGAGAGGATCTGGTTGGCGAAAACAACATAACTTAGACGAGTGGGACGAGAGCAAAATTGGAATATATGAGTTGAGGGGAACGAGTAACTAGAAGGTAATACGAACTCACCTTGGGATCCGTCCGTAATTCAAACCATCCTGAACAAAGATGACATTTACATCTAAATCCGAAAATAGGAGTAGAATAATAATTCCCAACTTTCTTTTTTTGAGCGTTATAACGAACTCCAGCACCTATATGAGCCTAAAACCGTCAGATAACTATTCCCAACTCTGAGTACTCTCCATGCCTCAGAATCCCAGATGTATTATATCCTTCGTGTCCGTTTTCTTGAAGCTTTTCTATTACGACTAATTCAAACGTTCGTCGACAGCATGAAATTTCTGGATTGAGGTGGAGTTTAAGGACTGTGAAGATGCTCCAAAGAACGGGAAACGACAGGCAAAAGTCCTGTATGCTCAAATGAATATTAAGAGTCATCCTCATGATGACATCTCTCGTCCTTGCACTAACAAAATGATAACGTCGAACCGGGTAGAGGTGATGATCATACGGAAACATTGGACAGCATGAAATAGTGTAACAAAGATAGGTATATGTAAGATGGGACGAAAACTCGTAAAATGAACTCACCCCACAACTCCCACACCAAATATTGAACGGTAATTCGAACCTTTCCCTTCAGCTACTAACCTTTACCTGTGATAGATAATACATACCGAACTATCAAAATACCTTTATCTATATCTTTCGCTCTTTTCCCCAAAGCATGTTTTTTACCTTGATGAGCGTTCAGGGTAGAATTTTGACGGGGATCGAAATCCGGGGGAACGTATCTGACCTCAGCTATCTTCTCACATACACAAGGTGAAGCCTCAACAACTAGAGTTTGACCAGTGCTTTGAACAAGCACAAAGAGAACAGGAGGGAAGATACGCACCTGTTAAAGCCCTGCATGATTCTCAAATACTGGGTAGTGTAGACGAGATGAGAAGAAAGAGAGAGAGACGAGCGAAAGGTGCTTGATGGTTTGGTGGCGAAAGGTTTTGAAAGGAACGGTAAATTATGAATGCTTTACATGCGATGCTATGCTGACACTATACTACAACACCTACTTTACACCAAATCTCACTATGGCCCCATCTAACTACTTACCCCCAAGAGAGCTTTCAATGCAGTCTCATCAGACTCCACATGTGTCACTTCTACCCCACCCTTCTTCTCTTTCTCAGATGCCACTTCCTCCCCAAGACTCTCGCTTCGCAATTCAACCTTGTGGTCCGGTTCAGATATCACAGTCTCTTTCTGTTGTGGAGTGACAGTGACGGGAGGAACTGGAGCGTCGGTCTCGTCTGACCAGAGGATCTCGCCAGGTTTACCTAGCCATACCCATGATTTGTGGTTTTTGTGAAGTGTGCCGTTAGGTTCGATGAGGACATCTCGGCTGACAAGTTCCATAAGGATACGCGCGACATTTGTGGCGTCCTGAGATAATCAATTTCCTCGCCATTATTCACAGCTGGACCAGATAACTGAAACCATAATGGGGTGATCATGATGAGGACTAGAGATTGGTATGAGGAATGGAGATCAAGGTATATCGAGAAAGCCCAACCACTCACCGCTACACCAGAATGCTGTTGTCCTTCAAACTCCAACCCTAAAGCCTCAAGCTGTCCTGTGATAGTGAAAAAAAATCTCTTCTTTGAATCGCTCTTCCCCGCTGTTCTTCCCGTTGATATCCTACTCAATGCCCGTTTGTTGGCAGGTTGATCAGGATGATTTTTCACATACTCGGCCCGTCGAGCGGTTTCTGATAGATACGTATGCGTGGCAAGTTTGATGTTGAGATAAGGACCGAGGAAGTATCTGGGGTATCGGACGGGGGAAAGAGGAGTGATATGTAACTGCTTTGGGACCTTCTTGTCAGCTTTTCCTCTCACCTTTTAGGTATATATCTTTGACGAACAAAGTCACGGAGATCCCAAGGCTATAACGTTAGCATAATAGTCTGCATCCCTGACGTCAAGACTGACCCCATCAGTAACCCAGAGAGCATCTTTCAGTTGATCACCATCTCTGAGATCCCATTTATCTAACCATGCTTCAAACTGTCGGACCACTTCCGGGAACGCGGGACTGGCATCCACAGTTTCCTGATGTTCAGCATCAGCAGTGAATGTGGTGGGGGCAGCTGACCTGAGTGATGCGTGTGAGACTTTTGCAGAACTCTGTGAGCTGAGGCCGCCAAGTAGGTTTGACATAAGTGTGAAACGTATCGATGATTTTGAGGGTCTGTTCAGGAGCTGACGAGGATGAGTCGGAACCGCTGGAAATCGGCACTGAAGATGACGTAGATGAGGTTGTAGTCGGGAGCTCTTCCACCCATCGAAGCAGCACCACAGGGAACTCCTATGGTGTCAGCTTTGACGTCCGTAGTGAGTCATGGTCTGCAGATGACTGGAGAGAATGATGAGGCTGTTTGGGCAGGATGAGGTCGTGGGGAAAAGGGGGAAAGTAGGAAAGCCTCACAATAATCTCATTTGGATAATCAAACTCTTTGCCTGACCGACAAGTCGCCTCCACGTCAAAACATAGAAGACTCCTATACTTTCCATTCCTCCTCTCTGAGGTCTCTTCACCCGATCTCCCAACTTCTAGCTCCTCACTATTGGAGATACCACGTGGAGCAGTAGGGTCGAAACTGGGTGCCGCCCCGTTGAGCTTTGTCTTGTTCTTAGTTTCGATCGGCGTTTCACGAGTTTCAACATCTGAGGTGTCGTCGATTGTCTCTGGCTGACGAGATGTAGAACGACGAAAAGCGTTCAGTAGACGACTGAGATGTTAGATCTCAACTCGATTCCAATGAAATAGAGAGAGTCAGTCAGAACAAGGTAAGCGTTGAGAGAAGAAGGGGGGGAACCTTACCGGAACAACGTCTCTTTCTTCCCTTTGGGATCCAGACCGAGTTGCTCGAGAGATTCACGCATCTGATTCACTGTGGCTCTCTTCGTTGGTCTACAGAGAGGGACAGGAGTGGATGAGCCGTGAGTCGGAATGGACATGCGTTTCTCCAAGAAATTAAAAGAGTGATTTCAAGGATATGAGTAGTGTGAGAAAGGAGAGGAAACGAAGATTAAGCTCCAAAGGGCAAGATGGAGTGCGAGTGAAACCACAGTTCTACTGGATGTAAGTAAGAGATCGAGTGAGAGGCAAGAAGACAAGAGATGATGATGAGAGATGATGAAGTAGAGAGATCAAAGTACAAAAGCAATGTAGAAATCTGAATTTTCTGGGCGCAAGTAGCGATCGAAGTAACGTGTCATAACTATGTGTGTGCCACTCAACGTGACTGCAGCTCATTGATCATTGAACTGTAGTACAAGACACTGTCTAGCCGAAGGTAGAGAGCTGGTAGCTGAGAAGGAAATATAAGTGCGAGGTACATTACAGATAGGGAACAGGATGACTTGAAGAACCATCGGTCTAGCATGGTAATACATCTCGCCCATCCAGGCGACTAGAAGAGTTCCTACACAATTGAGATATCGGCCCTCTGCCATCATATATTCTGTTCGGCCCATACCCATGTTCTTGATAGACCGCATCAACCAAACGTTCATGCACAGCACTTGGAACCTTGTTTGGCGCCACCGTCGTCGGCTGTGGGCGCCACCAAAATTGTCTCGCCGCCGGCGGGCTTGATAACGTCTCCGGAGGAGTCGAGAGCTTTGGAAGAGACAATGCGGTAGATATCTGCCTGTCAGTGTGGCCCTCGGTAGGTGTGAAATTGATATGAATGATGTTATGTGAAGAGACGTACCAGTGAGAATGTTTTGGAAAGCAGATTCGACGTTTGAGGCGTCGAGGGCAGATGTCTCGATGAAGGAGAGGTTGTTCTCAGCTGTGCGGGTCAGTCACTGGTCCACATGAGGTCGCATCTGCCTTCTTCCCCATTGGTTCTTGAGACAAAATCCTTTGACGAGGTTGATGCTTGGGATCTGAAGATGATAAAACATGAAGGTTAAAGTGAAATTCTCACTTGAAAAGGCCTTCGCCTCATCTGTTGGGACCGCCCGTAGATGTTTCAAATCGCTCTTGTTCCCCACGAGCATGATGACAATGTTCTGATCTGCATGGTCGCGCAATTCTTTCAACCATCGAGTGACGTTCTCATAGGTCGCATGCTTGGCAATGTCATACACCAGCAAAGCGCCGACAGCACCTCGATAGTAGGCTGATGTGATTGCTCGGTAACGTTCTTGTCCGGCTGGATGAGTTAGCTATATCCAAATTTCCTCTTGTACCGCAGCGATACACATGATGACAGATTCAGTAAGTGAGGAGGGAAAGACAAATGTTGCAGTCAAGGAGGGGTCAGGGAGTGATCATGATCATGAAACCCACCAGTATCCCAGATCTGCGCCTTGACAGTCTTGCCATCGACATTGATGCTCCGCGTGGCAAACTCGACCCCGATGGTAGACTTTGATTCAAGATTAAATTCGTTACGGGTGAAACGTGAGAGCACTGTGATGAGTATAGTATCTATGACAAGTGGGGATTACTCACGATTTCTGCGACGGATAGCAAAAGAGACCAGGTAAGCAAGACAAACGGGTAGTCGCATCAGGGAAACACTCACGACTTTCCGACACCAGAGTCACCGATCAACACCACCTGCGGGATCAGCTCGGTCACAAGACGGCGAGAATGAAGCTGACCTTGAAGAGATAATCGTAATTGCTACCTTCTGCCATGGTGACGATTGTACGGTCAGGAAAGATTCGATGTGAGAGATAAAGGTAGGCTCTGCCTGATATGAAGGTTGTAAAGTGGCCCGTGAGATGGAAGATGTGTGGCTACTGAACGAGAGAACGGATCCGTAGCAGAAAGTGATGTGTGCGTATCAGATGACCGGAATAGGAGGTTATGTGAGTGAGAGAGAGATAGAGAGAGTTGGGTGAGTTCACTTTGTTCCCCTTTGTGGTCGTCGTTGCTCGCGTGTCAGATGGCGAGTGCCTCTGGCGCGACCCAAAAGGCGGCGGTCCCCACTCGGGGCTGGGTCCACCCATCCGGACTCTCGGCGTTTTGAACGTGGCAGCTGTAGACGACGAGCTTTCAGGAACGAGAAAGTTTGAAAGTGACGTGAGTGGGGAGGATGATGACATTGGGGATCGGGGATGTGGGGTACCTCTCAACGAACAGGTGGCCAATGTCGTGTGTCCTCAAACACCTTTTCAACCTGTCCGACACCCTCTTCAAGGGCATTGGAACAGTGGCACTCTTTATCGTCAAAAACTAGAGACGGCAGCGGAATTGTAAGGGGACGGTGCACCCCACTTCGCGACGACTTTCCCACTTCGACACCTCCAGGGGATAAAGACGATCACCCCTACCAAGTCACAAAAGTAACGTCGAGCCGTGCCTCCTTCTCATCTCCTTCAGTTCATCTTCTTACCATCCGATATGGGTTCCAACAAGCCCTCACGCCAAAACACTCCTTCCCCTCCCTCGAATCTCGGGTCCACTTCTGGAACTCACAGCGAAGAGAATGCTTGCCTACTTCCACCCTCACGACAGACCCCTAATCGGTATCATCAACCCGGTACGAGAGCCCAACAAATCCGGAAATTCTCCACCAGTAGTCGGAGTGTCAGCGGCAGGAGTCTCTTGGGGTTTGGGGGATATGGTGCGACAGACGATGTGAATCCGGTGTATCAACCCGCCAGGGTGACCAAGGAGGGTCAGAAGGTGAGCTAAGTGTCTCATTTTAGATGTAAGTGCTCACGACTTAGAGGGTCTTGACAACAATACCTATCGTGGCCAATTTCTGGGCCTTGGTCCTAGCTGTGCTTCTGTCAGTCGTCACGACAATTCTGCTGGCGGTGAATGTCGTATGGGAATTTGACGTTCCTCAACTGCCACCCAAGTAAGTCCCTCCATCTCTCGGAGGCGCAGGAGTACTCATATCGTAGGAGTAACGGTTTCGTGGAATTTTGGATATCTGCAGTTGGCTCTTGGATCGGACTGGCTGGACTTTTCTTCGTGCGTCCGGCTTTTCCACTGGATTTAGGTCAAGGTTGACAGGATAGTTTTCACACCCTTCATATCTCTTCTTTGTGGCCTCCCTCATTGCCTGCTTACTCTTAATACCTATCACGCTCCTGGCATCGACCTCCCCTTCCCTGCAGATGGCATATTGGCCATTTTTCCTCGTCCCCCTTATACCAGCTGCGACCACTATTTTCCTATCTCTCTTAGCTAATTACTTGGTGCGAAGGGCAAAGTGGCTCGAGAGTATGCGAATCTTGCGAGCTTTGACTACACATGGGCGAGAAGACACCTGGGCACGAGCGTGGTATGGTCTGCGTGAGAGAGGATGCTGGGGAGGATTTTTACGTCTCATTAGGGGTATCGCTGGCTTCATTTCAGGTTTGGCAGGAGTGACAGTCGTCGTGGTGAGCTCACACCAGTCAGACAGGAAATATGCTGATGTGCAGTTGCTCCTCGTTGACATGTGCATAACTGCCTATGACGGGACGACACCTTTACCCTCTCCCTCCTCTAAAATGGTCACTGTCTCTCCTCCTTCTTCACCGTCCAGCGTTAAGGTTCATCTCGCGTGTGTGGAACCTGGCAACGCTACTGAGAACATCGGAAGATTTCCCTACAGACGACATGATCTGCCAACGATTCTATACGAAGCCCCTTCCGGAGTCCCCGGCTCCTTGGCGATTTTAAACCCAGCTGTCAGCCTCAATAATGATGACATTCCGGGGCGATGGATTTTCGAGATGCAGGAGAAAGGTGAGGTGGGTAGAGTGTGTATATGGGATCGACCCGGGTACGGTTTCTCTGAGGTGTTACCTCGTGCCGATCTAGGGGATGTGGTCGATGCGTTATGGTTGGCCTTGGAGCAGGCGGAGGTTACCAAAAATACCAAGTTTGTGCTTGTGGGTGAAGGTTACGGAGGGTATGTCTCATCTTCCTTTTTCAGCCCGAACTTATGTTCGGCGAGTCTGGCATGACCAGGAGCTTACAGCGCAGCCTGTTGACGAGAGTCTTCGCCTCTCGGCATCCCTCTTCGATCCACTCTTATCTTCACCTCGAGGCCCAGACATCTCTCACTTACTTCTCGCCACCTAGGGGTGACTTTGCCGGTCCAAAATTACTTCTGCACCGTCTATCCACCAGAGTCCTCCCGTCAATACTTACACCACTATCTATCACCCGCTTACCCTCTCTGCTTTTAAGACGATCAACTTCTATCTCTCGCATCCTCGCTTCTACCTACACTCAAACTTCTCAATTGAACGGCAACCTACGCAAAGCCCTTTTGCAAGAAACGTTCTCTTCTCACACTCATCAATCAGCCTCATTCGCCGCTCTCCTTCATAGCGCCGATTCCTACCCTATTCGACCGGCGGTAGTGCTGAGTAGCGCAGAACGGATGAAAGATCTTAAATGGGCAGAAGGACAGGAAGCCTTGGCAAGGGAGGTGAGTCAGGAAGGATTGATCAAGTGGGAGAAAGTGGAGGGAGTGGGTCATTTCGTTTGTCAGGGTCAAGGAAAGGGGATATGTAAAGAGGCTTTGAGAACTTTGTACGCTTCATAATCTCACGACATGTTGTATGATCTGTAGTTTACGAGTAATAATGACCCTCCCACCTCTATACCTGGGCATGGGGCCAGCAGCCTGAGGATAGGTTCTACTTGCCTGTACTTACTTTGTGAGCGTAACGGAAGGAAGAATAATGAACTATGAGATTTTAGAATTCCCAATCGACGCGTCGAAAAGAAAGTCGATGAATTTCTCTTTTGCACGTTTGACTTGATCGCACGTTCTTCTCATATCTTTCTCTTCTTCCCTCTCATGCCTGTCAGCAGCAAACATACTTGATCGCCTCTCACCCCGTAGGCCGTAGTCATTCTCGGAATCTGACACGCTCAGTCCCTTGGGTCTTTCACCTCGTCCACGTCAGAAGAGCCGGCAGGTCCGGATGATTCGGGACAGACAGACACATGCCCTTATTTTTGTGCTGATCCCGTATGACCTCTGACTTGACTTGACAGTAGCGCGTAACACGTAGATGTTCTCAAGTGTGATCAGAGCTGACTTCTCGTGTTCCCCATTCCCCTTAGTAGCACTGATCTTCTGATCTCTTCTTCTTTGGTCGCTCGACTTCTTTCTTCCACTCGTTGTTGACTACGAGAATACTGTAGAGGTTTCAGCTAGCCAAGACCGATTACACGAGAACAAGTAACTTCCAGCCCTCTTCGATGAGCTCATCTAAGGTTCAAGGACTGCGGATGAAGCAGGCAGTACAGGTGCTTCTCCTAGCTTCTGCAGGTTCTATCCTACTCGGTCTGGCGTAAGTCGTCTTCTTCCATCTTTTTCGTCTCTAGCCTTCCCTCTTCCCCCTGTTGGTGATCCGACAAGATGGCATGTACATCGCCTGTCCGATCTGAATCTGGTCTTCTCACGTTCAGGGACTGGGGAGGAGGTAGAATTGTCTTGGTGGAAGGTCAAAATTGACTCTCAGACCCCTCAAATCTCTTCTTCAACCCCACCTCCCTCTTCCTTCTCCATCGATCGGATACTCTCTCCTCTTCATCTCCCTCCTTCTCACTTTCCTCGCCATCTTCTCCTATCTCCAAGCTCCACTGAGGTTCATATGGAACTGTTTCTTCAAGCCTTTCACACATTCCGCTCCTGGGGAAGAACAAAAAGACAGACTGAACGCTTTCTATTCTGGTCAAGCAGATGTGTACGATTCAACCCGATCTCATTTACTCAAAGGGAGAGAGACTATGCTTCAACTCTTAGCTAGTCATCTCAAAGCTCAACCTGTCTCGATCCTCTCCGGAACGGAGAAACCGAAGATATGGGTCGATATTGGTGGTGGGACAGGATGGAACATTGAGAAAATGTGAGTTTCGTTTCTTCGCTCTCCATTGCCACGATCTTGTGTTATCCACCTTTGGGTCCCCAGAGGTTGTTCAGCGACAGACTGGGCGCAGAGAAGTGGTAGGAGGAAGAAATATGTTCTGATAAGTAGGGATGAATACCTTCCGATCTCGTATTTCGATGCCATCTACCTTATCGACTTATGCGAACCTCTTCTCGAAGTAGCCCGAGCTCGATTCGCAGCGAAAGGATGGAAAAACGTACATGTTTTGTGTCAAGATGCTAGTCGGTTCGTCTTACCTGAATGGGAGTCTGGGGTTTTAGACCCAAGGGGTAGTTTGACAGCTATCACCTTGAGTTATTCTTTGTCAATGGTAAGTCCTATCACATACCATGTACTGTCAATTCCTTCCTACTATCTCAACCGGCCGAAGAATGATTGGTGGTATTCGTTTGCTAATCGTCACAGATCCCGCCATTCTATCAACTCCTCGATCGATGTGACCAAGTTCTCGATCCTCAACGCGGACTCATCGGGGTAGTCGACTTTTATACCTCCCGTGAAGCTGGCATCAAAGAACGAGTACGTGAATATAGTAGGGTCGTCATATGACAAACTGATCCACAGGCTATCGGGACTGCCAGCAAACGTGTTTCTTGGATGGCCAAGTGGTTCTGGGAATGTTGGTTCGAATTGGACAATGTCCATCTCCATGGATCACGACGGGGTGCGTCATCGTTCTCGAATTAAATAAAAATAGGTCATCTGGTAACTGACCAACAGATTATCTCGAGTATAAAATGGGCACGATCAAGACTTTCAACGGAAGGAATAATTTCCTCAGCACATGGTTCATTCAAATTCCTTAGTGAGCCACAAGATGATAAAGGTTTGCTAGGTATCAGCTGACTCCCAAGTTACATATTCCTTGGTTGTTCTAGATCACGCGATGCGACAGTCGCAGCCAAAGCTTTTGAAGTGGAAGCTGGTAATCGTATCGGTTTAGGAAATGGGGGACTCATGACTCCCACTTCTCCATTCAATGTTCACCCTTGGGGATCGGGTTCTCCGGAATTGAAAAGCATGCCTAATTTTACCCTCGGACCCAGTGCCATGGGTGTTGAACAAGGACCCCCTGAATACGCTCAGACAATTCAAGATGCTGGTGCCCCTCTCAGTCCGTTTCACTATCAATTGAGGAAAGTGAGTGAATCTTTATGTCGATCCTACTCCCTACTGTGACTGATGATTTAGTCATGGAGAGTGCCTTATTTGGAAGGAAAAATACATGAACAATTTCGCACTCATATTTACGGATGGGTGAGTTGACATTTCTGCTTCTTACGAAGAAAGGCTGATAGGAAGACATGGGAAGATCCCGATGTCGACGTTCGAAAACTCGGTATCAACAAGGATGATCATATACTCGCAATTACCTCGGCAGGGGACAACGTTCTTCATTATGCTCTTTCCGCACAATGTGCTAGGATCCATGCCGTCGGTCAGTTGACATGTTTTAGGGGTTGCGTAGCATATGATAGCTGACTAGAGCAGATATGAATCCCTGTCAAGGACACATTTTGGAGCTTAAGCTGGCTGCAATCACTGCTCTAGACTATCACGATTTTTGGCTATTATTCGGGGAAGGTCGTCATCCAGAATTCGAAAGACTGCTCACTATGAAATTATCTCCCTTTCTCTCTTCGTACGTCTTTCCTGTGATAGTTTGTGTAGAGATGGCGTGCTGATGGAAGTCACGCATTCGCATATTGGAAAACACATGCTTCGCAGTTCAAACGAAACTTTTACTTTCGAGGGTACTCCGGTTGGGCTTTACGTCTTGCCCAAGTGGCGTTCTTCCTTGCTGGAGTGAGGAAAGATGTGAAGAGGTTGTGCAATGCCTCGTCGACTACGGAACAGGAGAGAATATGGAGGAAAAAGTTGAGACCGATCATTTTTAATCGGTTCATGGTTCGGATGTTTTTGGGTAATCCGTATGTTTCTCTCACCACCAATTTCCGTTCGCCTGAGGTAGCTCATACGCCGTTCATTCCCCTTCTACCATAAAGACACTTCATCCATCTCTTACACCTGACCATCTTCCATTGTACCTCTTGAAGAAAGCTGATGTGGTAGTTTCTTCAATTGGCATGCTCTCGGTGTTCCAAAGAATCAAATGAATTGTTTTCTACAAGATGGAACAGTAGAAGATTTCATCTCGGCCACTTTAGACCCGGTGCCGAAATTGACTACTTTGAAGGTCAGTTGGCAAGCAGGTCTTTGTTCGGGTACCCCATGCTGACATAGACCAGGATGATAACTACTTTTTCTTCTTATGTCTAAATGGACGATACACTCGTGCTTCATGTCCTGCTTACCTCAAACCAGAGGGATTTCACGCTTTGAAAAATGCCAAGATTAACAATGCGTTCAAATTGCATACGGATACTATTCTCAAGTGAGTCAACAGCCCACCTCTACAATCCCTACTGGTCCAACTTTCCTCCAACTTCTCATACCTCTTTGTCACATCTCGGCAGATGAGTTTTTATTCGTTGACTAAAACTCTCTAAATAAGACCACACTCTGATTAACAGCGTCCTGCGAGGTTTACCAGACTCTAGTCTTACCAAAATCATAGTCATGGATTCCATGGATTGGTTTGATCCTATACCCCCAACCACCCCTCTACCTCCTGTCGGTGCACAAGCACTGGACCAGTTGGATCATTCGCCTGAAGTGGCCTTAGAACATCTTCGTTCGGAACTCGATTTTGAGATATTGGAAATGCGTCGTGTGCTCAAGATTGGTGGTCAAGCTGTATGGCGTAGCGCAGCAAAAAGACCTTGGTATAGACAACGATTCGAGTTGGCTGGGTTCAAAGGTGAGTTAACGCTATCATCACGTCACATTTGAATTGCCATCAGAAAATAAATTGGAGATAGACTCCTTTGTATATTGGGTGATGGTGAAAGATGGCTGATGACAGTTGAACCGGTGGATATCAGGGAAAATGGCAAGGCTATTGATCGTGTGAATATGTACGCTTCTTGTGAGTGATGTCAAAGATCTGAAATGGGGGAAGTAGAGCTGATGATAGTTTGGCGTGCGGAGAAGGTGGTGGAGTGAGGAGAGCTGTGGTTCTCGAGTATGGGGTTTCTTTTAAAAAGAGGGAAGGTGGCTTTTTGAAGACTTGGTCAGATCCATGAGATCGTGGAGCTGCTGGGATATGACATGTCTGGTATGTGTAGGCAGATTAAGAACGATTACCATAGGCAGCTGGCCATATCAGCTGGGTGGATGTACAAACGCTGCACGGACCATGTCAAGAACAATGAAATGACATGGCCACGTGCCACTTTGCCACTTTGCATCGTCTTCGTCGCGTCGACATCTCACGCCGAACTGGATAATCCCGACGGACCTCGAATTAATCCCGACGCTAATTTGGCCATTTCCCACAAATCCCGTCACAACTGGCGAGGATCCCGTCACTACCGGCGAGGATCCTGTCACTACTCACCCAAATACCTGCACTCCCTCAATATTGAGAATTACTGAGATGTAAGACATGTAGATTGATCTTAGAGAGTTCAGGATGCATAAAATGCAGAGACATCAGGTGTATCATGCATATTGACAGCTCCGAAAATGTGTTTTCGGACCCGAAACGCGTCCGAAATGCCCGAAAGTGGTCCGAAAGCGTCCGAAAGTGGCCCGAAAGTGAATTTCTGGCTTAAAGGGGAGGGTCACATAGTCCGAAAAGCGATCCGAAAGACACTGTAGCAGGCTCAATATTGAAGATTTTGGAGATGTAAGACATGCAGAATGATCCTTGTGAGTCCAGGATGTGTAAAGAACAGAGCTATTGGTGGCTGCATGCATAGGGAAGAAGCGCAGGTATTTGGGTAGTAGTGACAGGATCCTCGCCAGTTGTGACGGGATTTGTGGGAAATGGCCAAATTAGCGTCGGGATTAATTCGAGGTCCGTCGGGATTATCCCTACACGCACATCTCACCCTCATTGCAGGTTGCTTGCTGCCTTTTGATCAAAAATCTATTTCAATCAAGCTGGTCACCTCGACCCCAGCAGCGACTCATATACCTTGGTATTACTTTGCTTGCTCTGTGCTCCATTTATTCATCCTCCTCGCCCTCAACTCTGAGATTCTGTCTGCAAGCTCCCCCCCCCCCCCCTTCACCCTCCTTCGGTCTGAGTGTTCCTTCCGGTTCGAACACCAACTTCATCCTTTCGTCTCACCCATTCAACACAATTTGAAACTATCATTCCTCCCATTCAACACCCGACCGAAACTCATTCAGGCTACTCCCTCTACTCGTCGCCCACTTGCAATAACACCCTCTTTCACACTCATCACCCCATACCCGATCTCATCAGCCTCTTACACTCTTCCCTCCCCACTCCTCTACCCTCTAGAACGCACCAACTCTCAACATGGGTCAAGGATCTTCTTCCTCTCTCCCGACCTCCCTACCCCAATACGCACTCCATTGTCTCCGAGTAGCCGAAGGATCACCATCAGCAGGACTGATCGAACCTTTCTTCGATTATCTCATAGGAGTCGGTGTGGACTCAGATCCTTTAAAACCATCCGGATCTCCCGTACGAACACAATCTGGAGAAGCAGGGAAAGCAGATATGATACAACAATTTGATAATGGGAATCGAGATAGAAAAGATGATTTAAGAGGAATGGAAGGGATGACAGGGGTTGAAGGAATGGAAGGATTAAGTCCTATTGAATTAAGTCAAATTTTAAGTCGACATGAAGGGAAAAGAATATCTTTAAGGGTTTATAATGCCAAAAGTCAAAGAATAAGAGGTATGTAAACATTTTCTTCTCCTTCCTTACCCTCCTTCTTTCACAAATGACTCACTCCCGTTCATCTCTGAGACCATCTGCAACCCTCGATGTTCTCGTCTTCTCTTCCTCTTTCACCTCACAATTTTTAACTAATAAGATGCACTAATAAATGGACCCCGGTTCAGACGGACGATCTTAAGTAAATCTTCCCGAGTAGTCTTAGTGAGGAATGAGGAGTCAGAGGATTTGGGAAATAGGGATGACAGGGGAAGGGAATGAGTAAAGGGATAGTTCGTAACTATGACATGAAGCTGATAAACAGACGTATCACTCATACCTAGTAAAGAATGGTCCAAAACCTCTTTAATAAATTCAGAATCTAAACCTTCCCTCTTAGGTCTCAGTCTAAGAGTTTGTAATCCCGCACATGCTCTTGAATCCGTTTATCACGTATTGGACGTATTAGAAGGTAGTCCAGCCGAGGTGGGTCTCCTTTCTCATTTCGCCCACTTCATCTCCCATGAGATCCCCTCTTTGTCAGATATCACATCTCTTATATGTCAAGACCTTTGCGTGTGACATTATTGCTATATGTCAACAATACAAATATCTTCCTATATCTCAGCGTTACGAAATTCTATCATATCACAATCATACAAACATCTCTCGATTCACATTTGATCCGTACAAAAGTGTCCTTGAAAGAATTATAATTCTGTGAAACGAGAAAACGTTGTTGATTTCAGATGGCTGGGTTAGTACCATGGGGTGATTTTGTATTAGCTTGGTCTGGAGGTCCATTACATTCCGAAAATGATTTTTACCGTTTAATTGAGAATCACGTCGATAAACCATTACGTTTATTCGTTTACAATTCCGATCTTGAGTGAGTTATCTCTTTCATTCTCTCCAGTTCCCCCCTCCCCCATCCAGTCCCATATTCTTTACCTTCTATCGTTCCACTGATCATCCTGTTTACTTTCGCCCTTGATCACCCAACTTTTTCCCGTTTTGCGCTATTTCTCGTTCCAAGAATCTCCATCAAGATCCTACTTATATATTTCGATCCATCTTACCACTGAACTAGGTTTGTAACGATCCAGAATCTTTCCTGACTGACTTCTAGTAACCTACGAGAAGTCGTACTTTATCCTACACGACAATGGGGTGGAGATGGTCTTATAGGTTGTGGAATAGGATATGGTCTTTTACATAGAATACCTCAACCTCTTACTCCTCCAGAAACTGTTTTCGCTGCTGATGCTTATTTCGGTGATTTATCTTCCCCACTTCCTGTATCCTCTGTCACTTCGGTGGGGTCATGATGATATCAAAAGAATGGAGTGGTTTTGCATTTTTTTCCGGTACTTTCACGATTCAATGCATGATTTGTTGTTTTTGTTCATTCCCTCGTCTTTTCTTTCCACAAACTCTTCCGCCACTGTAAACATGTCAGCTCTCTTTGCTAAAGCCCGAGTTTCTTCGAAGGTCATAGCACCCACCATAGAGGGTGGCGTACATGTACCAGTATGATTATCGATGTGAAGTATGACTGCTCTATAATGGGATAAAATTTCGATAGATATTTGTAAAATTCATCTCATCAATTTAAAAACAACTACTCGACAATCTTATCTATTCTCGTGGCAGGAAAGCCATAACTAGTCCTGGATTCTGGCGCTCTGACGATATTCGGTCTCATAACTTTCTGAGCCATCCCAGTCAAACTCCCATTCCCATTTCCATTCCCATAACCACCTTGTCTCCATCCACCACTGTACATACCACCATACCCCATTCCAGTTGGTCCTGACCATCCACCGGAACTTGAAGAAGGTTTTCTAGATGGAGTAGGTTCACTCCCTAAAGTACTTTTCCTAGGTGGACAATCCGATTCGGTTGACAAGATGTCTTTCTCTTGACCTTCCGCACCAGAATTAGTATCAGGTTTTGAGAGTCTATACAACCTCTTTCTCCTCGCTTTGGCCGGTACTCCAGCAGAAACGGGAGTCGACATACCTGAATTTGTTTTACCCAAATGAGGGAAAGATCTAAAAGCAGTATGTTCATGTCCTCTTGCATAAGGAGATAAAGTATGAGCGGAATATGATAATGTTGCAAGTTGGGATACTGAATTATTTGGAAGTGTGATACCTTCCATTCCTGAATTTCGAGGGGGGAAAGAAGTACCTGGGGAAGTACCAGTGACTGATATTGATAGTGAAGATTGACGATTTCGTATAGATGATTTGGTATCTATGGGAATACTTGATGCAGATGTCAAAGTAGTCATTGTTTGTGAACGTGGTTTGTCAGTCGTCCAACTTGATGAACCGGTTTTGGTATAGGATGAAGTGATGGTGGATTGTTGACGTGATAAAGTGGATCGGTATGGTGGTGGAGGAGATTGGGGGAATGGGAGAGATTCACTTCTTGGTATTTGATGCGAAGAGAAGATGTCGGATCGAGACGTCGCAAGACGACGTAATGAAGAAGGACCGGGACCGGGGTGTGTAGCAGAAGGGAAGAGATGAGATCTGGGTCCAGGTGTTGGGGGGTGGGATGTAGGTGGTACTCTTGGACTCTAGAATAAAGTTAGCTAAAGGTCATATTGCTTCCTGTGAATTTGGGACAAAATCTCAGTCTGGAGAGTTTGATTTTGATTATAGGGATAAGTGAATCACTCACCCCGATAGTCGACGAAGCACCTCCGATCGAACTCGCCCGAGCTGTCACACTCCCATTCGTCGCTGTTCCTCCTGGACTCGGCATGATCCCACCTGTATCCGAAGGTGCACGGATTCGAGATTGAGTATGATATACTCTTGGTCTGGTGATAGTACCACCTCCGACAGCTGTAAAAGTTTCCCATTCGACGTCTTTGGTCATCTTAGGTCCGAGCATCGTATCCCTACTCGACCTTCTTGCTCCACCAGGCCGAGAAGGGAGAACTCTAAGAGATTCTTCCATTTCAACCATATCAAAACTTCGGGTCTCATCATCCTCATCATCTTCATCCCAAGTATCACTGACATCTCCTCTATCTTCTCCCACTTGACTAAGTGTTTGACTCTTCATCAAACCTCCTAAACCCTCACCCTCCCTCGCTTTCTCCCATAAACGTCCAAACGCTTCATAACCGCTGTGTGTCGGTACACCCTCCGGACGTAAACCATAAGTTGGATCATAATCTTCTATATCCGGAAAGACGGTATAACTCGTTAATGAATCACTGGCAGCCAAAGATGATCTTCTCGCTCTTGCTTGTTGTTGAGCTCTTCTTCTTGGAGTGAGATTCGTTCTTGATGGTGATGGGACATAAGGTGGGAATATCGGTTTCTGTGAATAATTTTCTATATCTTCATCTTCATCTTCATTTTCCGTCATAGCAGAGTCGGAAGTCATAGGGTGGGCATAGGCCAATTCTACTTTCCCTCCAGTACCAGTATCTGTAAACCATCTTTGAGAAAGTCTATGAATGATACCTGGTAGATCTTCACGGAACATTTCTCTCAATTGACCTTCGATTTCTTGTTGTAAATAACCTCGGATGACTTCTATCGAATCAAATGTAGAAGATACGTCCACATTTTGTAAAGGGTCATTTTTGAAAACCAGGGTGATCCCTTTGGATGCCGAAACGACAAGAATGAGGATAGCTCGGAGATGTAATCGAGAAAGACGGAGTGTCATAGGTACCAATAAAGGCTGTGAGGCAAGCAGAGGAGTGGAAAGTGGGAGCGTGGAAGATGGAAGGAGATTTGGGTTATGTGATAAAGGATTAGCCTGATGTTATCAGCTCAACATTTCATTCGCATAATTCAAGTAGCTGACCTGTACACGACAACGAACCTGAATCCAAGCGTCACCTTGATATCCTAATCGAAGTATACCTCTGAATCTATCCAGTGATAGATCCCCAATTTCGAGCAGAGTCAAAGTGGGCGGCTGCATAATCAACAAGGACAGTTCAATAGTTGGTGAATATCAAGCAAAGCTCACCTCCTTACCCATGCTCATATCTACCACCTCTATCCGTCCTTGGATGACGGGAGGTTTGTTGCCCTGTAAGTTTCAGCTCTAGGAAATCAGAGAGAACGTGAGGCATGACGCACCTTGTTGAGAGCACCCTCCAACATGGCCTTTGCATCTTCGATGAAACCCGGCGAGAAGGCTGTCGCCCATGATGGGAAGGTGAAAGACATATCTTCTCACTACTAGTGAACACTCTCAAGTCATCGCGGTGTTGAAGATGGTTACCTTTCTTCCTGTTGAGAGTAAAGGTATGGGACGCGAATTTATCCGGCACAGTGGTGGAAGCAAGTCACGAGGCTCGTCTATTTTTTTTTCAACTTTTAATGCCGTCATACCAAGTTCACCTGACACCACTGCTGATTTTATGATGAAAGAGGCATAGAACCCTTCTATTTTGGTACCCAGGCTAGTAAGGGACCTAGCATACATGCAGTATATGCAGCATACTGAGTTCTAGCAGCAAACGGCCGCAGCCTCTCATTTCACTCCTCAGGACCTCATGAAATCTTGGCACTTCTCCTGGCAGCCTGACACTCAATCACCTTTCTAATCCTGAACAACCTGACATTTTATGTGTTGAGGCATTAATCTGATTGGCTGGCACTCCTGTTGGAGCAGAATGAGGCATTTTTGTGATTGGCCGGCAGTTTTTGAGGCCCTAACAACTCAGGGCTGGATCTCGACGTGATTGCCCGATGTGGTAAAAATAAAAGCACGCACGAGATACGGCGCCCTGCAGCAGGTCTCACGGGAAAACTATATAAGCCCTGCCTCTTGCCTTCCATCCTCATCACTTCTTCATCTTTATATCATTTTTGCCACCCATTCACGCTGCTGCTCGTGAAACAGCTATCGATTGTAGACTTTGTTGTAGCGTACGTAGTGAGCGTAAATAAAGACTATTGGTGTGTCAATCATTGTGCCACATGCTCACCATGGCGGATCGTGGTACGTACTCCCCCTCATCCCATCGTCACCTCTGATCCCTCCGTCGTCGCCATGGTCAGCGTCGACGTCATCGCTCTTCCCCGCTGCCCGCTGCATACTGAATGCTGCACCCTGCAAGTCGTTCCCGACGTTTATTATGACCATTGGTCCAATCCAAACATTCAATGCATTCCAAGCATGGTGCATATGAGCCACGCTGACTATGAGACGTCACCAGCCTCCCGAATAGGTCGGCGCCGGGCTGGGCGACCGTCAATGATAGCACAACGCACCCTGCTCCCGGTCAAAACAATCAGTGAGTCCTTCATCTTACCCTCTCAGCGATCAGCAGGGTGCAATCATGTAAGCTACGATTGGAATGCTGATATCCTAGACCGGGGCCAACGGTCACGACTCCTCCAACCAGATCACTCACGAACAATCCAATCTCGTCATCTCCTCCTCCTGCTCCTTCTCCCTCAAACATCATCACCCTCAATCCCAATAGGCCACCCGTCACCGTGAACCCTGCCCCAGCTTCAACAGTGCATCCTACCGACGATGTAGCCGGACGTTCTCAGCCCAAACCTCCCTCTCCTCGTACACTGGCCGAGGCTGAAGGTTTGATGAAAGCAGCGTTAAGTCAAATGGGATACGGTCCTTTGGCTAATCCCGGATCAACTTCTCTTCCTGCAACTACCACCACTCTTCTTAACACGACCAACTCGTTTCCCCAACCCCCTGCCAATAGTATCTCCACCACTGCCCCGACACACCCGACTCAATTGGTGTTCGCTTCTTCTCATCCAAGGAATGCCGCTGGTTTCTCAGCGTACGCTGCCTTCCGGCCCAACATGACCGTTACTCTTCCGCCGAATGCGACTCCAGCAAACCCACCGACCACCACGATCGTTCCAACTAGAGTCAGTCCCGTGACAAACACCACAACGTCTATGGCTTCACGAACAGTCACTGGGTCCCCTCCTCGCACGAATACTGCCGATACTGTAGGGGCCGATACTGTAGCGGCCCCTACCCCTCCCGAATCGGCTGACGATCTCGCTGTGCGAGCAGCTCGCGCCGTTCAAACCGCATCGCAAGGCATGCAGTCAACTTGGGATCAGATCTCGGTTCTCATGGAATCCGTCACAGAGCTCTCGACCATCAACGCGAACCTTCGACATGAGCTCGCCAATAAGCAGACGGACCTCAATGTGCGTTCCGCTCAAATCGCGCGGATCAGGCAGGCAACTGAGCAGCATGTGCGCCAATTAGGCGAGGCCAATCAGAGACAGATTACTGCACTTGGTGCTCAATCGCAGAGAGAGAAGGAAGCAATGCAGAAGGAATTGGCGGCAGTGAGAGCCCGGGTTGATTTGGAGAAGGCGTCTCTAAAGTCGGAGTTGGAAAAGGCTACTCAAGCGCTGAAAGTCCCCCCGGAGCATATCCTGGGGCTCGAAGCTCGAGTCAAGGTGAGTCAAGTCCATTTCTGTGAAATTCTCACTTCGTTCGATGGCTGACGGGACAGTCCGCCGACGAGACTGCGGCATCTCTCAAAGAAAACTTGAGGAAGCGCACGGCGATGATGACGAAACTCGAGGATGAGAAGCGTACAGAGCTGGCTCGAGTTGAAGAGGAGAAGCGCAAGGCGGTAAACGAAGCAGAGAGTAGAAGTAAGAATGCAGAGGCGACTATCAACCGACTACGACAGCTTCAGACCACTCTTGTCACCGAGCGCGAATCTTTCAGAGGGGCGGCCGAAACATCGAAGTCCGAGATCGAGACGGCCAAGACTGAGCTGGCTACTGTGAAAAAGGCATCCGAAGAGAAGACCCATACCCTCCTTGATCGTATCGCCCAACTCGAGAATGAGCTCGGTATCTCCAAGATCGCCGCCGAGGCCAAAGAAAAGGAATACGAACAGGGATTGGCGGAAGCTATCAAGGAAGTCGAGGACAACGCCCGAAAGCAACACGAGACTCTCCGTTCTTCTCTGGCTGTCGCTCGAGCTGAGAAGGCTTCCATCGAGAAGCAATTCACCGCAGCCAACGAATCGCTTCTAATTCAGCGTAAGACGCATACTGATAGGGTGCATAGGATGGAAGATGAGATAAGGGATCTGGACAAGAAGATTGATACGCTTCGAGGGGTATCACGAGAGGCGAGACGATCAAGCTCCGTCAGTATCGCATCGCCGTTCTTGAAATCGATAACCATTCCTGCGAAGGCCAGTGTTTCCCCTCGCCACATCGAAAGTACACCCGTCCCCATCGAATCGACCCCGAGCCCTCACAATTTTACCGCTCCGAGGACGATCGTGACCGGTCCTTCACCGAAGCAAATGACGCCGGCGAATGAGGATCAGGCATCTGGCTCGGGTATTTCGTCTGTTGGTAAGTCCTTGAATGTTCCAACTTAGATCACTTGCTTATTTTGCAGATCATAAACAGAACCGAACAGACCAAGAAGTGGTGGTGGATTTGTCGCAATCGCCTGCCCTGACGTCGAAGAAACGACCAGCCGAGGAACCTTTGTTTTTATCTACTGAAGATGAAGAGGGCTCCACTCCTGTCACAGTCAAAAGACCGAGAATAGACTTGGCATCCCCTTGTGAGTTTACTCTGGATTCATCTTTGTGTATTCGTGTACTTACGAACAGCGCCTAGACCGATACCTTCAATTTCACAGTCACATCCCATTGCACCACTACACCCCGCATCACTCCGTCCTCTCGTCTCGACCAATGGAACTCCTGCTTCGCCTACGGTAGATAAGGAAACTGTCATATGGGCCAGGAATAACATCAAAGCTTGTTTCCTAAGTCGAGCAGGAGGAAAGTATATGTGTAAAATGTGTTTGTGAGTTTAGTTTTGTTCTCCATGATTCACCAAGTCAAGTAAGTGCTTCGTTGACATGTAGTGTTGTGGCTGCTCGTCTTGCAAGAAGAGATCCGAACAAACCTAAACCTTTACTGGAGACGCAGAATCCTCTGCCTGGACAACCGACGCAGGATGAGTTAGTTACACACATGATGACTCATCCGGATATTCTGAAAGCATGGAGGGCCAAGAAGGAGAAGTTGTGATGAGTGAGTGAGTGAAAGATCGTGTTTTTTTGAAGTTGCTTCGATATATTCATCTTTCTGTTGGTTCGTTGGAGAGATCTCATCTGTCGTTTGAGAGACGAGAAGGGGAAGAAATGATAAATGGGTAGTAGATCAATTTTCTTTTCGTTGGTTTACTGAAGAATTTCCATCCGTCGCTCTCGTATTTTTACAGGGGGAGAAAAGGGGTCAAGAGACGTAAGGGTCAAGAGACGTAAGGGTCAAGCTGTAGAATAGTAGAAGACATCATAATCAATGGTGTCGAGACATATTTTCGATCGTATGCATAAAAGTCTAAGCAAAAACTTTTTTCCTGCTCAACTCGTCCTCACCGACTTCTTCTCGAAGTCGTTTCCTCCTCTCATCTCTCCCTTCTTCCAATTCTTTTCTGACGCGATACTTGGCCCCAGCTTCCGCTTTGCTAGCAGCGCGTACAGAGGCAGGTGAGACGAATTCACTATTTGCGTAAACGGTAGGACCGCCGAAAGAACCTTCGAAGATCCTTATTGGGGTGAGTACGAATCGAGGGCCTATCTCGACGAGGGAAGGGGTAGGTTTCGGTTTTCCTTTAGGACCGGAGGATGAAGAGGGAAGTGGGTCTTTGTATATGATCTGGGATAAGTATTATATCTTTGCTGGAAAAATACGTCTCAAGTCGACGATAGTCTTGATGAGAATATGGCCAAAGGTTGGTGGGAGAATGAATGATTCCACAAAGATGAAGGGCGGGGTCTCGTGTGAATGGGCGAGGTGAAAAGGTCGGATAGTAGAGGGAGGGAAAAGTGAAACTCACTTGATAATTTCTAAACCAGATCCGACCGTCTAAAACGGAGAATAAGAGGATATGATCGATGAACGGTTTGAGCCTTCTAGAAGTTCGTGGGACGGAGAAGACCTGATAGTCAATTTCATTCACTCAGTTCACCAGAAAAAAAAACATAGTTTGGTTGTTCACGCCTGAAAACAAGGAAGAGATAATCATTTCTTACATTCTGAGAGCAACGGGTTGGTTGATGATGAAATTACACGGAACATGAAGAAGGTGATAAGGTTTATTAGAAAAGAAAAGATATAATAACTCACATGAGCCAACATTTCCTTCAACAAACCCCATTCTTCACCTTCCCATCTCCCATCAAAGACGACTACACCTCTACTACCTTTCAAACAATTCCCAGTCATTTTCAATTCATCCATAGTGTGTAAATTCTGAACGTGAAATTTAACACTGGGTCCATTAGGTGTTCTACTCAACCACATGTATAAATCCGTATGACGACGAGCTTCGAAATAAAGTGCGTTGGAACATGAATTTAATTCTGCTAATTCGTTTATCAGGTGAAGTGAGGATTTAGAGTCTAGTTTTGAGTCTGAGAGTGAGTTTTCATACTTGAGTCACATTTTCAAAATTATGGAAAACAAATTTCGAGTGAATAAATACGGATCCATTTGATTTGGAGGTAATATACATTGATTTGAATCGATGACGTCTTGTATTGTAGCAAGATATTTCTTGGAAGACGAAGAATTTGTGGAAAGAGGGTATGAAGAAAATACGAGAGACGAAGACAATTCAGGTAAAAGTTAGAAAGTAGGTCGATGAGAAGGTTGAAGAGGATCGAATGACAGAGTGTTAAGTGAAAAACAGAGAGATAAGTCATGTAAAATTTTATAACTCACCTTTCTTACTATGTGGTAATAGAACTTCTAAATCCCTCATCAGATGTCGCATCCTCTCTGTAACCCCTCTACTGCAAAGAATCAACACCTTGTCTTTTCTCAAAGCTATCTTTCCCTTTTGTTCCTCTGTCTTTTCTTCCAAAGAAATCTTAGATTTTCCTTTAACTTTTTTATCCCTCGTCACATCTTTGACAAGCGCTTGAGTGGCCTTCAGAGCTGATGCCATGTTGACTCTTTCTCACTGGCCAGATTGGGTTGGATTCACCACGGAAAGTTTGAGTTGACAAGGAAGAGAAGAACAGAGGGACGGACATGTTCAAAATTCTGACTTTTGTAATGTTACGTAAGATTGCCATGTCAAATGTGAGAAATAGGCTTGCAAAGTTGACCCTCACAAATAGGCTCCATATAAAATGCAAGAAGGCTACATATGAACATTGCAGGCATTTATGCAGTAAAACGGATACAACATTAACCCTCTAATCCCCTGAAATGATCTTCTTTACACCAAGGTCTGTTCATCAGCATTGCAGCACCAAGACAGGGTGTTTAAGCAAAAGGGGAGGAAGGAAGGCTTACGGTCGATATGCGTCCCCAGACCAATACGCACGACATCGGAGTGAGAAACTATGAGGATCTAAAAGATTAGTTTTGGTTTATAGCTGACGCACGCTCTTTCCCAATTATCTCACTATGTCACATAGTCTACTCTCCATTTACGACGTGAGTCATTCAAGAGAGTGATCCTGATATGAAAACCTTTCTCTACCCCGTTCGACGACATATCAGGAGGCTCTTGGAACAAATAGGGATACCGAAATAAGATAAGTATCGAGAGAAAGGAAAGGACAAGACCACCCACGCTCATATCCCCTCACACCGGCTCGATACGCATCGGCCATATCTAAAACATCACTAATCTTCCGTGTCGTAGTCAACTCTTTCCGAGCATATGCAAATGCGTCCAAAGCCATCTGATGGAGTCTTTCCGGACGGTCGAGGTATCTTCGTAATTCTTCGTCAATACGTTCAATAGGCCATGATGGTTTGAGAGGGATAGTGAAACGTTTCAAGGCGGATTCTTGTTCCGTGGGAAGGTCGGCAGCTACCACACAACCTGATAAAAAAGCTTGTGCGTACTGTCTGTCAGAGGATGCTTTACGTTATCAAGTGGTGAAATTGTGTGAGGAGGTTGGAGAGAGAAAATTAAGGGAGAGAGACTCACTTTACGTATCATCTTCCTTTCCAAACTCGCATCAAACACACAGATCCTTGTCTCCCTCAACCGAGTGGCAAAATCTGCCCTTAATCGTCTATGCTCCGCATAATATGTATGATTTCTCTGGTACGTTTCCAAAGGTACTTTTCGGGCTTCTTCCGGTGGCCAAATGAAATAACCTGGGTGTAGATGTCGAACGATTGGAGAGGGGAGTATGGAAGGATCTTCTTCTTGTCTATGGAGTTGATCACTGACTGTAGTGCGGATCGGATAGACTGGACGTTAGCATGTCTTGACACTTGTTTTCCATCCTATAACCGCCCTTCTGACCCATATCTTCTCTGGACGGCAGGAGAAGTATAGATAGATGTTGGACTCACAAGAACTTTCAAATCCAAACATTTTCGCGTCGACAGTTTTGTTCATCCATGGCATAGGATAGAAATCCCATTCGTTACCCTGCGTGTCAGTTAAAGATACGGCGTTACAAGAGAAAACAAAAGCTCTTCTGCTCCACAACGGTCGTCAAGGGACATAATTTGACCCGGGTGACCACCATGGAAGGCCGTCTTCTTTCTTGGAGGACCGACGCAGCACCAACGACGTACCAGGAATGTATTTTTAGTGATGGAGAAACAGTGATACTTACAGTGTCCGGGTTATGTCCAAACAACCCCATCTCCCAGTTCGGAAACTCCTTTCTCACTCTCTCATACTCGAACACCTCTTGAAGCTCAAAGGCGTATTTTGACAATGTTATATTGTTGGCTTGTGGATACCATTCCAACATGCATCTGAGTGAATGGCAGTCGCCTAATTGTCTGAAGATCTGTCAGCTTTCGTCATTCCAAATACGGAGACATACTGCACCAGAAGGGTTCCACATTCCAGGACATCTACCAGAGGATCTTTTTGTTTAAAGATGTCCCTTTTCATTAGCATTCCATATCATTATCACCTAGAGTATTCTGCTACACTCCTTCTCAACATCTCAGGCATTCATTGTCATAGGCTGCTTGACCGAACATGCAGTCATTCCACATGACATTGTCTAAGGCCCAATTGGGGACTCGGAGAAACATTGTAGGCTAAAGGGAGGGGAGGAGGGAGTGAGGGAGGAGTGTGACCAAACTCACGAGATAGTCCAAGCAATATCAAAAACAACTTCCCCACATGCCTGTTCCCCTTCCTCATTCTCATCCTCAGTTATCCAAGGAGGTTTCACCCATTCCTGTTGCGATTCCTCTTCTTCCTCTATTCCAGGAGGTCTACCAGGATCCCCGAACCCAAACCACCATCCTCTATCTTTCCGCTTCCTTCTTTCCTCCTCCATTTGCTTCTCACTCTCCCAAATCCTCTTACTAGTCTCCAACTGAGCGATTCTTCTCTGTCTACGTTTAATATTGGCTGAAAGAGGCAATGAGGAGTTCCAGCCAGCCCATTTCGGTCCCCAGACATCTACGATGACGTTAGGATGCCGAAGAGCGGCGTCAACGAGTTCGTACGTGTGTGTGTTCATAACGTCTAAATTCACCTCGGTGGCGTGTCAGCAAGGAGCTTTTGTGCCATCGTGATAGGTCATACTTTCCTGGAATGTGGCAGCCCCATTGTACATCTACATCGAGGATATGATCAAAATGACGACTCAGCGTCATGAGGATGAATAACCTTCTAGAGCAAAGAGAGGAGAGAGCTGAAATTGCAGTGACCTAGAAGAGAGAGGGATGAGAGTGAAGAATACCACCCACCGGTCAAAAACAAGACCCTCCGTTTTCTCCCTTCTATAGGTGTATGATCCCAAGGACTTTTCCCAACCTCATCTCTATTTCCCCACCAAACAGGCCACCAATCCTCAACCTCTCTTCTCAATCTCTCTTCCTCCCTCTCACCTTCTGCGGTCTCTTCCCCGTCTCTCTGAGACTGACGAAAGCCCTCTTCCCTCCTCCATCTCTTCTTCTTTGTCAAAGAAGACAATTCTTTTCTCCTCTTCCTTTCATATTCTCTTCTCAGAACTACCAAGTCCGTACTTTCTCCCAGCCAAGCTTGATGTTGTCCGGCCTTGCGAAGAGTATGATGCAGACTCAGTTCTCGAACGAGGAGGAGAGTCAATATGGGAATGCTAAGTGCTAAGAGTATAGGAAGAATACGACGTCGACTTAGTTGACCGTAATTAGTCGGACTGAGTCTTCTCCGGGGACGGTATGTTGGAGGAGGGAGAGAGATGAAAGTTGTCAGGGGGTAATACATGAAAGTCGTGAGGGAAGTGACATCAGTGAGGGAGGCGATAGTAGGAAGGAAGGATATGTAGCTGGAATCGGAATTGAAGTGGGGGATTCGAAACATGAGGTTTTAGATAAGGGAACCATGGAAGTATGTACACTTAAAAGATGATGGACGATCTGTATGGTATGAGTGAGGAAAGGATGAAAAGCGGAAAGTTGTAAAAAAGATGAGAGAAGCTGAAAGCACGGATCACCGTGCCAAGAAGGTGAACAAACGGACGAGAGAGACCATCCCTTCTTGGCATGCACAAAAGGATGACTTAGTTTGTTTCACGATCCTGCATGCTGTCCTATACACTATTGCTGATCCGCCCGACACAGCAACCTTACCCTAGACACACCATCTTCATTGAAGTGGGCAGCTTGCAACCTGCCAATCCTCGCAGTACTCTCAAGGTTTTCAACAATACAAAAAAAAAGGTTTTCCAGCACCGCCCACGCGCCGCAGCCACGTCAGGCACCCACGCCGAGACGTGCGACGCCCCGAGCGCTAAAAGTGACAGACACGCGACCACCCTATGACGTGGAGTGGCGTTCGGCCGATAAGCAACATTCTTTCACCGACTCTAAAGCTTGTCTCGCTCCAGTCCGTATGAAAAGTCCTTGTAGACTGGCCATGCTTACTGTCCGCCCCGCCGATTTCTCTTCTTCCACCACTCTTTCCACTTTCTCACCCATCTCCTGCACCTCTTCCCAGTCCAAAGACTCCAGACCTGCGGCCCCTGTCCCGACAATGGACTTGGTCTCGGGTTGAGCAGACAAGGAAGGCGAGTAAAACTTGACGAACAATCTTCGTGCTTGTTCACCTGTCGCATCACCCAAATGTTCTTGCAGATCCACTCTGCCAGGTCGAATGAGCGCAGGATCCAATCGAGAGTAATGGTTCGTGGTCATGAATATGATCCGTTCTTCACTCGAAGCCACCCCGTCGAGGGCATTGAGCAGACCGGAGAAGGTCACAGATGATTTGAACCTTACATCAGCAACTTCAACATAGCTGAGCTGATAACTCACCCATCTTCTGAAGTCTGCGTTCGACGATTGAACGCAGAGTCGACGTCTTCCAGTAGGACGATACTTCGTTCGGGGACAAGACCGAGGAGATGGTTGAGTTTGTCATCTGTCAATCCTCTTTCGGCCAAATTCAATAGGCAGATATTGTATGACAATGCCCCTGCGAGAGCTTGGATGAAGGATGTTTTGCCGGATCCAGGTGGACCATGAAGAAGGTAGCCTCTACGATAGGGTATGCCTACGTGTTAGTGACACCGACTTGCATCTGCCATGCGCTCCCGAGCCACGCATTTGTGACAACCGTAACGTCATTGGCAGACGACGGATGAACGATGAAAAAGGTGATCTTGACAGTGGAGACATGAAAGTGATAGCGGTACTAGAGTCGCTCTGATGACTGCTTACCTCTTTCAGCGTACCATCTCCCTCTTCCCAGAAATCCCCTCACATCACTCTCAATCCTCTCCGCCACACCTTCAGCCAAAATCACACTTCCCAGCTCTCTCTTCCTTCTAGGCTTTCCAAAAGGTCTCCATTCCGTTCCCCATGCTGTATAAACCACCGTTTTACCCTCTGTAGATCTTTCGGCCAGAGTACGAGCCTCAGAAAGGAGTATAGGGAATAAGTGTCGACAGGAGGACAGAGTAGTGAGTGTGAGAGTTTCCCATGGAGAACCTGAATGGAGATCCATGAGTTTAGCATCACGTTCTCGTTTGACCTGTGGTCAGTGAGTCTGTGCTACTTTTTGTGTCCAAGATAGAGATCGCTCAACGATTGGCTGAAAAGTTGTGGAGGTTCAAAGCTGACATGATGGGGAAAGATGGATTGATGGGTTGATGGAGACAACATGAGATGAGCTTACCTGAAACCATACACCTCTATATCTGAAATAATGAGTGCCGGGACCTGGAACTAGATTAAATACCGCCTCACTCGATCCGTTCTCATGTTGTTTATAACTAGTCTCGACGGCAAGCTCGTGACTGCGTAATTGGACGGAACGTGTTGAACCCCACCATCCCCTCCCTGGCGAGGTTTGTGGTGATGTTTTTCCACTCGCATCATATTTCAACGATTGACTAGGCTTTGACGCTTGGTCTCCAGATCGAGAGGTAGAGGACGTAGATGTCGAAGCGATGGATGAAGAGGAGGTAGAAGAAGCAGAAGGGAAAGAAGATGGAGTAGAAGTAGGATTTGACGTGAGGGATGAAAGAGGAGTACGATATGAAGAAGGGGAAGTTGATGGTGTGGAGATAGTAGATGCGTTCATCGGTCGATCTTGTAAAGCTTGTAAAGCCATCCATTCCAAAAACCAAGGATAAGATCTATCTTTACTTGGGATCTCCAGGGTGACCAACATCCTTCTTTGAGCGAAAGTACTTCCCAAAGTAATGGATCTACGTAATATAGTGAGTAATACTCCTATACCCTATTCATGAGCTGAGGTTGAACTTCTCTATCCCTCTCTCTAATCCCAGGGCTTTTGTTTTCAAGTATTTCAGATCTGACCCACGCCGAGATCACTCTACCTTGAAAGTAGGTAGGTGGGTAAGTACCCCTCCGATCTCCGCCCATTCCAAGGACTCATGTCCGCATACAAGCTCACAGGGGGAACCCATGAATGAGCCTGATAGCATTCGATGTACAAGGGTGGAAGATTAATGGTAAAGTGGTGAAATACATGTAAGGAAAGAGGAAAGAGGAAAAGAGACATACCATCAACCCAGCGCCAGCAGAGAAATAAGGACTGATGATCAGTCTTTTCCTCTCTCTCTCTCTCAAAGGTCTGCGGACGTAGTCACATGAGAGGGTGTGAGGGGAGAAAGGGGACTCGGACCCACTTATCGGCCAATATTTTGGAAATGAACCCATTTGTCAATTCTGGAGTAGGAGGAATGGCTTGAGGTGGAGGTATGAGGTCTGGCTGTTCTGGTGTGTTGGTAGGAGATGAGGTGGATGAGGTAGATGTGGAAGATGTAGGACGAGGTCGGAACATGATGTAAACTGTCGTCTCATTCGAAAGCCCTTAGGAGCCTGGGGGTTGCCAGCTACTTAGAGCGTGAAAAGGATACTGGTAGGGTGAAAGTTGGAATCCGACTGAAATTTGGATCGACTTTTTCGGTCGAAACCGGAGCGATCGGGGCTTGGTGACACACATACATACCTGGTAAGTACCAAAACTATGAAACTACAGGCGAGTGTCAAGTAGATTACCTTCATCGTCTAAATTGACCGGGAGCAGTTGAATAGAAGATATGGACGGGTATGTCTCAACGTCAATGCATGCCTCATGTCAATGTGTATCATTTGTATCATTCCATAAATCTCGGTCAAGCCTTTATCGCTTTTTGAGAAACTGTCACTTTATCCCCTAATGACAATGCTATACCTTGAGACTTTGCTCGTAATCTCACATGACCCGTCAATCCCTGTCCATCTTCCGCTAGTTCTATCGAGCAATTGGCTAAAGCGTCCTCGCCTAAGCGGTCAGCATCTCTTCACTTCACTTCTCGGCCTTTCTCATGGTTCAAATCCGACGAGGAATCACGTCTCGGCCTTTCTAATAGTTCAATTCCGACGAGGAATTAACTTCTGAATGTATCTCTCTTAGTGTGATTGGGAGAGTCGATTCAAAGAGACGCTAGCTACGTCTTTCGTACAGCTATAGCAGAGTGGTGCGTGAACCAGTGCAAAGCAGTTCAAAAGCCGCTATTGGATAAGGTGGGATATGAAGCCATCGAAGAAAACTTACCAAACAAACTCTTCGCAGCTAAATTCGCAGAGAGATATTGACAATCCCCTTCCAACGCCGCGTCCGGTGTCAAACACAACATATTGGTAGATTTGACCAAATGATCCAAGAACGCTCGGAGATCCGTCATGGTGGAATTGACGGCTACTTTGTTCTCCCATTCAAACTCTGTCCACAGGCTTCGGAACTGCGTCGTCAGTCAATGTATCCCGATCTGTCACATGCTCCTGGTGAAAGCTGCAGGGACGAAGATGACCCACCTGGGATTCTGGAACATAGTTCGGTTGTACAAAACTGAGGATATCACAATGAATATCATTCATGACAATGTTGACACTGGCATCGGCTGCTCCTTGTTTGTCATAAACAATGTTACCGAATACGACCCCTGTCATTCAGCTGAACCCCTTGGGAACCTATCATACGACTTCATCGCTCGGAAGACGGATCATTTCGAAAGAGAGCAGAGATACGAAGGACGGTGAACACTACACTCACCTGTCTCAGTCGATGACACTTTGATAGTGGCGGCGATATGGTGGAAGCCGTGAGGCGCCAATGTATGAGGTGCTGGTCTCTCTACCAACTTGAGGTCTCCCAAAGTAGCAAATTCGACCGTCAGGTTCTGCAGAGTCTCCGTCGTTTGATTAACAATCAAAACGTCTACCAGTCAGCGATGCAACTGGCAATGATATAGAACACTGACCTAAAAGCACATCAAACGCTTGTATAGTAACGACAGCCTCGGCATAGACAGGATCAGAGAAGCCTGGAAGCATCAGTAACAGCTCGAAACCGTATGACACGAACTCACCAGTGAGTTGGACTATACGAGATAATTTGGAAACAAAGTCTTCTTGTATTTCCGTACCGGTAGCACGTACTAAATCATAATCAAGCTGAATTGTCAGCTTCGTCTGGGGCATATCAAGCTCACATCATCCGCATCCCCTCCGGCTGTCTTCTTCGATAACTGAGCAAAAGAGATCAAATCGTCCACTTGAACTATTGTAGTCTTCGATTCTTTTTCTCTCTTCGCCTTTGCTTTCTTTTCCTCATTCTTCACCATCTTGGCATACGCCGCTTTGGTGTCCTCTAGGAAGACTTGAGTCATCACGCCCATATTTTGCAACTGCGCAAGAGTCTCGATGCAGTTCATTATCCTCTCTTGCGAATCTTCGTCGATCGGTACGGCAGAGAATTTGGATTGGCCCACACGGATGACAGATGTCATCATGAGGATCGCTTCCGCTCTCAGAGTGTTGATGTCCTCTGCCGGTGGTCCACTCTCAGAGAATCGCATGACGAGTTTGGTGAGAGTCGCAGCCAGGACAGAGCCGGTGAAAAAGTCTCCTCCCAGTATGAGAGCTCGAAGTGGTGGTTTCGAAGCTGCACGGACCTGTTCCAATCTGGCCGCGGCAACATTGGACGTGTAAACGGTTTCAGTGGCGTAAGTGCCATCGGGGAGGACACGGGTGGTGGTGATGGCTTTGGGTTGTTCTGCTGGTTTCTCGGTCGAAGACTCGTCTGCAGCCTCTGCTTCGTCCAGCAATCGTTGTTCCGAAGCCAGGATGGGTATTTCTCCGATGACTTTTCGTAACTCGTGGACTGCGTGCTTGATCTCCGCAACACCTGTGCAATACTCGCCAACAATCCACATGGCCCCACGGAAGACTTTACCGGATTTGATCTCGCTGAAAGTGGATATAAGCTTATCGGTGATGGCTGGTCGGAGGTCGGGGAATTTTTCGACCACCTCACGAACGAAAGCGATAACATCGACGGCGGAAGGGTTGCTTGAGTCGCCCAAAAAGTCCATGAGTACATATACCACATTGGCGGCGACCTCTGAGAATTTGATGGCACATGAGTGGATGGATTGAATGAGGAGTTGCCGATATTCGATATTCTGGCATGTCAGCTGGTGTACATCTTCCAGAAGATAAGATTCACTTTGTCGTATTCCTGTTCCATGGTACTTTGTAATTGCTTCTTGAGGAACAAAACCACATCCTCTACATTTCGACTGGTCACCAATTCTAGGGCAACTGCAAGAGCTTTACGTTTCACTTCCATGTCAGGACTACTCATCAGCTCAGCTCGTCCACGTGAAAATATCGACAATGCTCACCTCGAGAGAACTTTGAGGATGTCCATCACCATTCCATCAAGCACATGCTCATGTTTAGATCTCAGAACGTTGAACCTGTCCAACACGATGATTTTGACGTTGTTATCCGCCTCCTTGACTATTAATTCTGCGAATGCCCCGGCCGCAGCTACGACATCAGCTATAGCCACTACAACGCAGTTGGAAAGCTAACCTTTGACAGCGGCGGGATTCTGCGTGAGAGTCGTAAGGCTGACTGCAGCTTCATACTTGACGGCGTGTGATGGAGAGTTGAGTAGCTCGAAGATACATCTTATCCATTTGGCCTATTCATCAGTTGGATGCTCATGACCTTTTGAGCAAATATGAAAGCCGAACTGACTCGATGTCCTCCTTCGATTTTAGCTTCTTTCCTGACAAGCTCAATCACGGCCATTTGCATAAGTTCGTCCATCCCACTAATCTGGTCAAAGTTGGTCAGGACATATCTGACAGCAGTGGATTGAGAGATATTGCAGAGTGCTACAAAAGCATTGCGTTTACAAGTAGAATCGGATTCCTACGAGATTATCAGTAAAGTTCATCCCAGTCCCAATAAACGATACTGACAGCAGCTAGGAAGTGTCCAGAAGTTCCGTGCATCAGGATTAATTGTTCGTGATCTTGATATATGGTCCATACAGCAAAGACTGCATTCTTACGGACGAAAGAATGTCGATGTTCCTATAACCTGTGAGTTTGACATTTGGGTCATGGTCAAAACTCACAAGACATGATCTAACGGTAGGTACTAGAGGTTCGAGTAATTCTGATTCTCTGATTTTTTGCAAGAAACGTAAAGTAGCACCACGTATATACTCATTGGGATGTTGCTACATCATCAGACCATCATCCTTGCATTTCAGTCATCAACGTACCAGGTCATTACGAATGGCATTGCTTGATCGTCAGCGACAGTTAATGAAAGAATGAGAGAGACAGACATACCATACCAGAATCATCTCCTGTTTGAGCTTTCCGTTATCATCAAGTTTGGGACATATCTCCCAGTAGAAATGTAACATTTTCTTGATTTGCTTATTTCGAGATGGCATGACATATTGAATGATTGGCATGAGTAGTTGAGGCTAAATGGTCAGCTATATCCTCTCTCTTATCTCTTGCTCAGGACCTAAGAGAGAGGTATAAATGTTCATAGTAACAATACTCACATATGAATGTCCGTTCAAAGTCCCTATAATGATCCTCTTGACGGTCTCTAACTTGACCTCGTCCGAACCTTTTTGAAGGGCGTTACGAAGGTCATTAGACGATGGGGTGTCGAGGAGATCATCATGGACTATAGTGTAACAAGTGGCTGAAGGGTTCATCTTGTTTCTGCTGACCAAAATGTCAGAAACCTGTCTTCGCTCTTCCTATAGCAGACTACTTGTATAAGTTGAAAGTGATGATCAGTGAGGTCTAGGTGGAATGGACTGTAGGTGCTGTCGTGGTGGACGAGCGCGTTGGAAGGGAAATGCAAAGAAGTGCCACATCTCTCGGGGAAATCGGCATTTGCTCAGTTCCCATGGACGGATGGTTTGGACGGAGATGAGCCGAAAGGTCAAGGTTGACTTTCTGCAAAAGACCGTGAAAGGTCTCTCTCATACTTACCTCCTCTCTTTTCTGACCCCTCCCCTTCTCCCATTCACCCAGGGGAGATAAGAAGGTTTTCCGAGTTTGCAAGATGGCTTCCCCTACAGTCACCGTGAGTTTCCTTGTTGGAATCGACCTCAGACATGTCCACATTCCATATGCCACAAACACATTCCGGACTTCTCTCTTTAGACTGCTGCTTATTGCCGTCTGTCCTAGCCGTCCAATACATAGTGCTGGTGAGGACAATAGATGAAAGGACTCTCTTTGCTGCTGGTTGTCTTTGGTGAAAAGAGAAACTGATCACATAGGTCGTCCGATATTCCGCAATCTTCACCGGTATCATCTATGGCATAGTCCACCAACGGACATTACAACGGCAATATGATGAGCAAAAGGTGAATACACATCTGACTACATTGAATCTGAGCTGACAATGCTTTTCCTTGATATCACCGTTGCTTACTATTCCGACCTCATCCCTCTGACACTCCGACTCTCCCCGGCGTAATCCTCTGTCGTTCCGTAACGAATCTTCTTCCTGTCTCGGGCTACAAATTTGGACACCCAAATCACCAACACAGGCCAAACACCATGTCGCTCACCGAGAACATCTGATTGAGGAGGCACGGAAAGCGTACGCTGCGAAGAAGGCTGCTGAGAAGGGTGGTGCATCATCTCGTCAGTCAATATTTCAAGCACTCTTTGACACTTCCGATCATGCTGCCATGCTGCCGAAAACAAAGGCTGACGGTCTCACAGTGATAACCGACCCAGATGACCCACGATTCGACCTGGAGAAACTGGTAGAGTCATGGACGAAAGAATCATAAGATCAAAGCATGCATCGATAGATTCACAACGGCATATCTAAGTCACATTACGCTATGCCATGAACGCCTACTCCGACTTGAAGCGATACAACAATACCTAGCCTCTCATAGCACCTATTCAAAACTCCATGGACTCCTCTTTCACCTTCAGCGCCCTCGTATCCCTCAGAATGGCCGCGACATGTTTCTCAAACATTTCCACGTAAGGTTTGAGAGAAGTATGTTCGTAATCTTTTCGTCAGTCCGCGCAGCCGAGGGAACGAAGGGCATACCTTCAATTTTCCTGCCTTTTTGTTCTTCTTCAGAAGGTAAGTGATCGAGCTGACTCAACAACTCCCCTACGGTAGGTACAGTATCGGGATCGAATTCATCTACTAGATTGGGATTAACAGGTATACATACTCGACCTATGTGGAGTCAGTGAAGAGACAAGGTCTGGGATAATGTAACTGACCTGTTCCTGGGTGTATACAGAAGGGCGATTTTAACAAGTGATTCCGGTGTTTAGACACTTCACTATCTATTCGGGGGTATGTGTACTGAAGAATGATGTCTTGCATCGCTCTTTGATATCTTCTCTGAGCGTGTGAGCATCAATCAATGATAACAGAGTGAGATAAAAGGGCCCACAAAAGTCTTATGTTGGTCGCTATCTTCTAATGGGGCAACACGACTTTGTAGGTCATGCCACTTATCAGAGCTTGATCGTCCGGGGTCAGATTGCCATACATTTCTGAGAGTGCCGGTGATATCTGAGCATCAGCACATGAGCCGAATTCCTACTGACAAAGAGAGAGAACACAACAGGAGCAAGATTGAGAGAGACGTACGAGAGAGAGGAAAGTAGAGGAGTAGAAGAGGAGGGACGGACTAACCTCTATCTTGGGGAAGAAGTGACAGTAATGTTTCCCAACCTCTTTCAGATCGAAAACAATCTTGTTCCTCCAAACATACTCTAGCAAAATCGAATTTCAAAGTTTGTAATGTATCTTCGAGAAAAGGATGTAAAGGTGCTTCTCCATTTGATCCTCTAACATTCACTTTCTTCATTTGTTCTTTACTACCCTTGATCACTTCTAAGAAGGTCACGATAGCCTTGCGTTGATCATCGTTAAGATCTAAAGCTTGAGAATCGGAGATCCAACAATGAATTCCTCGTCGACCAGAGTAAACCCATAAGAGATGTTTGAACCCAAATGTTTCTGGCGGTTAGTTTTTTTTCCTAAATCTCGCCCCCCCTTCCCCCCCAACTCCCACCGATTCGACATCACTCAGCAGGTTGACACAAGACGCACACCTCGAGTTTGCCAGTTGAGCATAAGGTCAGTTGAATATGGCCATGTTGCACAAATTAGGGGGAAAGTTCGAGGGGTTGAGGGAGGGTACGAGGAGAGACATGGAGAACAGATAAAGGAATGACCCACCCCTCAAGGTCTGGTCCAACACTTTGACAGCAGCGGCTATATAACCCCAACATCGTTTACATATCTTCTTATCCGTACAACACGTCCGGATTTCGTCATAATCTGTCATATCGATATCAAACACTAATTCTCTTCTTTGTGGTTGTAAAGCTCCCGCCGCTAGAGTTTTGCGATCCCTTGGCTGGCTCACTTAGCTCTTCACTCTTTGTTGGAATAATGATCATTCTCGTGCCTACACATTTCTTTCATTCCTTATCGGCCTCCAGGCAGGTTCTTACCGATCAAGTAGCACAGAGAGAGCATCTGCAGGGACTGAGGAGTTGATAGAAATAGCTGAAGGGGATGGTGAAATGGTACGGAGAAGAAACTCACCCGAGCACTATATTGCGGACCAATCTCGAATCTGGACGGATTCAATCGAAGTAATTCTTTCTTGAAATCGTCCGCGGAGTGGAAAGAGTTGTATCGTATGTATACATCTCCCTGAAGGGTAAAGGCGAATTCTCTATGAGTGAAGAGTTTGGCAGGGGCTGTCGATCAGCTCGGCACAGATCACAGTTCGTATTGCAGAAGCTCCAGATATGGGGTATAGCGATGACAACTTCATTGAGTACGGCAGGTGAAAAGTCTAAGGGAGAGAGGGATGTGAATAAAAGAAAATCATGTGATGGAATAATGTAATCACATACCATGATCTTGATTTAACCAAAGGAAGAACGGACGATATGGGAATAAACGACGGTAAAAAGCGTTCATCACTTGAGGTGAACTCGGACTGAAGAGTCAGTGATTCTCCGCTGTGCAAGACACCTGACAAACTCATAGTCCACCATCCTACAGGTCAGCTATGATTGTTCCAAGAGGTCGGCCAGCTTACGGGTCGTCTTTGATAGGTATGGGCATGTTGAGGTTGATATGACAAAGTCGAAATTCTCAGTGGACGACATTTGACGCGACGCGTCGGTCGAGACATGAAGGAAATTGCTTCCGGCTGTCCCATGAAGCCCAGTCGCTGTATTCGCTGTGATCCTTGTGCAAGTCTTATAGCATGAGGAATAATGCATCATGACGGTGTTCTATGTTGTGAAGTAATCCCAAGAGAAGATCTAGTGTATGGTATATATCTACTGGATGATGTTACCTCATAAGATGAGCTTTCCCTGCACGGCCCATCACCGGCTCGTCCACCTCTACCTCTCCATCCTCCCCTATGGCTCCCCCTCCCGGCATGACTTTCGCCATTGGCAAGCCGAGGAAGAGCTATTTCTGTCATACCCCGAGCTGAGACATCATTGAGCACACGATTAATTGCAATATCTTCCCATACCCTAGGCTGGTGTAGCTCGGGTAAGACAAATATCCTGTCGAACCCTTCTGGCCGTTGCGGAGTCGGAGGATCAAACTGTCTGCTCATATCATCCAACACCCGCAGAGCGGTGTCAAAATCTTGTATACTTGGATGATCTTTCCTAGTAGCTAGACGAGCTTCCAGAGTTTGTCGGGATACAGGGAGGACGAGTGCCCAGATCCGAGGTGGTGGCCGATGTGTTTTGGCTATATTGACGAAGTGGGCTCGTTGGCTGACGCGTCCGTCAGTCTATCATATCACGAATTCACACCGTCCATCCTACACAGGGCGAAGCACGAGTATCACATTGGATATAGTCGATGCCATGAACAAGGTTGAACAGAGAGATGCTGGCTAGCAACCGGAGGGACGTTCTGAGTTGAGATATGAATAGAGAGCTCACGTAGGATCGAAATCACATCTATCAACAACAACATTATGTCCTTGTTGAAGAGCTCGTTGAACGACAAGTTCGCATTCCTTCCGTCGCCTGCCTGGTGCGTCATCTTGAGACGCCCTGATCCATTGTCGTCGTCGTTGGAGTAATGAAGAATGCTGACTGGAACTAGCAAAGGATTTCCCTTCGGAGCCCAATGCTGGTATTGAAGAAGATGAATCTGGCAAACCATAACGAACTAGAGCTTCTGAGAAAGTCGTCTTGCCGGACCCTGGGAGACCGACCAGAATCAGGACGACCTGTGGCTAGAGGATTAGCTGAAACAACTATAGGAAGTACGATTTACCTCTTCACCTTGAGATGAATCACCTTGATGTTTGGATCTCCATGACTGAGCATCAACACTCATTGATGATTGAGTGTAATGTGACATTTGAACAGCTAAGGGATAGAGGAAAGTCGGTCAGTTTGGCTTATGGGAGGACAAAGTGCGGGCCTCGCCGCTAGGATCGCTTCTATGTATGTTCCCTGCTTTCACCCATACACCCATATAAATTACCCATCCTCGTCTTCTTTCCTGTCAACCCCGCATCTCAGTATAAGTATCACCGCACTCTCTATGCTTCTTATAGTATAATGGACGGGGAAGGAGGTACTGAACTGCTTGAAGCGTATGGTGAATCATGCCTTTCCCTGTCTTCCCATCTTCCCGGTCGTCTGCAGTGCCCGCGTGAAGTCATAGCTGATCTCAGACTACCTTTTCAAGTTCATCGTCATTGGTCAGCTCCTCTTCCAGTTTCTGAGGCTGCAGCTGACATCAAGGTGAAGCAGGAACAGGGAAGTCGTGTCTGCTATATCACTGCATTCACGAGACTTGTGCGTATCCTACTGATCACTCGACAGTCTTTCTGACCACCACAGTCAAAGAGCATTCAGCACATACCATAGGTGTCGAATTCTCAAGTCGTACGCTTAGAATAGGTGATAAGAATATCAAGCTTCAAGTAAAGTAGACACGTTGTCCGTAGAGATTGAGCTGACAGTACAGCTTTGGGATACAGCAGGACAAGAGAGATTTCGATCAGTCACGAGATCATACTACCGTGAGTATCAACCCATAAGTCCGTCTATGGAGCTAACTTCGGACAGGAGGGGCAGCGGGGGCTCTTTTGGTCTACGACATCACTTCGTCAGTCACTGGTTATACTCATAGGACGGCGCTGACCATTGAGACGACAAAGCTTTGCGAACCTCAGCAGATGGTTGACCGATTGTCGGGCTCTAGCATCCCCTCATTTAGTCGTTGTGCTCGTGGGCAATAAACTTGACAAGGAGGAAGATAGGGAAGTTGAATATGTCGAAGGATCTCGATGGGCGCAGGAGAATGGTACATCTTCATTCCTCCTTCCACTCCCCACAACTCTGGTTCACAAAACGTCACCGATGGATGGTTGCTCATACTCAGGATTATTATTCGTTGAAGTATCATCCTTGACAGGAGAGAACGTCACGACACCTTTCCTCCTCGCTGCTCGTTCCATACTCTCTTCTATCGATTCAGGCGTTCTCGATCCAGACACTCCTAACACTGGTGTTAGTTATGGTGAGAGACAATTACGAACCGTGGGTAGTAGCTCGAGACTTAGCATGGCATTTGGAAGAAGTAGTAGACGAAGGAGACGGGATAGTGTGAGTATACGGGATATGGTAGGGAATAATCGGTGCAGTTGTTGAAGAAGCGGGAAGATGCCCATGTGCCTTTCTGTGAGAGAGTGAATGATCGGGAAAGTTGTCGTAAGGTTCGATATAATGTGTGCTTATTGTATGTACTTGTTTAATGCCGACCCGTTACGCCGTTGCTGACTCCCTGACGGCTTTGACGGTTTCACGGATCATGCGGATCACGGAAGACATCCAAGGTTGTAAGCCAAGAGGAGGAGGGAAACCGAAGAAAGCCGAGGGAAGGAACAAGTACCGGTCTTTCGAATAAGCGGAAAGGTCCATCTTCCTCCCCGTCCCCCCTGTAAACTGGGAATACTTCTGCTCTACCACCTTGTATCTAGCATCTCAAGCAAAATCTCTCAGCAGAGACACACGGTTCGAAATACCTTCCCTTTTCATCCCTTATTCCGAATTGTTCAACGCCTCAGGTCTCACTCGGTCGACAACCAACATCAAGTCACCTTGACATATCGCGACCTCATCAGTAGACCTCTTAAACGTTCAGCGCATAGTACGATTGAGGAAACATGTCTACCAGCACTAGCAAACCCTTTGGAGGTGGTAGAACAGGAGATAGGATAGTACCCAAAGCTTCGGGAGCAAAGGAGAAAATTCCACTGAGCACTCATCTTATAGCGGGAGGAGTGGCAGGTCTGGCGGAGGCTTTAGTATGGTGAGTCACCTCCTCTCATGTCATATTTACTTGCTCTAACTTCCCAAACTCCCAACCAACTACGTATATCTCACATGCAATTTTCACCTTTGAGGTGTTTCTGTATGAAGCCTGACTCTCAGCCATCCACTCGACACGATCAAAGTGCGGATGCAACTCTCCCGGTCACGAAAAGCCAAGGGTGTGAGTGGATTTCATTCTCCAATACCCTCTTCTGTCACGATCTGTTACTGTTTCTGGATGGTCAAGCTGTGTAGGAAATTGGTTCTGCGGACATTATCACACTCTAACAGGTCTAGATGGAAATGATGCTGATTCACAGCTCAAGCCCCTTGGATTCTTCGCAACTGGAAGACAGATCGCAGCTCGAGAAACCCCCTTAGGGTTGTATAAAGGTCTCGGAGCGGTCATTTCGGGTATCGTACCCAAGATGGCTATTCGTTTTGCTTCATTTGAATGTGAGGCGTCTACTCTTTTCTTCGTCCTCGTGTCATTTTCCATCTTCTCCCTCCATACTACTTCCCACTTCTCTTCACATCCCATTTCTAGCCATACTTTTCAACTTTCCTATATCTACTTAATTTTCTTCTCTCTCTTCTTGGTCACACGTGGAGGAAGTGATTCTATGATTCTGCTACACACTTGGGAGGAGTAGCTGACAACAAGTCTACAAAGGGTGGTTATCCGACCCAGATGGAAAGATCTCACCTGGCTCGACATTCCTCTCTGGTTTAGGAGCAGGTGCGACAGAAGCTGTGGCAGTTGTCACTCCTATGGAAGTTGTCAAGATTCGGTTACAAGCACAACAACGTAAGTCTCTTTGCGTCAACCATGTCTGTTACTCATGATAGATTCTCTGGCGGATCCATTGGATATCCCTCGATATAGGTGAGTCACTTCTTTAGTGAAAAGGACATTATTCACAGAAGAAACGCGGCACATGCAGTCTTCACCATCGTTCGGGAAGAAGGAATAGCCACGTTGTATAGAGGAGTCGCTTTGACTGCTTTACGTCAAGCTACCAATCAAGGTGAGTTTTCTCAACCTGTTCATACCCCTACATACTCCTCACCTCTCATTTGCAGCATGACACCGGACCAAGATCTGTTCCCAAGTCAGTGGAATATCGATAGGCCTCGTGTGGGATGTCCGTCGTCGGATTTGAGGGGATTGACAGGTGATTGGGGTAGGAACTAATGACAGGGGTCAACTTCACGGCATATCAACAATTCAAGAAATGGGCTTTAACATATCAACCAACTTATTCTGAAAAAGGGAATTTGCCAAGTTGGCAAACTATGATAATCGGATTGATATCTGGTGCTATGGGACCTTTTTCCAATGCTCCTATCGATACTATCAAAACGTGAGTTCAAATGTAAGAATCTCTACTACCCTACATCTCACACTTCTCGTTTTCCATATAGTCATTACTGACTTCTCCTGCTTTCACTTTGTTCCTCCGATCCGATAACCTAGCCCCACCAAAGCTCATCTTCCTCAAGCTTTCACCCTATAACAACACCAAGTTCCTTGATGAAATAGTGAAAAAGTTTAGATGAAGTTGTCAAACTTCTAGTGTGATGGAACAGTCAATACATGTTAACACTCTATAGACGTATACAAAAAGCATCAAAAGTTCCTGGTGAAACTTCATTATCTCGATTCATGACGGTAACCTCTGATTTGTTCAAGAATGAAGGTTTCAGTGCTTTTTACAAAGGTATCACACCTCGTGTTTTACGAGTCGCCCCTGGTCAAGCTATCGTCTTTACTGTATGTCATAATCTTCTTTATAGTGTTTTTCTGATGGATAGGTATATGAAAGAGTCAAAAGAATTATTGATAGTGCTAAAAGTTCATCTCTCGGAGCGGAATATGACGAGTGATCGATGATCTTTCAATTCTCTCTCACTACCTTTCTTCACTTCTTTGACTTCATCTCTTTTGTCTTACTGGTTGTCTTGGTTGACGTATGTGTACGTGTGTACCTTTTACCCTTTGTTATTGTGCTTGTAACCCTTGTACGACTGTGATGTCTTGATGTCATTTGTTACTCTATCACAACTCTTGATGTCAATTGTCACTCTGTCATAACTCCTAATGTCATATGTTATTCTTTCACAATGATTTTAATGCAATAATGCAATGCAGGGTCTGCTACAAGATATACAGTCGAGCACTCGTACTCGTACAGTTTGGGTGTAGTACAACACGCGTTCGTGGGACAAAGTTCGATTAGGTTTGTACAATCAGATATCACACTTCCCTATTCCCCTTAAGCTCATCATATCTTCTCCTCTTGGCTTGTAATCTCCAATCTCCCTCACCTTCCACATCAGTCATCACGATAGCTCCTTTCGCACCTAATCCCCGTTTCTCAGCTCGTAATTCCACTTCTATAGGTGTTGATCTTCCAGAACCATCTTTACCTAAACCTGTACCTGGTTTCCATCCTTGAGAAGCTAACATAGCTTGAGAGAATTTACTTGGACCCATTCCATCTCCATTTTGACCTCCTCGTGAGCTTTCATTTTGTCCTCCATGTCGTGTCTCTCCAGAAACAGGTGTGGTGTCGATTACATTTGGAGTTCTTACTCTTGGTGGTGGAGAAGGAGGATACATTTTTCTTCTTATCGCCGATCGATCGATATATTCTCTTTTCTTCTCCATCCCATCTCCAACACCAACATGATCCCCGTCACCTCCTCCAAAACCATATTTCGAACCGACTCCTACGGCGTTGGCCCCACTGACCATATAGCCACTTTTTTTCTTACCCCCCTGACCAGCCTCTTCTCGCAGTAAGACCTCTTTCAAACTCGCCATCTCGGCTTTTCGTTTCAATTCTCTATTCTCTCTCTTCTCTTTGCTCGTCATTGCCCATGGAACTTCAGGTACTGGTTGGGAGGTAGCGGGAGGGGGGGAAGGAAGTTGACCATCGTCTAATCGAATTTCGTTGGTTCGGTTTATTTGACAGACTTCACATGGCCATTGAGGATGAATATGACAGATGAAAATTGTGGAACCTATTCGGAGGGTCGAGAGGTGGGATAGGGGATGAGGACGAGAGGATGTTTTAGGTTCGGATAAACGAATTTCGTCTCTTCTTGCTTTTCCTTTACCATTACTACCACTACTAGCAGCTGTTACTGAGGGAGGGAATGGAGAAGATGGAACTGATATTGCCGTATCAGATTCACCTAATTTCGGAGGAGGTTTAATAAATGTCCCATGTGTCGAACCTTCCAATAAGCCCTTTGTCTCAAACTTTTTGGAATGAACTCACCAAGATCCACAACCCACCAACCTTCTTCTTCCTCTTCTTCCTCTTCATCCCCCTCATCAGGAGAAACATTCCCAGATTTCCCCCAATAAACAACCCCATGAGTTTTACTAACCTCCATCTCACGTAATCTAACCCTTGCTACACCACCCCTTTCACATCGGTCCCTACCCAATTGTATCCCTCCTTCCCGAGCGTCGATCACCGCTACTTGTCCTACCTCCAAACAATCAGATCGATCTACCACTAAGCGAAGGATATGACCCGGCATCTTGACTAGATCATTAGGTTCGTCCGTTTCTGCGGGAAAGGAGTAAATAGAAGGATCGTCATATGCTGGATGTTTGGTCAAAAAGGGGAATTGTTTATTGATCGTCGGATGGGATGATAAAGATGAAGATAGGTTTTGTTTATTCTGTACGACCTCGGCTAGTTTTTCAGGATCCATAAGACCACCCCAACCTACATCATCTTCAATCTCCCCGTCTTCTTTGTTATGGTCTTTCTCATCTTGTTCATTTCTCCCATACTCCCTCTCACCTTGATTGTCCTCGTTATTTTGCCCCTTTGATGTATCTGAAGCAGAGGGCGGTGGCTCATTTTCAGGCACCGTACTTTTGTTGGTCTGTGAGGTAGGATTTGATTTGGACGGGGTATTGGTAGAAGTAGTGGTGGAGGACGAGGAGGCGACTGGGAGGTAAGTCCAATGACCTTGAGCGTCGGGAACGGCATAAGTCCCCCATTGAGCGTTATAGTAGGCACGATGAGAAGGTACCCATACCCATCCTCCCTCGTTAGCTTCGGGAGTGGTCATCTTGTCGTGTATCGGCTTGCTTGCGAGTCAACGATCAACGAGGACAAAGCAGGTTAGCAGGTTGAAAGTTGTCTTTTGACAGAGTTTGGGAGGCGGAGGACGCCGCTCCGTTTCACTTCCAAAACGGGACACCATGAAACTGGTCCAGAATCGTTCCTCCCTCCCTACCTCACTTTTTCCCCGCTCTCCACTCCCACACTTAGCTTTTGATGATGATCCGTTCATGTAAGGTTCATGGTTCAGATTAGACAAGGGGTTTTGGATAACAATGCACACGACACGGGTACACGGGACGGCGGCTCTGAACGTTCGCCGGAGTGTACTTTATGTCGAGGCCACGCACGTGCGCATTCAACGAGATCCTCAGGAACGTCCCATTTTTTTCTCTTTTTTTCCAAAAGCATGTTCGAGTATATGACCACCTTCTTTTCTGTAGTCTTTGATACTGACCCATTGACTCATCGTGTGACCAATCTAACTCAGAATGTCTACAACTCTGAACCCGCCTGGCGTCGTTCAACCGCAGCCTCAAATACAACAGAAGCCAGAAGAACCAACTATCAGGGGTTTATTACCGAAAGATGAAGATATGATTAGGATGTTAGTTGGACAAGGTGTCATGGAAGGACTTGCTCGTGCCAATAGACGTGGTGAGTAACTTTTTTCCCGCCTCATCTTCCCCCCTTACATCTTCGCATACGTTTGATCCGAGTGAGGTGATGGATGTTTGTCTTTGATTCATCTTATGTTCTGTCCCACTTTTATCCACTAACTCTCAGTTTACACTCATCCCCTTCTTCTCTCCCTTTGGATCCTCATTGGCGCTTTATTAGACTATCAATTCTCTTACTTTCCTTCCCCCGATATCCCATTATCCACAATATACCCTCTTGTCGGTCCGGCACTCGTTGCATTACCCATTCTAGGCGTTGTGGAATATCTTCATCGACCAATCTTCACCAAACTTCTCAGAACGACAATAGGAGCTCCTGATCTCGTGTCACCATCAAGATATTATTCTCAACAAACCAACAATGTATTTCCTCGTACCCAAGCGACCAATCGTAAAACATCCGCAAAACATGAGAAGGAATCTCATGATAATTCCAGAATCGTACGGAATGGGATAAAGTCGGAGGTAGGTGAAAATATAAAAGGTGGAAGTTGGGTATTCATACATAAATCTGAAATTGTTGGTTGTATCATGTTAGATCATAAATATCCAGGTCAGAGTTTAGGTACGGTTTTAGGTGAAGATGATGGGATATTAGGTGAGAAAGGTATTTTGGATCAAGTGTTACTTTCTTCCGATAAAGATCAAAAATCAAAATCGAGTGGTAAAAGTGTCAAATCGGACAAGACAACATCACGAAGATCGTCGAAACAGGGAGTAGAAGAGTCAGAGATGGAAGGAAGAGTGGTACAGATTAGACATTTGGATGTGGATTTACCATTTAGAAGACATAAGATCGGAACGGAACTCTTGGCTCATTCTCTTGATCAAGTTTTTGGGTTCGATCAGACTGATTCTTCATCCACCGAGGGACAAGATACAAAGAAAGGGAAGGATATCTCCAAGAAAGAAAATGGAGAGTCAGAAATGATGGTGATAGTCTTTACGAATCCTTTCACTCCTGGTGGAGAAAAGTTTTGGCGTAAAGCGGGTTTCAGACCTTTGTCCGATGTACAAACAGAGGGATGGGAACGATCGGAGAAAGTCGGATTGTTTGGTTGGAGAGGGAGATGGATGGGGATCAGAAGGGTCGAATGGGAGGAAAGGAGGAAAACTATATTTGACAAACGGTCAACTTAGGTGTTTAACCTGAAGACGTCATGACTTACTTTGTGTGATTTTGGAAAGTTGGCATCATCGAGTGAATGGGGATGAATCAAGAAGGAGAGAGGGCACAGAGAGAGAAGGATCATAAGGTCTTGACTACTAGATGAAGTTTGTTGTTTCACAATGCATCTACAAATTATTTATTCGAAACTCTTTCCCTTCGGGATCTTCCCCTTCCCCTGGATTCTTGATCTACTCCTTCAAATGATTAATGCACTAGAAGACTATAGAGAGATATGTAGATGTTGCATGCTGCACCTCCTATCGAACTTTATAACTCTGCACAGTGACCATACTTCCCTCTGATACTTTTCCATTCACAGATACGGAGAAATGTATTTCCACATCTAATTCTCGAGAATTAGTAGGGGATTTCCTACAATGAAATTGACCGATGATACTTTGACCTATCCATAAGCAAACTTCTTTTACTGTAACCTACTCTCCAAGCTTGTACACCTTCGGGTCATCCAGGAAAGCAGATGTTCAATGACTGGGGATAACGGTAAGATGTCTGAATCGAGATTGATGAAAAGATGAAGATGAAAAATCAGACGTACTTGGCTGAAGAAGGATTGAATTTCTCAAGAGAAAAACTACTTGTTTCCAATGCGTTTCTCTTCCTTTTGGACCCGTAGTGAAACTCACTTCCGTTCCCACTTTCCCTTCCCGGTCAACATGCGGCGGATGGATTGGTTCGGCGATGTTGGTATTCTCGTATTTGACTAAATCAACGGTATGTTCAGAAGAAACATGTGAGGCTTGACCAGAGAGAGGGGAGAAGAAAGTATTGAAATGTACCATAAATGCTCGAAGGGTGATTGGTGCTGTCGTAGCTGAATGTATTTGGAAGGAGGAATGAAAATCGAGAGAGTTTATAGTGGCCGAATGAGAGTTGATATCCTTTTCATCAACTTTTATCCAAAACACACAAGTTTCGATTGGGAGAAATAAGTACATCTTGTTTGGAAAAACAGCGATTCTCACGAGAATCTGTGTGAACAAACAGGGATCGCGGAGAAGAACAGAGATAATGTCACTCGTGCTTTTGAAAGAGAAGAGAGGTGATGGCATGGTGATAGTGAAAGAAGTAAGAGAAGAAGCTTGATGAGACATACTTTGATTATACTCTCCGTGGTTATGACTTCTTCAGGGTCGACAACTTCTGTAAGACCTTCGTCGAAGTACGTATCTGACATAGTAGACATGTCGAATCCTGCGATTCAGCGATCATTCTCACATTCTTAGGCCAGATTCGCGCTCATACCCAAACCTGCCACCAAACCACAGGAAAGCAGACGGGTAGAGCGGATATGACTCGAAAAGCCAACGAAGAAAATACTATATCAATAAGACTTACCATATACCGAACTCCAAAATTTGACCCTCTCTGCCCAAACTTTCTCAGCGGTTATACCACTTATGACCAATCTCGTTTGAGAAGGAACCATCAAACCGGTATTTGACAAGAACTTATCCCTAGCACTGACCATCAGCGAAGGATGAATATAAATACGGTTGGATGGTCAACTCACACAAGGACGGAATCCAGCATGGACTCGTATAACAGCATATAACCCTGATGATCAATCATAAGTCAAGTGGATTGAGAGAAGAGAAAGACTGACCATCCATTCGCTGATTATGATATCTACCTTAAGCACAGGTAGAGAAATTTCTTCCACTTTTCCTTGTATGATACTTTATGTCAGCATCACTGAACTCGGTAGATAAAACTTGACTTCTCCGCTGTCCGCAGATATCATAGGGCCACTGATCTGATGAGATGGAACTGGACAAGGATCACAGGGGATGATTACAGGGTGAGAGAATGAGTTGAATCAAGTCTGATGGAAATATATGACTTTGAGAAGGAACGTACGTGATGATATCCCCTAAACCATTCTTCTCCACATTTTCTCTTGCTTTCCCAGCCAAAGCAGAAGCTTCAATCCCATAGACCTTGACTGCTCCAGCTCGAGCGGCGAACACTTACATCAGCCACTTTTCAACATTGATCTATTCTTGATGAAAAGAGAATGACCACTCACTGGAGAGAATACCCGTACCACATCCGACGTCCATCACCGTAGCCCCTCGGAACACTTGAGGGTTGGAAAGGATGAAAGTTGCGTAAGACATGGTGCGGACAGTATCTTTGAGCATGATTTCGTGAATGTCTACCAGATTAGTCAATATGAAGCTGGAAGATGTTTTGATAGGTGGTATATTTCGATCTGAGGTCCTTTTACAAGTGACGTCTTGGTTGAAGGAGGGAAGATTCGCGACAGAAAGGTGGGAACTACATCCAACAGCAAAGACGGAGATGACAATTGAGAGCGAAGTGTGAAGCGAGAGAGGGCAGGGAGTCAGAAGACTAGTAAGAGATTCAATGAGAAGAGATCAGTGAAGAGATATGAACTCACCATTATGTTCGTAAGATTCGAAATAATGAGTATCATCATCTCTTTCTTTCCCTCTGCCCTTGCCCTTCTGCCCCAACTTTCTCACCTGCGTCATTGAGGCTGACTCCCCAGAATCCGACGTGGCATCATCCACCAATGAATCCCTCAACAATTCCTGTAATCTCTCAATCTCCCTCTTAGCATCTACCAACTGTCTCTCAATATCTCCCTTTCCATCGCTTTCCACCCTTTCCTTGACCAATGAAGAGCCAGAAGGGATTTCCTCTCGTGACCTCACGTCCGGAGAATCTTCATCAGACCATGTATCTTCAAAGTCGAGCTCTATACATCAGCTCTGCGAGGGTGGTATTAGGTACAAGTAGCTAACGTAAGAGAGGATCATCAAGGATGACCGGATGGAGAAAGGTGTCATCTTTCAGTCGAGGATCTTGAGCGGAGAGCGATTTAGCTTGGTCGGGAGTTAGGCACTTTGGATCAGCAAGTCTCATTCTCCCTCTTTAGAACACAATTCCACTTCTATTCATCTTCTCAATTCTGAATTCAGTCACTTCGAGAGCCTGATGAGCTTCAAAACAAATACCACATGAGATCACTTCCACACTAATGTCTTGAGTAAGGATACTGAAAGTTGAACTCACCTCAGCCCTGATGAGATTCACATATCTCATACGTCCATAAAAGTCCAGATCCAACCTCTTGCACTCTTTCATCAAATCGAACCCATGATTCTCCGAATCATACACTAACTCAAGTTTAGCATTGTCCAAAATCTCATCAGAGAACAAAGATTTGGTTCGTTCGGCTTCACCCAACGATGACACCCAATCTGAGGCTCGTTCGTCAGAGTCGGTACTTTCTGATCCTGAATCATCCTGTGTGGACACTAAACCTATAGTCTCTTCAGTCAATCGATAGGTCATTGTAGTTCGTGGTCGGCAGTCCGGTCGTTTAGACCTCAGATTGACCAACCTGTCCAAAATTCTACTCACACCCAAAGTTTTGCGGGACCCCACATTCCAGAACTCATAGCCATGTTTACGTAAACACCAGAGAAAACGGAAGCTTTCCGGCCAGAAGTCGGCGCTACCTTGATTTCGGCTTGGGGATCGGAGAGATGAAACGGGTCTAACCAAATGCATCTAAGACGATCTGATTGCTCGGACAGAGTGGCAACCCCCGAATGGAGACTGTATGTAGACCGCTGTACATTCCACCACCGCGAGGCTTTCTGGAGACACCCTCAAACAAGACTTGAGATGACGTCGAATGCGTGAGAAAGATTACTGGTGGCCAGAAGCTGAAAGCTAGTACAGTAACCATGAGCGACACAGATAAGGTGCGTGAGATCTCTGCGGCCGAGGCCGGGGGTTCGGTACTGCCTTTGAGCTATGCACTCCATCAGCCCATCACTGATCACTGATTACCGACGCAATCATCTGACGCGTGACTACGCCATCATCACTGCAGCATGCAGCTGCCAGAAGGATGTTTTTCACAGGCAGACGTGTCGAGGCCATTGGTATTGATATTAGAAGTGCCATAACAGCTCCAACAGCCGACACCGAACCCATGAAGGTCTCTTACGGTGGAGTAGGATGTTTCATTTGTCTATGGTGCCTCCAATTGCTGTGATTAAAAAGTGGACCGAGTCAAGGAGGCAGGAGAAGACGCGCGCCGTGCACAGGGACCATTCAAGTGTTCCCGATCTTAAGTGGTGTGATATCAGAAGGAGTAAAATCCTCTCCTCTCACGCCTACAGCCCTGAATACATTCCGAGTGGCACTCGATTTCACCGGCGCCACCTCACGGCCGCACGGAAAACCCTTAATCCTCCACATCCCTGGCCTTTACGCCTCTTTCTTGATTTGCGGCCTTGCGGTTCGGGGTGTGCGGCAATCGCCCATCCTTCAAAGACAGAACCTTGAAAATCCCACCCAACAGACTATATCATCTTTTAGTGTTCCTTCGCACAGATAGACGTCTTCTTTCTCTATTCTCACATTTTGTCCAACCGGTGGGATATATACAGTTCCACGACGATTTTGACGCGCCGAAGAAACGACGATCTCGACGTACGACGGTGTGAAGGTGACCTGTGGGACGTGTCAAAGATTGGAGACCGTGCTTTGTCCGAGTTAAAAAACACTCAACTGATGGGATTTGGGACTTGAAACGTTATCTTTCGACTACTTTTTTTTCCATTTCGACCTAACATAGATCGAAAGATCAACAAGCATCTTACTATCTTTTCGCTTCCTCTTCGCTTCAACAACATCTTGTCGCCCCAAAGTTCGTCTGACCCTTGTCGATCATTATCTCTCACCCCTTCATCACGATCTCTAGTGTAGATTCGATCTTGTCACACGTTCACTCGGACAAGTAGACGCCCTTTCACTTCGTTGACATCGGCGATCTGATAGTCATCGTCATCGAAAATCGTCATTCGTCAAATCGTCCGTATTTCCCACTCTCGTGTGAGAAACATAGTCGAAACATACTTTTACATCGCTCCCCTCTATCTCCAACTCACTTCACTCTCCTTCAATCCAGTTCTCGACCTCTCGAGTGACATAACGGACCTCTAACCCTTTATTCTCACATCATTCTCATCTCAAGATGATCCCCCGTCTACCAGTCACAGCGACTCAACTAGTCTTCCTATTCCTCCTCGCCACTCCTGTTTTATCCCTCGCTCAGCCCGTCGCAGACCCAGAAGCCGCACCAGCACCAGCACCTCTCCCCATACCTGCCCCTCAACCAGTACCGGCACCAGCTTCTGGGACTCTCGACGCTCCTGCCAAATTACAACCCAGAGCACCACAACCATCCCGACGGATGGGTCAACGACGAACAAACAAAGCCGAACAATTGAAGAAAAAAGATTATTCATCTTTCCTCTGTCCCGGTGGAAGTGTCGCTTGTCCTATCCCTCCTCCTAGTTTAGAAGACATCACCCCCGCGTCAATATCAAGTTTAGAAATGGGTTTGAATTCATTGGCGGATTGGTTCAAAGTTGGATTTGAATGCATCGAGTTGGATACCGAGTTGAATTCATGTGGTGGATGTTTAGCACTTGGATCTGGGTAAGTCAAATTTTGTTTCTGATCCCGCTCGAATAAAAACACAATCGCTTGAACACGAAGATCTTCCTTCCTTGTCCATAAGGGGTCGACTCGAATAGTTTTAGATTTTGACTCATTGTGAAACCGAGACAGACATCAAAGAAAGAAATGAATCAGTCACTGACGTATCAGACAAGATTGTTCACTCATACCCAACGCCCGAATGACAGGTTGCGAAGCCGGCGCATGTTCAGTTTACTCGTGTTACGATGGTTACGTCGTTTCACCCGATCGTACTACTTGCGTCAAAAAAGGTACCGTTACACCTGCGACACCAGTGACAGCTTTCCAGTCTGGTCAAATGGTACTCGAGGGTGAAGTCGAATCATAATCCAACAATCTATATCTTGCCACCATCCTGTCAGCCCAGTCATCAATCTTCATCTATATCCCTCACCTCCCCCCATTTGAACAATCAAATCGATATCACGATGGAATAAAGAGTATTTTAGAAGAATGAAGAAGTAGGAGATTAGAATAGACAGCATATTGGAAAGACGGAAATATATACCTTATCATATGGACATTGTTTTGGAGAATTTATCATGTAGCAAAGGACAATTCTTGGTACTTTTTTTGGGTACCTACAACTAGAGATTTCATCTTTTATAGTATGTTTCATATGTCGATGGCTGGACGGCTTTGATACGAAGAGTGTCAGCTATGAGATGCATATCATTTTTCATAGCTTTTCAGGCTCACCATCATTGTGTCGGTAGTGGGAGGCAAGCAAGGTACCGGTGGCCGGTGGCGGATGGCGGAGTAGAGCACAGCTTGAAGTTTCCGTATTCCTAACCCTTTGGACGTCATCATATTCAACTCTACACTCGGCATTCCTTTGCCTCTCTCTTTCCTTCAGCTATTCTATCAGACTTCTTGCCATTGGGTCTTTTGTCTCCAGTCTTGCGCCTTATACCAACAAGTCTTTGACAGACTTCGACTGTTCGTATTGGATCCGCTATCGTCCTTCCCTCATACGCAGTTAGGATCATCATGTCTCGCTATTCGGTATGTCACACTTCTGTCTTCCTCCATCAATCTCAATCGGGATACCTGATCTGTCGGACTTGGATAGGGACATAAGTTGATTATGTCACAGTATTACAATGTTCAACCTATGCTTTCCAACACTTCGGTTCATTGGGCCTTATCGGGTAAACATCCAAGTCGAGATCTGGAGTAGGTCATCCTCTTTCTTCACTATACCATCGAGCGTGATGATCATCCGTATCAATCATAAACCCATCCGCTTCCCTTACCATACTGCTCAGTGCCAGAACCCGGACAGACAGCCATCTTGTGAGCTGACCACGAGTTATGCTAAAGGAGTCTTGAGATCGTATATCGATGTCAAACGACAAAGAGGGCGGATGGGTACTGAGATCAGCTATAAGCTGGAAGTTTTGGAAGAAGAGGTGAGTAAATCTCACGTCTTCCGTGTCAAAACCCTCGATCTGACTCTTCGCTTCTCCAATATCATCGACTGACATATGCCCTCTCTCAAGACTTGAGATCGTACTGTAGGACACAAATATGTGTCTTGATGAATCTTACTTGGTGGTCTGATAGTGGGGAGAGTTGACAGATAGCTTCCTCAATGGGCAGAGGCCTTTCGAATAGTCAGACAACAATATGGTCTTCCCCCCTCTCGTGTTCTCCGAACTCCACAACCCACTGCCGCTCGACGTCCCACTTCCACCTCTGCCCTCCCTAGCATCTCAAGAATCTCATCACAACCTTCCACCCGTCCTTCAGGCTCGAGGGTAACATCTACGTCTGACTCAACTCGTTTGGGCGTACCAGCAGCTGGAGGTCTCATCCATCGGGTATCTACAGTTTCGGGTTCTACTCATACATCCACACAACGACCCACTCAGACAGAAGATGAAGAAGGTGCTCCTCCACCACCTTATACCCCGAGAGATCCAGAACCTGAACAAACGATGATGTTGGAACAACGACTAGCTGCTGAAGCTGAAGCTGCCGGAAGAGTACAACCTGATCCCATGCCAAATCCCGTTCCTGTCGCTGCAGAAAGAAGGGCGAGTTTGATGGATCGACCTGATACTCCACCACGAGAACCTGAATTAGCTCAAGCATGGGAAGAAAGTCAATTCGAAGAGGCCAAAAGAGCTTCATTAGCTGCTGCTCGTGAACGGGCAGATATGGAAGAAGCTATGAGGTTGAGTCTTGCCGAAGCGGAACGAGCTGGTGTCACTCTTCTTGTGTTGGATGAAGATTCAGCTGGTCCTAGTTCAAGAAGAACAATCTCTTATGATCCCCCACCCGGTCCACCTCCTCAGAGAAGGGTCGTTAGTGAAGCCACTTCCTCTTTGACAAATGATTTGGCAGGTTTGACTATTCCTGGTGGATGGGAACAAGGCCTTATAGGAGATCATCAAGGACAAACGCAAGATGAGTCATTGCTTGATAGGAATGGATCACAATTACAGAGTAACAATCCTTTCTTATCATCTTCCGAAAGAGAAGAGATCCAAGAAGATCAAGGTTATCCTGGAGAATTACTACAACCTTCACCTCCTCGACAACCAGAAAGGAGGAGAGTAACTTCCTCTAGTTCATCACGAGATAGACCAGGTTCACAATATACTTCACATAATTTCTCACCTCCTGCACAATCGTCAAGATCATTACCCCTTCAACAGGAGACACCGAGATACACTCCTCCTGAAGGTCCACCTCCAGCACATTTGAGAATCGTCACTCCTCCAGCTACAGTATGGCCAGATACGATGCCCATTCCTGAATCGGTTCTCTCCCCTCAATCACCTATGAGTCCTCCAAGATTACCCGCCAGACCTCCTTCCTCACGTCCTGTCTCTTCAGGATTTACGTGGGATCAAGAACCCCCTACGAACTTACAACCACCTATGACTGCTCCCGCGCAGTTCATATCTCCCACACCGCCCCCTGATCAGCAAATTTCAGCTTTGACTGCTCCGGCACCAATCCCTTCGTCAAGTAGAAGACTCTCAATGACAACGCGAGTGGATGGGGAAGATCCGTTAGAGACGTTGAGGGAATTTGATACCATTTTCTTAGGTCAGTTGATAACTCCTCATCTTTACGAGCTGACAGTCTAGTGGATGACTCCACTTCTATGTGCGGGCAAAGATGGGAAGAGGCGAAGAAAGCTTTGATGGAAGTGGCTGAGATAGCTGCAGGGTATGATGAGAACGGTGTGGATATTTATTTTGTTAATTCCAAACGTGTGGGTAAGGAGTTGCGGGTGAGTTTTCTCGTCTCGTCCATCTCTCATCCATCTCCACGTGACATTTTATCAGCGTATATCCATACCTGCAATCCCCGCTCGACTGTGTCACTATTGGAGTCACTGCCCAGCTATATCTTAGAAGTCCAAATGCTGAATGACATCAGACCGCTGCCGATGTCGAAGATCTTTTTGCCGGTTTGGAACCTAAGGGACCTACACCGTGAGCATTTTCTCTGCTCCACTTCTCTTCATCCTTTTGCTACATGACAGATGGAATTGACCCATAGAACCGGTCTGAGGTTGGAAGCCATACTCCGTGATTACATGGCTCGTCTCGAACGATACTCTGTTTCTACAGATGCTCAAGAAGGTCATGTAAAACCTATGAACCTCATCGTGGTCACTGACGGTGGTGAGTTGCATCGATTGATAAGATAGATTAGTCTGAGCTGACACAGTTTTCTCTCGTCCCATCGTCACCCGTAATCGACTCTTGAATTCTGATCCTTCCTTATCCCGCGATGAATTACTGGAGACAGCCCCTACGGATGATCCGGAGAGTGTGTTGATTAGTATTGCCAAAAGGTTGGATAGAGGAGAATATCCTCTTAGTCAAGTGGGGGTACAATTTCTACAAATTGGGGATGATGCAGAAGTGAGTGACTATTGATTTTTCTGATTTCATTCATTTCCCTTCCCTCTTTCTCCTACAAGTCACTAACGCCCAACTGTCAGCCCTGGGTATATGTCGGGTGGACATGTCCACGGATTGCTCTTCTTGCCGGCCCATATGAGATGGTGATGGTGACACGATCTGGGCGTATGCAGTCGTCGGAGTGCATTTCTTTTTCAGCTCATGTCGTATCGGCATTGGAAGTGTCAGTGAAAGAGTAACGAGCTGATGAAAAGGCTAGAGAAGCATTACAAGAATTGGACGACGGTTTATCTTCTGCTCATGGGATCAGAGATATGGTAGATACTGTACCATACGACGGAAGGGAGATGACGGCGGGGTTGATCATCAAGACTTTGTTAGGTGGGATCAACCGGAGGTTGGATAGGAGGGGTTAGGCTAACTTAGGGGGGAAGTGCAGCTTGGTTGTAGCGTATGTAGCATGATGAAATTATCTGAATTCGGACAAAAGCTCGACCCAACTTGTCGTACCAACACTGGGGTCTTCCTTGCTGATTTGGCTGACACCTCTTTCACGTGGTGACGTCTGAAATCTGGTCAGTACAAGCTGAAGACAGAAAGTCCTCGACGCGTGCGTCTACTACTTCCATCCTTCCATCTTTCCCTTTAACTCCTCACTTTCCCTTTCTTTACCAATCTTTCTACTCAAAACATTAACCTAGATCAACTTTCCTCGGACCACCGAACGACATAAACATACCATCAACTTGACTAGAATTAAAGCTGCGTTTAGGGAAAACTACTAAATACGAATCAGGACAAATCAAGAAAGATGGTCATCCCCACATTCCTCTTATATCTCTTGACAATTTGTCTTACCTTAGGAGTAATGGGGAAAGACCAAAGTGAGAAACTGAAAATCGGTGTAAAGTATAAACCTGATGAATGTCCTTTGAAAACTAGAAAAGGTGATAAATTGAGTATGCAGTGAGTCGACCTACGTCTTCATACATACTATTTCTCTTCCTTCTTCCTGATTCCTCCCCCTCAACCCCTGTATAGATTCCATCTTCTATTCTCTTTCAAATGTCGTGCTATTTACTTTATCAACATCCTCTTTACTACTAACTCAAATACTCCTTTCCATCAAGTCAATATGAACTTTATCATTTCATTCCTATCCTGTGTGCCCAACAAAGTAAATTTTGATGCTGCGTTTCCGCAATATCCCCGATGATCATCTCAGATGGATGAGCTGACTTGTAGTTATACAGGAACGTTAGCGTCAGATGGAAGTAAATTCGATTCTTCTCTTGATCGTAATCAACCTTTTGAATTTACACGTGAGTCAAGTTTTTTTTTATTTATGACTATCCCAAATTCATCCAACTATCTTCTTCTTGAAAATCTCTAAGATTGTCATTTGTCAAGATGAATGAATGAAAGAAAATTATAAAAGAATTCATTACGATCCCAAATTCATCCAATCATCTTCCTCTTGAAGATCTTCAAGATTGACATTCGTCCAGATAGAAAAAGTGGGAAGGAGAAGGGGGGGCAAGCAGGGTTTGATCTTTGACGATAAACTTCATAAGATGGGAAGGACGATTATCCATTAACAAATATCATTCACTAAGACTTGACATGGTCTGAAGAGAGATTTATGAGGTTATGAGGTTATGAGGTATTGGAATACAAACTGACATAAATCAGTCGGAGCTGGTCAAGTTATAAAAGGTTGGGATCAAGGTTTACTCGATATGTGTGTATCGGAAAAACGTAGACTTACCATTCCTTCTGAACTTGCTTATGGTGAGTTTAGTATAAGTTTCTTTTCCTTCTCATCTTGATGGTAAACCCTTTCTTGACTTATCCTTTCTACCGTTTTAATTCAAACTATCATTGCCAATCCATATATTTCATCTATCACTTCCATATTCTAACCATCTCATCTATCTATGTTTTTGGCTGGTTAAAATCACTCGAATATCATCTGTAAAGCTGCCCACCTCATTATTTCCTCTTCATTTTGTCCAAAAAGTCAGAGACTTTCAGTTACCCACCCAAATGAACAAATACGTTAAATCACCCTACTCATATCCAGGCGTCAGAGGTCATCCACCTGTCATACCCCCTTCTGCTACACTCGTCTTTGACGTAGAACTATTAGGTATCAAAAACCGTTTTTCCGATGAGCTCTAAAGCACCATCATCCGTCTCGGAAATTGTCCCTACCATTCTTCCTCCCCTCTCGTCTTCGACCTCGACACCGGGGGAACGATGTCATTGTGTAGAGGTCAACGATAAAGGTCTACTCACAAACACACCATGCACCAAGAGCATTCATGGAAAGCAGAAACAAGGAACGTATGCATATGATACCCTGGGTACTACGCAAACATGAATCGTCTAGGTCATTCCGATCGTCATTCATGCCGATGCGGGATGCGATGCGACTTCTCCTCCTTGAGGGAAACGTCTTACCTGAGAACATCAACAAGATGATCTTCCCAGCGCAGATTACATCATGGAAAGAGAGTTGGCAGAAGGTCAAAACTCACCATCCATTTGAGAAACGAAGGAACGTCTTCCGCAATCTTTCCAGGTAAAGAAGCATTAGTCATGAATCGTAGCACATTACCTTAAAATCAGTACTTCTACTGATATATTCAAGAAGCAGATTGACCCACCTCCAGCATCAGAACTCGTAGCCATTTTCCATTCTACCTTGGTACCTTCGTCCAGTTCTCTAACCCGTTCGACGGAAACGTATGCCCCGCGTACGCGTGACTTTTCACCTCCTTGTTTAGGAGGGCAATTCGGGTGGTCGAAAGGTATCGAGACTGATATCAACATTCAACATTCACCCGACTTGCCTCTCCTCTACCTAGCAACCCCAAATGACAAAGGACAGTAAGGGATGGAGGTGAGGAAAAGTACACTTACTATTCATGAACTCTCTTTGGCCTTTAGGATCCGTTTTCAATTCTCGGGACAATAACAAAACCACAAAGGTTCGTGGGTTCGTAGGTGGTGGTGTTTTATATGTTAAACGCCAAACTTCAGCGACGTGTGGTTGAAAGACTTGTAAACATTCCGTCTCTCTACACGATTCGATATATTCCCGTTCATTCTGTTAATCAGTTCCGCCATTCATTGTCCTTTTCTCTTATCTTTTCCCCGAACCCATTCCCCCATCTCCCTTGAGTGATTTCATGGTTTGTTTCCTGACACATAGGTCGGGGAATAGTCACAGTGACACATGACTCACCTCGGAATGATACTCCAGCAAACCTCTTCTAAACCTCTCATACAATGTCTCCGGGGCGTCGTTCATGACTTTAGCCTGTCTGGTCTGTTCATCCACCTCATCTTCGACTATAGCATGTAAATTCGACTCGTTGCCATCGCCATTGATCGGCGGCTGACGACGGTGTGGTTCTTCCGGTGCACCAGGTGAAGTCGTGGAGGAAGGAGTATCAAGATGCAAAGAATGAGAAATGGCATGTACGAGTGTGAGAGGGTTATATTGTGATGAACTTCGTCGAGGTAGGGGATGTTCGATTTGACGAATAGATTGAGATGTGTGAATGGAGATACGACCACACCAGTATTCTTTGATACCTAGTTGTTTCTTGGCCTATGTGTGAGTCAACTGTATCGACATTCATCGAGCCGGAAGGGTAGTGGGAGTGGTTCAGTAGATGAACATGAAGGGAAATGTAGGTGCGAGTGGTGCGAGTCAAGTGTAAAGGTGGAGGGATGTCCATTGTCAAGAGGAACAATTGAGATAGGAGATGAAAAAAAGGGTAGAACCCACCTCTAAACATCCAGCAGAGTTATGGAGGTTGACAATCTGTACAGTTCCATCACATTTAACACTATGCTTCTTCCATTTACTTCTTCATCAGTCATCATCAGATCGAAGATGAATTATAGCTTACTCCATGGTTCCTGCCAAGGTCTCTCCGTAGGTAAAGTAGGTATCGAGAAAGGCACAAAACTCTGGTGAATCTGGTGAGGGAACATCCTACCATTTAGCTCAACTTTGCATAAGGTGAGAGGGTAAGAAGTGGACATACTTCAGGGGTGAGAGGTTTGAGATCTAAAAGTGGAGTTTTGATTTTCAATGGAACGATCATCTTACACCAAACGCTTTTACGTTTTTCCCAACTGCTGGGTATCTGAAAGAAAGTACGAGAAAGAAGGAAAAAGTGGGAATGTACACAATGACGATGGTCGTGAGGCAACCTGATGGTAAAAAGGGGAAGGAGGAGTATGACTTTGTCCGCTAAAGAGGTAAGTAAACGAGACGAAGTTACGACATGGAGAAATCACACTTTACATCCACATTTATTCATGTGTTATACTTGATCTCTTTCTTTCCCATCCCAGGGGTTTATCCACCCCTGGTTTACTCTCAAGAACACCGAGCATGACCCCTCGGTGAGGTTCAAGCATTCAACAATAGCAACAACCATTTGATTAATATCAACGGTCGTAATCATGTCAACCACATCATCACATTCTTCCTTTTCCCCTTCTCATCCTTCCACAACTCCATCCACCAATTCTTCTCCATCCACAATATCTCAACCTCGTGATCATTCTTCATCAACTCATAAAACCTCTCAAATAGATGAAATATCTGTCGAACTTGACGAAGAAGAAACCTATGATATATCCGAGGATGAAGAAGATCATATGGACGATGAACCGGAAATACACATATCAGAAGAAGATGAAGGTGAATCAAAACAAATGCCTGCTTTTTTAGCTAGGATAAGAAGTCATATGATTTCTCATCCACCTTCACCTACTGCTTTAGCTACTGTACATCCTGGTCCTCAACCTCTTTACTTACCACCTCCTAGTGTACCGGTGATAGTGGAGGATTTGGTACCGCCAGATAACTTTGCCACCGTTTGTAAAGGTGTTTATCGATCTGGTTTTCCTTTGAAACGTAATTTCGGATTCATGGAGACATTACAGTTGAAAACGGTTTTGTGAGTGTTTTAATGATATCATCATTCATGATCCTTTTTCTCATATTGGCTCGTTGTTCTATTTCAACGACTCTTGAGACTATCACATATTCTTAGACTGATGATGGGTCATATGTCGGGTGACAGTGCATATACGTATGAGGGTTGGAAACGGAAACGGGGATGATCAAGTAGGGAGTGATGACTGATAAGTAGAACTCTTGTGTTGGAAGATTACCCAGAGGCCAATTTGTCATGGTGTCAATCACAAGATATTCAATTTATGCAATTTGGTATCCCAGGGAATAAAGTGGGTTTAATCAAGCTCTTCATCCCACTGACACTCATCGTCACTTTCCCAAGAAAACCAATATATCTCAACCAAGCATCACCCATCTCTTCCCCTCCTCATTATTCGAGGAATGTTCCTCTTACTGATCACCAGGAACCATTCGACAATATCCCCGAACATGTCATTCGATCTGCCTTGGTGACCGTCTTGGACCAGAGGAATCACCCGATCCTGATTCATTGTAATAAAGGCAAGGTGAGTTTTTCTTTCTTTTCTCTCAATCACCAGTCATCAATCCTCACTCCCTTCCCACCTGGTCGTCTCAATCCTAATCCAATGTACCTCCATCCTACCATTCTCTACCTTCTATCCTCATGCACCCTTCCAGACTATCGCGAAACCGAACTCCAATCAAGCGTCACGTGCTACACCCAAAACATGCGGGATAACATATGAACATGAAGAAAACCAAGTAGAAGGTGGGTAGAGACAAAGAGCTGATATATAGCACCGTACCGGCTGTCTGATAGGTTGTATCCGTCGAATTCAATCTTGGTCACTCACATCTATCTTTGACGAATATCGTCGGTTTTCTTTCCCTAAATCTCGAGCTGTAGATCAACAATTCATCGATCTTTTCGACGTTGATCAAGTTTGGGAAGAGGTAGTAATTTCTGGAGGTGGTTTAGAACATTTACCAAAGTGGAACATGATTTCTTTACCTAAAGGTCGTTTGGCTACTAGATTGAAATCGATTCAATCACATTGAGAGATATCATCTTTTTCCTCTTATCTTACTCTTCTCTCACACTCCAATCCAATCCAATCCAATCCAATCCATTCCAATTCTTTATGCTTTACACACTTTACACAACCCACAAGCTCCACGATTTATCTTTCACATATCATCACTCGACCAAAATTAAGCAGCTTTCTGCCTTAGCTGGTACAACCATAATAATCACATTGTCACCAATCTTGTCTTTTTCTCCATACCTTGCATCCATCATACCCATCACAAATATAAATATAAATAATAAATAATAAATGTAAATGTAAATGTAAAACGACATGCATGCTATACCAACTTTTCAACATGATCAATCCAAACCTTACCAACTCATTTGACCTTCATAATATATCCAGTGTAAACATGGAACCATTCATTCAACACCTATCCCGACCCAAACCCCTACTCCAATTCCATAGCATCTATCACACCATCCGCAGGAGTACGAATATGTCTACTAGGTTCCCAAATCTGAAGTATATTATCTTCTGTAGTAGTTGCTATATGCCATCTAGCTGAAGAACTCCAACTTATATCACCAGGTTTAGAAGTATGTCCACCATGTACGAATAATAATTCAGGAGGTCCATCTTCAGCATCATCTGGAGTTTGTTCTTCACCTATAGCATCCATATTCCAAATATGTACACGACGATCTGCCGAGGCGGAAGCGAAATGAATGGCGGAATGAGGTGACCAAACTACTTCTGTGACTGCACCTTTATGAGCTTCGAAGGAATGAAGTTTTTGACCGAGTTTTCGTAGATCCCATAGTGCGATAGTCTGGACGTTGTTTAGTTTCACTCATCCTTTTCTGAATTCTTCTTCTCTTGATTTCGGTCTTCAACAACCCATGGATAAGAAGCGAGAAGCCATGAAATGTGAAATAGGGGAAGAAAGTGAAGGAGTAAGACTGGAGGGATAGATGGAAGTCACAAACCTTATCGTTAGACCCAGTCAATACGAGATGTTCACTGCTAGGTGCGAAAGCAAGACAATTGACATCTTCCGCATGTGCTTCAACCTTCTGACTAGGTTTTGAAGTTATTTCACTTCTTGTGTCCCAGCTGCAGGTCAGTCATGACATCTAACACCAAGTCTCACTTTCTTCTTCAACGGAGCTGGACTGGGTTGTGGTACACTTGGAAAGTTCAAAAAAGAACCGCAGATAAACACTCACAGCATGAAGTGACAATCATCCCCTACTGAACCAAAGAGATTCCCGTTGAATGGATGCCAGTCTACGGCACTGACATTGGAAGAATGACCGGTATATTTCCTCAGAGGTTGAAGTGAAGGATCTTTTTTGTCATACGCTTGGATATCCCTATTCGTGAGTCACCACATCCTCTCGTCCATATTTTGCACCCTTTCCTCTCAAAAAACACTTGGAGAAAAAAACATCTTCAACTCTCCCAGCATTACAGCTTCTCATCCCGACTTTCTCACTCTTCGTTGAGTTTCAACTTCTGAAACAGAGCTGCCCATATCTTGTGCTTTTGTGCTTGGATTGTTCTGTTATATCATTAAGATGACTCACCAATGAGCTACAAACCCATCCTCTCCCGAACTCAAAATATGTCCCTCAGCCATTGGACTCCAACTTAACCCGAATCCCTCTTTCGACATTCCTTTCAATCGGATATCAGGTTTACATTCTCCCCCTACCGGAGCCTTGCTTTCGTGTTTTGTCCGATCGAAAATGTACACTTCGCCTTTGGGAGTTTTGGTAGCTATCAAATCTGGGTTTTGTGGCATGTAACGTGCTTTGTTGACTTCTCCATCGTGGTGGATAGTCTGTTTGACTCTGACTCGTACGGGTGATTTAGTGTGTGATCCTAGTTCTAGATAAATGAGCAATCACCATTTCTCATCAACTATTATACACACAATACCCTTCTGAACAATTTCTCAAAGGGTGATTTCCACCGACTAAGAGGTGATTAAGGTTTGGGAAGTGACAAAAACCAGCGGAGGGTTGGTGAAGAGAGGCGCGGAATAAAGAGAAGATCATGAAACGTACCTTGCCTTTCTTCATCATACATATCAGCCACTTCTTCTCTCGTCTTCTCCACCGAAACTTTAGGTAACAAGACCTCTGCTATCATCAAATGATTTGGGGTCTGACCAGATGTGTGTGTGCCAAGTATGATCCTATGGATTGTGTAATCTGCATCTTTTGGACTGAAAAATCAGTTCCGATTAAATAACACTTTGATTCTAGTGATTACTCAACAAGAATAAAAACAGAACTCACGTCTCCATATCAGGTAACCATTGACATGTCAAACTTGGCCAAGTAAGAGCATGTGTGATGACTGTATCATATAAAAATGGTGTACTGAGAAAGTGTTAGCTTCCTCCATCATGGGGATGGGCATGAGCTAACTTTTTCTTCCAAACTTTGTATTCCTGTTCATCAGCGTTATCCTTCCCTCATCTTCCTCCCTCCCTCGCTCTCGTCACGTCAGTCATTTTTGGTCAAACTGAAAGTTCGCAAGGTGGTGAGGGTATCAAGAAAACACGTTCGATGCCTCATATCATCACATATAACTAGGGGGATATGTCTAGATGTAGATGAAACAATGGATGGAGACATGGAGCGAAAGTACAGATGAGGGTAAGGATGAAGGAAGGATAGTATAGAACTCACCTCGTTGATGACCCTATTCCTAGCTTGAGCTTCCAAGTCGACGATATCATCTTCAGGAGTCATCTGCATCTTTACTGACTGTAAGTATACCGTTTCAGGATCCAGCGAGTGACTCTGTAAGTATTCTACGTGCTGAGTAGAATGAGGTATAAGATCAAGTGAGAAGGCAATGAAACGAAAGTCGAATGTTGAAAGAGTACGGTGGAAAGAGATGGACGCGTTTTTTTTCGTGTCACTCCTGTCATTTCTCTCATATCTGCCCAAAACACCACTACACTTTGTCATAGTAAGTGTCATAGGGCTATCTGATCCCGGTGAGAATGCTGAGATCAAGGTTGAAGGTTGTATAATGTTTGAAATAGTCATATCTTATCATATAAATCCTCCCGTGGGAACACCGGGAATAGGTCCTAAATCAGGTCAAATCCTTCTCCCGATTCTTCCCATCTCTCCAGCATCTACAACGACTTCTTCAAATACCCCTTCCACATCTACTTCTTCCAGTCAATCCCATTCTGAGCCATATACCAACCCTCTCTCATCAACCGCACCGTCTGATCGACCACCTATCGAACCAACATACAATCTCCCCTCGTCCACCCAATTAGAGACATCCGAAAATGTATCAGATCCGAACATAGAAGTTGAGAAGACCCCTTTATCCCAAGAAAGTTACTACGTATCATCTTCCTTCGCCATCCTCCAAGTACAGAAAAAACTGAATGAGGTTCTTACCACTTGGAAAGAAGCAGTGGGAGATAGAGAGAAGGAGAGAGAGAATATAGGTCCTGTGGGATATGGAAAAGGTCGAGGGGCTAGGATGTCGGTTAAAGATGTTGAAGGTTTAGATGACGACGGGCGGAATGAGGGTGTTGAGGATGATGAGGAATCTGGAGATAGTGAGGATGGATTAGAAGGATCATGATGTTCCCATCTGTTGGATATTTTGAGACGGATCACTTGAAGAAATTATACAATGACGGCATTGGCCTTCGCTCGTACTGCAACATGCAGCGGACCGAGGAAGGTGCCATACAATGACGAGGACCGGGGGAGGACCAGCAACACATATAAAATACTCCATCATGACCATGCTGAATGCTGCATTATTCGTATATCACAAAAAAATGTGTTGTACACCACTTTCCCCTTTGCCTTTTCTTACCGATCCCATCGTCCGTGTAGTACCAGTACTCCAGTACTATAGTAGTGATAACCTTCCCAGACGATATTCGTTTTCATTAAACAGTGGAAACTTCTTTCCCTCCTATATAATAAAAATAAGCTAACAACCCCATCAAACCACTAATCACCACCAAACTTCCTCTCGGATACCTTCTAAATGGACTTTCCAAAGTACTAACAAAAGGTCTCAATACTATATATTGAACAGCAACGAATAAACCAAAAGTACTTCTGACTAAAGGTGCCGCAACTCCTCTAGCAGTAGCATCATAAATCCTATCTTTCATTCTACCCATTCTTGCTCTACTACCTCTTGAAGTTCTTCTCAAAGTTTCTAAAGTAGATTGTAAAGATCTATTCTTTTCCAAAACACTTTTCGTCCATGCTCTCACTGCATCTTTTTGTTTTATGAGAGCTTCTATTTCAGAATTTAAATCTTGTAATACTGAAGTAGTGTTTTGACGATCTGACATCATTTGAGATTGGATTCCTTTGACAGAATCTAATGAAGTTTGTAGACGATCGAAAGGGTTTTGAAATGAATTTACCGAAGGAGATATAGATAATGACCAAGGACCTGAAGTAGGTTCGAAAAGTGCAGGTAAAGGTGCGTTTGTTGTTCTTCTACGTGATCTTGTTCGAGATGTAGAACGACCGACTTTACGATCTAAATCGGAATCTCTAAGTGGAGAGAGCACATCTTGAGATTCACCATAACCTTCACTTGGTACTCGTGGATGTTTCATGTATTGTTTGAATAAAGGTGAAAGAGAAGGCCAATGTGTTTCGATACCTGCTGATGATGAAAGACCTTGTTTTAATCTCTCAGCTTGGGAAAGATAGTGTCGCATACTTTCGTTAATGTTGGACAAAGAGAGATCTAGACGTTCAATTCGTTCTTTGGCCGTACGCAAGTGTCTAAATATCAGCGCAAACCCTCCGACAAGGTATATCGAAAATAAGAGGGGGAATTTAGTAACTCTTTTTATTACATGAAGGCATACATGGGTGACAAAATGAACTTTGGACTCACTCTTTCCTAGCAGCATACACCTCCGCCTCCATCTCTCCCACTCTGGCTTGAGTACGCTTATCACGCTCACTTCGTCTTATCGTGTCCGTGTCTACCGGTCTTGACGTCAATTGACTTTTTGTTTCCCTATCCGATTCCTTCGTCCCATTCTCCTTGTCATTACCCTCTGTCGGAGCCGACATTCTTCTTTCTTCTCTACCTTGACCCTTGAACAACTTTTTAAAGCCAAACTCCCGATCTCGGTGTTCATCATCGGTCAAAGATCCTTGAGAGTGATAATTCCGTCTGATGAATTCTTTGCTCTTGGTCACGGGAGCAGCTTGGAAGAACGACTTCGATGCTGCCAATCGACTACGAGACGAATGTTCGTCTTCACCGCTCCCATGCTGGTGTCTAAGAAGAGGGATGTGTAGATGATCCGAATGAACCTCGCCTTTGTCATGTCGAACTGGTGAAACTCGCTGACGACGATTGATGATATCCAACGGTGCACGTAACGCTTGGCTCAGAGATCCTGGAGCTGGACCCACCATTCCGAGACTTTGATGAGAGCGATGGAAATGATGCTCCTTTCGAGTGGGTCGATCCATTGACGTCGTGCGCGATAACGGTGCCACACTACCGGCAGTGCTGGTGGGTTCCACGTCGGCCAACGATAAGACGGATGCCGATACGACTCTCTGTCTAGCAGAATCATGTTTACGCATGCTCTCTCCCGCAGAACTCTCGTGTCTGGAACCGCCCTCCGATATCGGGTCGTCAGAAAACACCACAGTGGGTCGGGGAGGGATAAAGTAATTAACCACCCCGTCAGCTTCTTTGTAAGCTTCTATATCGTCCACGGTATATCGCCAAGCGTGAGCAGGCTCTTTGGGTGTTTCTCGTCTTGGCTTCAAGGGAGAAGTCCGATTGACAGGCGATTGAAGAGAAGTAGGTCGAGCGCTATCCAGCGAGCTTCGAACTCTCGAAAGAGAATCCATACTGACAGGGCTTGAGTGAATAGCGTGAGGGTATACCTGTTTATTCGGGGAAGGGTTTCTTTGCTCAGCTTGCCATCGCTTCTTTGCTTCACGTTGTATTTCCGTCTTTTCCTTCCAACGTAATACGGCAAGAGGGTTCAGTCGGGGAGGGTCTTCGACCCCGTCATAGACATGCGAGTAGTACGCCCTCAAATGTGAGCTCGCTTTGTATGCCAACCGCTCGGCCGTAGGATGAGCGGCTACTTGTGTGAGAGCGCGGAATCGACGCTCTTGTGCGAGCTCCGCTTCTCTTCGCTCTCTTTCTAAGCGACGTATTTCCTCTTCTCGCTCTTTGGCTGCGTGATCTTTGTGTTCATGATGATCATGCTTCACCACCGGTGGTGCGATCGGCTTCGTCCGCTCAGGACTTTTCTTCTTTTTCCTACTGAATAGCTGACTGAATCGCGATTTCTTGTCCGGTGTCACCGTCCGTGTGGCCAGCGACCCTGAACGTCGCAAAGACCCATTGACTTGCTTTGAAGAGAGCTCATCAGGCGAAGCAGACTCATTGCCGTCCACAGATTCATCCTCCATCACATCCGAAACAGGGACATGATGTGTAAACGGCAAATGACCCTCCGGCGGCTCGCCTGTAACAGAACTCATCCGTCGGTCCCGAGTCCGCCGATCGATACTGGGTCGATCAAAACTTGACCTTTGACCCGATCGTGGGGTTATGTTGTACGGAGCGATGGTACTGCTCATGCTGACGGTACGATCTCGATGATGATCAACCTCGGTCAAAGCTGGAGGGGCTGAGACAAGATATGGTTCGGCTGTGTGGGAGGGAAATGGAGTCGGTCCGGATGGGTTGGCAGAGAATGAAGATTGGGTCGAGAAAGACGATACCGGGTCTGGTAGAGTCGGCCGCAAAGTGGGACCAAGACGGTTGGTGTTGATCATCCTGACGGCGGAGGCGAGATCAGTGTCATCAAGCAGAGCGTGGATCTGGTCTGTCACTGGTCAGGTACAATCACAATGAGAGTAAGGAGGACATACCGACACTGAGTGTAACTTTTGGTTCGATGAAGCCTAAGCCAGCAGCGAGTCCCGACGGACGTTCATCTGCAGCTCTCTGTTTGCCCTTATCAGATGAGGAAGATGGGGTCACCGTGCGGTGAACGCGATGATGCTTCTCCCCTTCTCGTAGACGAGTCGAGGTGGAGCGACTAGGTACGTCCTCGGTTTTTATCCGTGTCGATGGATGACGGCTTGAAGTCGCTGAATGAGCTTCAGGCTTGGGGAACGGATGTTTAGTAGACTGTGATGGGACCCGAGACCCGCTTGGACCGGCTTGAGGGCGAGAAGCACCGATGGTAGCTGTGGAAGGGGTCCTCGATGCTCCCGGTGATCCCAATGGTGATTTTACCAGACCATTAGTTCTGATCTTGAGGCGATCGGAGGTGCTTCCCTCTCTGCTCGGACTACGACTACCGTCATGGTGAGCAATGAGGCTGTGGGCTCTGCGTCTTCCAGAGTCACTATCTGGGGCTTGTAAGAGGGGCTGTGAATGTGAGTTTGGCATACCGCCTTTGGGTCGATCATCAGAAGAATCGGCATCGGTCGTCGACTCGTATCCTCCAGTCACAACGGATGGTCTTTTGAGCGGTGGCATAGACATGCGATGTTGGGCTGGAGCTCCATACGCTTCGCTCCTTACCCGTCTTTCTTGTGACGAATGTCTTTGTGGTCGAGGTCTAGGGGAGAGGTTTGGTGCTGGGACTTGAGTCAAGGGTGACGTCAGATCTGTTGCCGAAAGCGTCGAAGGTGGGGATGATCCCAAGACGGGTGTTGAGCGAGTCTTGAGAGGTGATAGTTGTCTATCCTCTGATATGGATTGTTGGAGTAAGCTGATCTGAGATCGGAGGGACGAGGCGGAAGGATGTTGACGAGGTTCAAAGTGGACCGAAGAGATGGATGAGGAATGAGGTCGAGAGCGAAGAGAAGATGATTTCTTTGGAGTGGGTCTCATAACATCACTATCTGCGGTAGACATTGGGCTTGGGGAGGAGGTACGGTGTATGATCACTGGCGGAGGATCCATGGCGGTTTGTCCCGTGGTTTGGGGGGTTGTCTTGAAGAAGAAAGGTGAGCCATTGCTCGAAGGTAGCTCTGCTTGAGGGTCCAGGATTGTGATGCGGGTCGGAGGTGAAATCTATAACATACCCGAGCTTGTGATGCTCGAGGGTGGTGAGAGAGGAATTGTAGAGGGAGGGATAGAGTAAGTAGCTGGGACGATGAACACGAGGTGTGTGATGATGAAAGTGAGTGGTAGAATGGTGGACGGGTGGCAATCAGCCTGGGTCCTAAGTAAGGTTAAAGGGGATTATCCAAGCTTACTTACTTCCTATTTGAATTGTGGGGCCCCCTCTAATACGGAGGGATTACAGGGATTACGGGGATTACCCTTTTTTCCTAAATCCGATTGTTACTGTAATGCTCTGCCCTCTCTCCTATTACCCTTTTGCAAATTGAATGACCCGAGCTACCCGTCGGCCCTAGCGGCCCTGTCTATGCTCCCCCCCGTCGTCCTCATCGTAACCCAAGGATCAAGGACAAGACTCCGGAATGCTCTCCCATTGACATGGATCAGGGTCCCCCTCTCTCCGCGTTCAATTCATCTCTTCCCCATCTCATCACTCGTCTTCACTCTCATGAGTTCTTTCTCAAGTAAACTACAAACGGTCTCCCTTTCAACATAGCTCATCCAGTCCTTGTGCACTTGGACGAGCTTCCATCCCGGCAGATCCTTCCCCTCTCCACTCGCTGTTCCTGAGAGGGCCTCTAATCCAGTCGCGTACATCCTCCTCTCCTCCTATCCCCCTCCCCCCTTCCTCCCTTCCTCCCTTCCTCCCTTCCTCCCTCCACCCGTCATGGGTTCTCGACTTCGACGCGCGTTCAAAACTCAATCCACTTTACCAAACCAGCAATCCACTCTCTTTCTCACCCCCGCAGAGCTCGAGAAGAAAGCCATCACCGACGCTTATTGGCAACTCGCCGACAGTCTCGAAGACGGCAAGGGAAAAGGCAAAGAGATTGAGCGTTTGTGGGGTTTGGAAAACTTTGGTAATACTTGTTATTGCAACTCTGTCTTACAAGCTCTTTACGCATGTCAACCTCTCCGACAATTCATAGAAGCTTATCCTGATGTACCCGCTCCAATATCACCCCTGGGACCACCACCGGGTTCGAGTCTATTCGCCCCTCTCACACCATCCGCTAGCGTCGGTAGTCCCGTCACATCCAAAAGTAACCCTTTCGATAATGCCGCTGTGAATGGTACAATCAAGAGTCCTACCCCGAAAGATAAACCCAGATGGGGTTTGGGTAAACGTCCATCAAGCAGTACTGGTGGCCCTCCAACTCTTGCCCCAACCCAAAATCTAGCAGCACCGCCTTCGCAAGAAGAAGCGACCCCGAGCGTAATCAAAGCCGACACGTCAATATTGATTGCCAATCCGAATCAACCTCCGCCAAGTGTATTCGAGACTATCCAAACGTTGTTCTATCATCTCTCACATTCGGCACCGCATCAACCCATAGCTCCCAAGCCAGCCAACACCAATGGTAACACCGCTCAGACAGCTTCCATCCTACCGGCCAACGGTCAATCCCCCGGCACGTCAAACACGTCATCCGGGAACAACGCCAGTCAAGGACCTCCTTTGTTGGCTTCGCTACCACCCCCTTCTGCGCCTCGGGGCGGTGGACCTTATGCCGCTGGCACATTAGGTCGTGGGGTTGTCCGACCTGACGACTTGTTGAAGACGGTGAAGAAGGAGAATGAGATGTTCCGTGGGATGAGTCAGCAAGATGCCCATGAGTTTCTGGGGTGGTTATTGAATCATGTAGCTGAGGATGTGGAGAGGGTGGACAAGCATCTGAGAGCAGAGGGAAGGGCACCGACAATGGCGAAAGGGCATGGAAAGACGTTTGTGCATAATCTCTTCGAGGGAGTTTTGACAAATGAAACTAGGTGTTTGAGTTGTGAAATGGTGGGTCATCTGTGACGTCTCCTCCCATGTGTGATTGAGACATACTCAGGAGTAACAGCTGATGGGAGCCAGACCTCATCTCGTGACGAATCATTCCTTGATTTATCGATAGATATCGAACAACACACTTCGGTCACCGCTTGTCTACGTCAATTCTCCGCTTCGGAGATGTTGTGTCAGAAAAACAAGTTCTACTGCGATTCTTGTTGCGGTTTACAGGAAGCAGAGAAACGTATGAAGATTAAACGACTGCCGAATGTCCTCGCACTTCATTTGAAAAGGTTTAAATATCAAGAATCTCTAGGAAGGTATACCAAGTTGTTTTATCGAGTACCATTTCCTTTAGAGTTACGATTACCAAATACCTCTGACGATGCGGAGAATCCCGATAGGTTATACGAATTATTCGCAGTAGTGGTGCATATCGGCAAGTGAGTGAAACTCTCTACCCCAACTCACAACTCCCTGCGTAGATAGTCACACGATCAGTTTCTGAACTTCCCACGTGTCGGTCTTCGTCGAGAGGCAAAAGGTGTGTGACTAACTATCAGTGGTCCTCATCATGGTCATTACGTCGCTATGGTCCGTTCAGCCGGTCGATGGGTAATGTGTGATGATGAAAATGTCGAACCTATCGAAGAGAAAGATATTTATCGATACTTTGGTGATTATCCCTCTGGAGCGGGATACGTTTTATTTTATCAAGCTGTCGATCTTGATTTATCTCAACTTGGACTTATTCTACCTTCACCTACACCTACATCACCTACAACTCCAACCCCTATCAACCACCTGGAATCCGAATCTGTCCTCTTACACGGAAACCATGAAAACTTTACACCTATTTTAAAAGTAGAAACAATTGTATCAAGTACTATCCCTCGTGATACTTCCATTTCCCCTTCTTCCCCACTTTCAGCTTCTACGGCTAAAGGACTTCCTACTATCAATATCACTAGACGTACTTCCGTACCGATCGAAAGACAATTAGGTTTCATACCACCTTCTTCTCCGGAGATTATGAAAACCGAACCGATGTCTCCTCCCTCCACTTCTCCCTCAGTGGGGGAAAGACGTGAAAGTAGTTCTTGGTTATCCCGTATGGCAGGGAATAAAGATAAAAAACCAGAGAATATTAGAAGAAGTTCAGAAATGACAATCAACCCTTCCATCTCTCCTAAAAACGTACAACGTCAATTGACAGATAAAGGGAAATCAGGAAATACTACTTTTACAGGATTAGGTGTAAATGTACCTTCGAATAATCTACCAAACCCAAACGATAATTCTCAAATAAAAAATCTTATCACTCCTCCTCGTCCTACTACACAAACGAATTTAAGACCTAATTCAAATCTCATAAACACTCCAACTTCTATTCAAAATCCAATTTCAAGTCCAGGTGTGGGAAATAACATTGTGGAAATATCACCAAATGTCATGTCAAGTTCATTCATGTCTAATATTTCCGGAACTACATCAACTACTTCTACTTCTCTTTCTCCATCGACAAATACATCTATGGGTGGATCTGTACATAATAATTCCGGATCTGGTCGATTATCAGGACAAGGAAATGTCTTGGTTTCTGCACAATCACCAGGTAATTTACAAACTCGAAGTCCAGTACAAGGACAAGGACAAGGGCAAGGACAAGAAGGTGGAAATGGAAATGGAAGTGGAGGTATAGGTATAGGTGGAGCTTTAGGAAGAAAATCAAGTTCATCAGGTTTATCAAGGGAAAGAACAGTTTCAACTGGTTCAACAGCAAGTTTAAGTAGAAGAATCAGTGGGATAAGTAGAAGTAGTAGCAAAGCTCTTAAACTTGGTTTTGGTATAAGTAAAAAGAAAGAGATTAAAGAGTAAGCAGGGAAAAGGTGGATTCTTTTTGACTTTCCCCTTCATCTAAATTTGAAACTAGGGGCGATCTTGCATAGTAGGCGTTTCCGAAAAACAAAAAGGGTAGAGTTATCTTGTGGTACTACCAACCTCATCAGATGATCGAAGGAGTTATGAAATCGAAAGTGTGGACGATGGTACAATGACAGTGCATCAGGGACGAAAGAGGTACAGCGGGGAAGGGAGTATGGTTTTCAAAAGATTCTCATACGGGGTTTGATGCGTAAAGAGATCAGTAGATGATATCAATGTGTGAGGGTAAAGTGTCAAAAATATATCTCGTATGACGAGAGTAAGAAAAAGAAAAAAGAGTGAGATCTCTCGGTTGTAGTATGATGCAATACGATGCATCAAATTGTCGTGTATCATTCTTTGAGTCCAGTTCATGAGTCGATAGTCAATATTGGTCCATATGCAAGCTCGTCATTCTGATTGGAAGGTTCTACATAATTCGAGATAAAGTGATTTGATATTTTCGATGTGATTCAGCGACTAGATGATCGTTTACGGGGTGTATCTTGAGAATGATGGTCTAGAGTCTGAGGAGCAGATAGTACTGGAAAATAGTCGAGAAAAGGAGGAAGGATGAGGGTAATATTCAGGGGGTTTTGAGAATCACTACGATACTCCTGGACCATAAACTTCCATACAACGTCTTTCGAAAGCTTCAACCATCTTCTCACTGACTTTAGGTAAGACAGCTTGAGAGGCAATACGATGTAATGGGTTTGTGAATGAGAATGCTAAATCTATACTGAGGAGTGTAGGTCCTAGGTGGGTGGAGTTGGGTAGTGGGTTGGTCATGGTGGTTTTGGAATTATCATTGGATTGGGACATCGATGTTGATGTGGTAGAAGAAATACCCGATTCATTGGATTCAGGGGTAAATGTGAGCGAAGAGATACTCGATTGTGAATGAGAGGAAGTCTTTGGGTTTGTTGTAGAAGATGAGGAAACTTCTTGAGAAATGGAGCTTGGGTGTATCGAGGTAGAAGGGTTTGATGAAATAGGATGGTTTGATAGTGGAGAAGGACTTGATTGAGATGAGGGGTCCGAGGAGGTAGAGGGGTGTTCAGAGGGAGGCGGAGAAGTGGAAAGATGTGGTGAGAGAGGAGAAGCAGGTGAGAAAGACCCTACTCGTTAGGTTTTACATGACAATTTTCGACAGAAATGTATCAGTTTCTCAAAGATCAAGCACACGCAAGTCATCGTTTCGATAAGATCAGCAAGGGTTCAGGAGGGGAAATGAGTCAGAAGTTGATGAGAGAGTGAACTTACAAGTCGCGCTGAGACTATGGAATAAAGGTGATTGATCTGCTGCTGTTGCCTATACATCAGTATCGCCTCTTACTCCCTCACCATCCCTTGCTCTCTTATGGAGTCTCCAATCTTCCGAGTCAGGTTGACATGCTCAATGTGATCTTGGATGAAGAGTAAGGATCGTGATGGAGCAGTATCAAGCACAATGGGAATGCAACGAATGAAAACATAACCCACCGTAATACTCTCAAATGGTCTTCCGGAAACTTTGGAAATAAACCTTTCTTCCATACCACCAAACCCCACTACGAGCTCAACGTCCATATCGAAAGGTTTATCTTTCTTCATATTCATTTCTTCTGATTTCCCACTGGGAGTAGGTAGAACATTCGATGCGACGCAAAACGGTATGAAAGAAGAATAAAACTTGACGTCTGATACTAAATGGTAAAGCTGTTCAGGAGAATAAGGTAAGATTTTACGAGTGTGGAATCGTTGTTGGCCATCGGTGGAAGATGGGTCAGTATCGGATGGTACTAGGTTGGCTAGTTTACTTATGTCCGGTAAAGAGAAGAATTGGCGGTTATCGATCTTTGTTATAGTTCTGCTAGCGTTGGAGGAAGGATAGAGAGGAGAGATTACTTTGGGGGAAGAGAGTAGAACGGATCGATGGATCGGGTGAAGGAGGGATCGGGAGATGGATGGTGAGAAGGGTTTCCTCATCGATTATCTAGAATCGTTGGACAGTGTTATGTCTACTTGGGTATGGGGATACTACTCTCACCCTCTGTCTGTTCCGATGACCAGATAGGATGAGTGTTGAGGAAAAGGAAAGAAGGTTGAAGAGTGGAATGAGATCGAAAGTGACGTTCAAGTGAGTTGAGTACGAATTTCAGGCACCGATCTAGCAAATTTCTCTGTCCACTTTTCCACCATCCAACTTTCTCTTTCACCTTTCCATCACCTATTCAAAATGGTGCAAGCTCAAGATTTTATCGGTACCATAGACTCGGACGATGAGGTATTCACTTCCTCTGTCCAGCCTGTACGTGGGAAGAAACAATCTCATCAAAGGGCCACATCACAACCACCGGTGGAGGAGCTCAAACTTGATCCCAGTCTCAAATTCGACTTTCATGACGAGGCTGAGGGGTCTTGGGGAGTAGATGAGGTTAAAGAAGTGGTCTCTGGAAAAGCTGTCAGTGACATCCTCTGATTAAGAAGTACTATTGTAGATAAGGTGCTGATTCCTTAGGGTCTTGGGGTGGACGATATCATTGCCAGGCGATTGGGCAAACCGGTCCTTTCTCATCAAGAGAGGAAGAGACGGCGCGAGGAGGAAATTGATGAGGATGATATTTCTTCCGAAGCTGGAGACGAGGAGATGTCAGATGACGAAGACGAAGATGAGGAAGATGACGAGGAGGAGGAAGAAGAAGAAGAGGGGGAAGCTGCGACGGACGACGATGTCGAAATGTCTTCTGGGTCTGAAGATGACGAAGGGGAAGTATCAGAAGGTGGACAAGACTCTCACAACGCCGACAACGACGAGGATAGTGACAGTTCCGAAAAAGACACCGCAGCAGAAGTTGCTCGCAAAAACGCATTCTTCGCCGCTGATCCAACTACCGACCCCACGCTACCCACCTCTTTCTCAACTATGAATCTCTCCCGACCTCTTCTCCGAGCTCTAACCTCTCTCAATCTCATCACTCCCACTCCCATCCAAGCTCGTGCCATACCCCTTGCCCTTCTAGGTCGCGATATACTTGGTTCAGCAGTGACAGGTTCTGGTAAAACGGCCGCTTTCATGGTACCCATCCTCGAGCGATTAACATATCGAGAAAGAGGTCGTGGTGGACAAGCATGTAGAGTTTTGATTCTTTGTCCCACACGAGAACTTGCCGTTCAATGTGAAGAATTCGGTAAGAAATTATCTACTCAAGGTGGTCTAAACATCCGATTCGCTCTATTGGTCGGTGGACTTTCTCTCAATGCTCAAGCTCAAAACCTACGTACTTTACCCGATATTCTCATAGCAACACCGGGACGTTTGATCGATCATTTAACCAACACACCTTCTTTCACTCTTTCCGCATTGGACGTTTTAGTCATCGATGAAGCTGACAGAATGTTAGAAGCTGGGTTTACGGATGAATTGAACGAAATCGTTCGTTCTTGTCCTAGAGGAAGACAAACAATGTTATTCTCAGCTACTATGACTGATTCAGTTGATGAACTCGTCAAACTTTCCTTGGATAAACCTATAAGATTATTCGTGGATCCTAAAAGAAACACTGCGATAGGATTAACACAAGAGTTCGTGAGGATCAAATCGGATGATACTAGGTCTCCTAGTCTATTGGCGTTGTGCAAGAGAACAGTCAGGGAGAGATGTATAATCTTCTTTAGAAGTAAAGCTTTGGCACATCAGATGAGAGTGGTTTTTGGTTTATGCGGATTAAAAGCTGCTGAATTACATGGAAATCTGTCTCAAGAACAGAGGTTACACGCTTTGGAAGAGTTCAAACTTGGAAAAGTGGATTATCTCTTAGCGACGGATTTAGCTAGTAGAGGATTGGATATCAAAGGTGTGGAAACGGTTATCAATTATGATATGCCAGGTCAATTGGCTCAATATACTCACCGTGTGGGTCGAACAGCCAGAGCGGGAAGGAAGGGAAGGTGAATTATATATTCTTTCAATCTCAATCTTTCCTCAATCCCTCTCTTTCATGTTCGATTTTTAACCGACTCTCATATTCCATCCACTCGCTCTACAAGGATGCTTGAGAGATCATCATTATGAAAGTTCTCGATGGATTATCATTATAAAAGTGCTTGAGGGACGTTGAAGCTGACAATAGATCCATAACTCTAGTTGGAGAGGCGGATAGAAAACTTCTCAAAGCAGTTATCAAACAAAGTGAAGCGGATGAAATCCGACATCGTATCATTCCCTCTGAAGCAGTGACAGCCATGTCGAAAACTCTTGATGAGATGAAAGATGAGATTCAAGAAGTTTTGAAAGAAGAGAAAGAAGAAAAAGCCGTCAGTCGCTCATTTCTCTTTCTAGATCTTTCCTCTCTCCGGATCTTCCCCCTATCTAGGTCATGACCATGATCATGATGTAGGTAATATTGCTGACACTGATACGGTAATGTTGCTGACGAACAGTTACGACAGGCAGATATGGAAATCACCAAAGGGGAGAATATGATAGCTCATGAAGAAGAAATCTTTTCAAGACCTGCTAGAACTTGGTTCCAGTCTGAGAAGGAAAAGTTGGCTTCTAAAAGTTCGTCTACTTTCCCCCTCCTAGCCTTGTCTTCTCTCTGTCTCAGGATCGTTTCTTTCGTCAGACTATTGTGTTCGACTCGTCCAGTGACTTCCACCCTTCTCATTAGGACCACCTTCCCAGAATCCCCTTTTGTGGTCTGTGGGGTCGTCTCTCGACAGAACATATCATCGAAGCAATGTCACTCTCACGCGTCCAGTCATGAAAGTGATAAACCTACTTCAGAGGACATTTCAATGCGGAAATGTCTCCCAAGAGACAAGAGGAGGAAACACTTCTGAAGAGATAAGAGCATTACTAATTGACAGACGCTGGTAAAGCAGCTTACACATCTGGTTTTCCTTCCGATCCTAAAACGGAGAAGGAAGAAAAGACTAAATTGAAAAGAGGTATATACGACGGTCTTTCCCGTAAAACCAAACGACGTCGAATAGCAATGAAGGAAGATGAAGGTGATAAAACAGCTAGTACAGCAGCTATAAGAGCTTTCAAAAAGAATATCAGACCTTCGAAAATAACAGAACCAATTCGAGCTCCGATGAGTAAAAAAGGGAAATCTGGTAAGAAAGGAAAGAAAGCAAGTGCTTTTGATGAAGATAGTGGTGGTAGACATGAAGGTATGAGAGCTAAACCTGTCAAGGTAAGTTTGAACAAGATGAAGGGTGGGAAGGGTGGGAAAGGGAAAGTCAAAGGGAAAGGGAGAAGATGAAGTTGGGGAGACGAAACTTCATATCTTATTGGAGGAGTTATGTGAGGAGAAGTTTGGGAAATGCACTGTACAGATAACAACTATGCATACGACTGATCTCCTATTTTGACTCCTCCATGTCGATATGACGTGTGTACTGCGTGTATGAATATGATAGAAGAGAAAAGGTGTTGAGGGGGGGTTTTCAAATGTCTTGGACATGATCACATGCTCACATGTTTATTTGGTCTCGTCTGGAGTTTTGTCGTTTTCGACTTGATCTGAAATGTCAACTAAGTGCTCATACCATCATAGAAAACGTTCATGGTTATGATCCGATTCGATTCGAGACCTTTCTGGCATATTCATCCTCTCGGTTGATTTGTTTCACACGATCACATCCCAGTGATCGATGAATATTTCGAGTAGGAAAGGAGGACCAGGAGATGAATGCGTACAGAAAGGTTGAAATGGTGATGGAGGTAGGGCAGGAAGGTCATTTCCAGATCAAGAGTACGGGGAGTATCAAGAGTATGGGGAGTAGTAGAGGAGAGGAAAGTTGAAAACGAACGAATGAATGGAAAAGGAAAAAAAGAGAAGACCAAAACTTACCTTTCTTAAGTCCAGGAGGACTGATGAAGCCCACTCTATTAACCAAACTTCCCCCGAGTACTTCGGAGAAGCTCGAAGGCCAATCTTGTTCTGCTCTCTTGGCACTTTCGGGAGTTCCGATAGAAGCGGAAGGTGAAGAAGGTGTATAGTGTCTGATTGGAGATTCACTGGTCGTCAGTGAGTTGTAGAAGGTGAAAGAGGTGATGTTTCCTGATCATTGTTGATGATTGTGGCGACATGATGAGAAACATTGCGAACACATTCTTAATTGATTAGAAGAGTTTGTCCGAAGGAGTGGGAAGAGAAGGTGAGGAAAGGGAGAGAGGGGGATCTTCGAAGCGAATGTTGTTTTTTGAGAAATTGGAGAACCAATGGGCTATGGTCAGAGAGGAGATGGTGTAGCTGATGAAGATATGTAGATATTATTCAATCCACTCACCCATTTTCAACATGAAGTTTTTTACTATATGTTAGTGTTTACCCCTATGACGATTGACTACTTTGATATATTCCCTGATATCCGTTGGACATGACAAAGTACGACTGCGAAAGTACTTCAGGAAGGACAGGAAGGAAGGGAACGACGCTCACTCTAGATCCTTCAACCCAGCGTCAAAACGACGTCTGATGATTAGCTTCTAGCCATATATACCAATACTATTCCATCACTTGCAGTTGTTTTGAACTCTATTCTCTGCATGAGAACCCCAGGCGGAGAGAGGTGACTTGATCGTGTGGTGAAACGCGTACTTTTGAAAGGCGGAGAATCCATTAGATAAAGAGGGTGAAAGAACATGATCGACCAATGACAACTCACTCATAACTCGGTGCAATCCTTCCAGTCCCACCACTAGGACTTTGTGTACCTAAAAGCATTGCAATCCTTCCTCCGATTCTTTCCACACTACTAAGTGTATTACCCGGTGTCACAGCGTGTCTTTCAACAGGTGTTATACCCACCCCTCTACCTCTCATAGCCGAAGCTGCATTGATAGGTTTACCACGTAAATTTCCCATTGCTAATCCTGCTTGACCGGGAACGATGAGATTTCCATTTCCATTCCCTCCAGAATTACCTAAACCACCATGATGGGTAGGACGAGAGAAATGGAGAGAATGAAGTGGCGGATTATCAGCAGGAGTGTTATATGGGGTTATACCACCTCCTCTTGGTGTTGGAGCTATAGCATGTGCTTTAGCTACTTGATTAACATTTCCAGATGTTCCAGAAGTTACATTTGCACTTGACTGGTTGTTAATTGTATCGGGTGAAAGTTGTTTAGGTTTTGGGGATGTGATACTCGACATGATTGTGATTAATTCTTTAAAGTTGGATTTTTTCCCGCTTCTTTCGGATATTTCTCAAATTGGAAAGTATTTATGTCTTGATTGTTTGAAGTGATGATATGAAGATGAATGTTAAGATGTGAATTGAACAGATGGATCACTTGATTACTATTCTGAAGAATCAGTCTAGACTCGATACTCAAGTACGTGGTTTATTTTTCAAGAAGAGGACGACGAAGTTGATAGACCAATGGAGGTTTTGAATGAAATTGAAAATCGCTCGCACTCCGATAACAGGGTGAGAAGTCGAGGACCGAGGGAACAGGGAGAGAGAGAGAAAGAGGGAAAGAACGTACGAGCGTTATGGGGCTAGACCGAGGGAGATTGTTAGGATGAGAAATGTCAAAGCAACATGAGGCGGTGTGAGACTACGCTCCAGGTTCATCCTTTGTGTCGAGGGTACAAAGGAGGAACAATGCCACTTCTCAAGGGGGATGCACGACGTACAAGCGGAAGATCCGAACGCGTGTGAGAGTTAGGCCGGGTGTTTGAGATGGGGGTTCTTGTATGTCGATCCTTTATTTTGGCCGACGGGTGAGAGGTGTGGGGGCGGGAGACAATTGGCGATGGCGATGGTCGATTGGAGATTCTAAGGACAGAGCTGAGTCAGTAATTGAAGTAGAGACAGAAATAGGGGAAGAGAGGGAAAGTAAGTCAATCTGATCATGAACCTAGACAACAGGATGACTGCATATGCAGGACAAATTTTCTGATAAGCAGACTCAAAGATCTCCAAATCGGTCAGGCATGACTACTGGACCGATCCTACAGAGTCAGAGATATCTAGATGCAGTGGATGGACTTACAAACTCCATATGTAGAGAGCGTAACAAAGCCAGCTACTGATGACACGCATCCACATGGTTGCCTCGGATCGACCGATGTAAACGTCGGGTTCGGCCATGACATTCAGTTCATAAGATATCGGTAGGGGCTCGGTTGGGTGAGCGACAGGTGAAGTTGATATGATGGCCCTAGATCGTTAAATAGCCTACGGTGCATAACACGCCAGCTTACCAATCAGTCAACAAACCTGCAACGTACATGGCGGCCATGACGAAGATTATGTGAAACCATGAATACTGATAGTCAGCAAAATTTTTCGAGTGCATTACACATCTCCATTTGACCACGCCGGAATGATCACGAAGTGGTAAAGAAGAGGAAAGGGGAGTTTTTTGATGGACAACTCACATTGTACTTTGTCCCACCTCTCTCATCATCCCTCTCCTCACCCAAAGTCGCATCAATTTCATCATCCTCATCATCCGGTTGATCCAAAACTGAAGCTGGTAAACTACCCGCATTGACAGCAGCTAAGATAGCTTGGTATCTCATTTCATCCCTTCTTCCTCTAGGTTGACTACTGACCAACCTTACCTCTGGATCATCATCCGTATCATCACCTAATGATATAGGTCCATTTCCATTCCCCGCTCCAGCTCTATGACCTTTACCCACCAAAGCCATACTTTGCGTTGCAGCCCTAGAAGTGGAGTAAGCGATAGCTAGGAAAGTAAACAATGCTCCGATTATCACAGTGGTTGTTTTCGTTCCTCCACTGGCGTGAAGAGGATTACAATGTCCATCATCTGAATGATTCGCCACAGCCGAAGCGGTAAGATATGTGCAATAAGCAGATACCATACTTGCTTGAGTGAGACCTGATTTGGGATTCGCATCTTGAACCTGAGGAGAAATAGCAATGACGGTACTGATAGCTGAGAGGATAAGATTTGACGTGACGAAAAAGGTGTTCATTCCACATCCTGAACCTGCGAAAAAGACGTAAAGTAAGGTTGTAAGGGTTATAGCGGCTGAAAACATTCCGATGGTAGATCCGATAAGTATGAATGTCCATAAAGACGAACTTGATCGTTCCCAATTGTCTAAACATGTTTCGGACCATGTGTGAGCAAAGTCGACTAGGAGGACGAGACCGATAAGGATGAAGAGGAATGCTCCTAGGGGTGCGACATAAGAACCGTAGGCCATGAAGAATTCGTTGGGAATGAGGAAACATAGGAAGCAAAGAAGGAAGTAGCCCAAGAGTTTGGGACCCCACCAGCTGACAGTCAGTTGACGATCATGATCCAAAGTACTATCAACCATATATCAAAAGAAACGGAGAGACATCTTCTGGCAAAGCTAAGACGGACCTTTTTGGGCATGATAGAAAAGGCGGAAGGAAGGTTGACTGGAGCTCACCCATTCTGTATAGCCGCACGTTTGGTTTTTGTAGATCTTACACCGACTAATAACGCAGAGAGGATGAGATGGAATAAAGCAAGAGCAAAGCAGAACCTGTGTACCTGCGAATCAGCTTCGGACAGAACCACTAATGGACTGTGAACGTACGGCTAAAAGACCATAACATTTCCCACCCGAACAATCCATTTTGATCCAGTCCCAACTCAGCTTTTTGATGGCACGTATGGCTATATCAGTTCTGGAGAGGTATGCCAACATTGAAGATAAGGCGAAAATGAGCTGATGATCAGTCGTCTTTTCGTCTCCCCGTCTTCCTTCCTAACTGTCCAACTGGCGCGACGAAATAGTAGAGTTGGCAAGAGCTTGGTCTAAGGGAAAAGGATTTCTCTGTGGGTCATGAGATAGAGAGAAAAAAATTAAACTCACACCAAAGCCCACTCTTGTAGCGATGGAAGAGTTACAATTACATGATTTGAAGAAAGCTGAAGCTGCCGTTCCACCTGAAAAGTCAGCTGTAGTATGAAATTTCAAAAGGAGAAATACAAACCCATACAGACCATACATCCCGATAAGAGAGAACCACCTATGGTCCCCAGACCTCCTGTGAGCAATGGAATAGACAGTAAAGCTCCCATGTCGATTTGGTGATGAGATGGAGTTGGATAGGAAAGACAAAGGTGAGATAGAGGTGAAGAGAGTCACTACTACTAGTCAGTTGAGTGGCGGTGAAAGTGAAATTGCAAGTGGCAGGGTGGCACGGCAGCGTGACAGAGGTGACATGGTGACAGCTATAGAATTGTGTACAAACTGCATGCGAAACACTCGTCATGAGCCCATACATGCCATACAGGCAGGCTACAAAGAGCAAGGAGACTCGGAAAACTTCAGAAAATGCTAGTCATGTCTCGTCGTTGGTATCGTAGACCATCATCACTCCCCTCCCCACAGATCCACAGAAGAGACCTAATGCTCGTCGTCTTGTTCCACCCTTGCCAAAATCTCATGTACAAAAGCCTCCGCCAAACCAGGCACATTATGTTCCGCCTGTACAAATGCTTGCATCAGATGTTCAATGGTCTGACGTGAGGCGACGGGAGCTCGTTCAATGATCTGAGTGTCAGCTCAGAAAGACTCTGAAGTTCTTTCAGCTCACCGAGCGGAAAGACGGTTCGATGATGTATTCGCACACGCCAGCCTCTAGCAATTCCTCCGGTTGATCTGAGGGCTGAGTCACTGGTTCGGGGTATGTAGGCTGAGGTGGTTGAGGTGCAGGACGAGTGGCTTGCATCTGCGCTTGTAGCTGCGGTGGAGCGTGACGGACGGTGGAAAAAGTCTGAGAGGTTGGGGTTGGATACGAATCTTCGTTCCGGTTGGGAGATGTCACGATCGGCTGAATTGATTTTTCCACTGGTTCCGGGGCTTCATGTATGTCTTCTACGACCGAACGCTCGACGGGTACATCAACAGGGGTGCCAGGACTGGGTAAAGGTCGGTTTCGGGATGGGGTATTTGGAGCTGAAGGGACAGCGTGGCGGACGGTTCCAACTATCTGATTAGATCTTTTTCTGGTTGACGTAGAAATGTGCAGACTCACAGTCCCACAAACTGTCTGCTGCTGGTCCATAACGGGTCCTACATTGTCAGCTCAACGTTGAAAAGTCTCCAAACTACTAACCGGAACTGCGCCGAGTCTGTTTGTGGTTTCTCCTCTCCTGAATCAACCTTCCACTTCTCAAAACGCTCGATCAGTTCTGTCAGATACGAAGCCTTCCTCGCCGTTCTGACAAATTTGTGTTTGAGCAACTCTTTTGCTGTAGGACGCTGATGATAAGTTATCTTCCTCACAGTCACTGTAGCTCACCTCTCGTGGATCTCGTTTGAGACATAGCGAGACAAAGTCTCTGAAGGGTTTAGAGAACTTGGTCTCGTCCAACTGTGGCGGGGGGTTCTTCGGGATGAGGAATAACACCTGATCTGTTTAGCCCTGTTACAAAACACTATATCACCCACCTTCATCGGATGTAAGTCTGCATAAGGTGGTTCACCCATGGCCATCTCAATCGCAGTGATGCCTAAACTCCAGATGTCTGCTTTATGGTCGTATCCTGATTGCTTGATGACCTCTGGTGACATCCAATAAGGCGTCCCTACGAATGTATTCTGATCTTAGCGGCTGTTCCTCTCCATTGATTCCACTGGACATACTTTCTTTGTCATCGTCGCGGTGAGCTGACCAGACACACCAAAATCGGCCAATTTGACTTCACCATTGGAAGTCAGCAGTATATTTGCGGCTATTCAATCAGCTCCATTATCGGTGATATTTTCAGCTGGACATACCTTTGATATCTCTATGAAGTTTATTCTCCCCGTGAAGATATTCCAACCCCCTCAACAGCTCTCGTGCTAAGATAGCGATATACTCTTCCTTGAATACCCCCGCTTTCATCTGACAAACATGAGTAAACCCCTATAAGACAACGAATGAAAACATACGAGATCAGCACATGAACCACCAGAACAATACTCCATAATAATCCAAAGATTAGATCCTTTCAGGTATGACCCATGATACCTGATGACGAATTCACTGTCCAGCTGACCGAGGATCTGTATTTCCTGTTGAATATCGTCGATCTCATCTTCGGCAGATTCGAGATCGATAATCTTGATAGCGACAGGTTTGGAAGTTTTGATCTCGTATCTGGTTGTGAGTTATAATCTTCAACAATGCCTAATGAATCTTCACCCCTTGTATACTTCTCCAAAGCTTCCTTTACCTGAAGGTCAATTGTTGGACGCGTCGGAAAGGAATGTGACCAACCTATACGTTTTTGCTTGACATAGTATAATTCCGGATCTGCATGAGGACTTCTCTGAGGGATTGCAGAGTATGTAGACTACGTGTTATTCTTCTACCACCGACTGAGGTTTAAGACAGGATCTCACCATCTCGACGTCAAGGCTGGGGTTGACGGTTGCCACTGGATGGGAGGACGCTGTTTCACGACCGGCAAAGCCAGAACGATGTTTCTACGAAAGTGATGCAGGAAAATACAGTCAATAGGACACGGAGAGAAGTCTGACTGTAGCTGAGTGAGAGGAATGAGAGGGTACGGTATTATGGTACTGCCGGAAGAGGAAGAGTGAGAAAAGTGAGAGAGGTCAAGTCAATCTTGATGCGTTCAAGATGAAACACCAAAGGAAAATCAGCCACGTGGCGAATTCCCCCTTAAACTGACGGACATGTCTCTCATCTCCGTCAAAAAGTCGCAACTGCATGCTGCAACATGCACCACGGATGACCACCCCCTGACATCTGTCCCTCTGTACTTCAAAACTCTTGGCGATACAACCCTGAGCTCTTACCCGATAGAAGCAGAATGGGCAAGAGAAAAGGTCCATCCAAGAGCATCTTCGCATCTCTTCCTCTGGAAATCAAACAAAGCATCCGTTCTCAAACCTCGTTACCTCTCAAAGGCGATCTGCTTGCGATTGAAAATCAAGCCAAAAGTCTCCTCCCCGTCGAAGGATCCAACTTCTTACCCACCCAGCCATCCGCATCAGATGACGCAGTATCGGAACCTACGATTTCTCATCTCCAGGCAGGCCCTTCGAAGCTGCCGGCAACTTCGCCGCAGGTCTCGGACAAGGCAATGAGCTCGTCGATAGTGACAGAAACGATGGAGAGGGAAGATGTTGGGGAGTACGATTTCACAGGTACAGATTATAACGACTATCGACCTGCCAAAAAGCAAAAGGTAATCAAGGGTCGAAAGAAGGGACAAAAAGTGGTGAACGGTTTCAAGGATCATCCGTGGGATTGTACGGGTCTGATACATCGATATACGAGAGTGGAGCAAGTACCTGTGGAATTGAAGAAGTGTCAGTACTTATTTGTAACACTCCTATCCCCAAAGCGTATGACAATATAGACGCCGTTGCTCACAATTATCTACTCCGGAGCGAAAGGGCTGTCGTGAGGCAATGAAGGCTTTCAATATGGTATCAGCCATCGTGGTCGATAGTAGACGCTGATTATGAGATTGGTATCAGCGTCATTTTTATTTCCCTTCATACGATCAACTTCCTTTGCTTCTAGATACCACCGGATGGTATTCTATCACTCCTCAACCCATTGCGGCTCATATTGCTCAAAGATGTCAATGTGATGTGATAGTGGATGCCTTTTGTGGTGTGGGAGGTAACGCTATCGAGTTCGCCAAGACGTGTCAGAGAGGTGGGCTTGTTTTCCCTCATTCCCCACTGAACTACTCTCTTCATCGTCCTCATGTTACGTATATGTTCTATCAATGGCTTGTCGTACCAGAACCCTCCATCGCTCATTTGATCTTCGTTTCTACCATTTACCCTCGGCCCTCCCCAATCCACTTTTTCCTTGTTTGAGTTTCCACCTTTGGCAATGAAAGCGCCTACTGTTGACAGTATCAAAAGGCTCACTGACACCGCAGTCATAGCAATCGATAATGACCCCATACGTCTCCGTCTTTCCCGACACAACGCCCTCCATCTCGGCGTAGCCGACAAGATCGAATTCATCCTTACCGACTTTATCTCCTGGGCTCGCTGTCAAACCCTTCAACCTAATTCCCCAAATAAGATTGATGTAATATTTCTCAGTCCACCATGGGGAGGACCAGACTATTTGACATTCACCGATCCCCTCACTTCCAATCCTAACCCTCAATCCACTTCATATCCCCTCTCAGCCATCTTGCCTATTCCGGGTAAAGAGCTATTTGAACTTTGTTCGAAGATCACTCCCGACATAGCCTTTTATCTTCCTAGAAATGTGGATGTGCAAGAGGTCGCACAACTTGCCTCTAGGTTGGAAGTTCCGTTGACGGATCATGGTGATTCAAGAGAGAGGGAATGGGTGGAGATGGAAGAAGAATGGGTTGGGGATAAGTTGAAAGCTGTTACAGCGTATTTTGGTGGGTTAATCTCTAATGAATGAGAATGAGAATGAGAATGAGATTGTGAGATTGTGAGATGGTGGTTAAGAATTGGGATCTTGTACAGTGATGATCTATGAAATTCTATACGACTCATGGCATGAACAATCTTCCAGAACGAGATGTGGGGATCTTTTATGAGATCCTGGATGCCGTTGTATGAGTGACAGACTGATGAACTGCTGTGTGGTCTTGGCAGGTCAAGTGTATGGATTGAACAAGTTTAATCTATTTCCAAGATGATACACTCCCAATCTGGTCCGAATTTTAGCTTCCCCCGTCAAAGTATTCACTCCACTGGTGGTAAGTATTTCCCTACGCAATTCCATCTTTCCTCCTAGTAATCCCCCTTTACCTCCTAAGGCAGGATTCCACCAAGCTCCTTCTACCAAAATCTCCTCTTCCCCCTCTCCCTTCTCTTCCTCCCCTCTTTCTTTCCCTGCCCCGTCACATGTTTCATCCCACTTTTCATCATAATCTGCTCCGCTTGATTCACTCGTTCCAGCCGGCGAAGGCGAAGAGTTGGAGAGTTTTATCTCTCTATCGTCTGACGTGGTAAGATGTGGGGTCAGAGATATGGGCTGCCCTCCCGGAAGATGTACAAGCATCATAGGTGCTCCTGATCTAATGGCATGTTGCATAGCCGCAGGAGTGAAACCAGATTGTGACAGAAGTATAGCCATGGTATTTGTCTTTAATTCATTCTCCGTGTTGTCGTATCCTGCTTTCCCTGCCAATCAGTCAGACCTAACTTCACTCATCAGGTTAATCTTAGATATATCATTTGAGAGGAATATAGGGAGTGGTTAAGTCACCTCGAAGATGAGCCATAACACCTTCCAACTCCCTCACAGCTCTAGGTCCCACTACCTTGCGTTCGGCTTTACATTGTGCTACCACTCTTAATCTTCTCATCCTATCCGAGGAGGTGGGTTCGAAAGCAGACGTAACTTTTTCAGGGTGAGTCAGATGGGAACTTATTTCTTCGTTTTGGGCGAGTTTGACAAGAGCCGGCGATATGTTGAATGAAGGAAGATACCACCATCCTCTCAAATCTACACCACCATCCCCTGCCCCACCAACGGCACGGAGGGACATACCTAGATGACGGTTACAAAATCTGAGCGCGTGAAGTTCGAACGCTTTCCCTATTTCGTGTGTGCTTCTACGGGTGGACATGTTCGTATGATCTTTAGTTGCAGAGTTAGTGATCCCATCTTGTGACACTCTCAAGATTGACTTAATTTGACCTTGAAGGATGCGGGGCTCCGCATTCTCTGGGAAACCACCACGAAACTCAGCCAAAAAGCCCTTTCGTGTGTCTTCTCTTGCCACCATATTGTCAATCAGATAAGTGAGTCTCTCTTCTGCTATGATAGTCCCTACACAGCCGCCACATGAATTGCAGGTATTACATATGATGTTTCGTCTTAAATACGATATGTTAGACTTCGGAGGATGTTCATCCACAGTCGACCACTTTAGACCCTGATACTTGACCTCCTTTCCGTTGGCCTTTGCAACAACCACCAAGCTTCAGATGATAAAAGACGAGGCGATCATATAGCTGACAGAAGTCTGAGAGATATAGACACGAGGACGAGATGGCACCTGTCAGATTACCCGATTTGGAGAAACTCGAGTTGGATCCGAAGAAGAAAGACGCGGAGATGAGCGGAGAAGAGGATGATGATGATGGGGATGGACAAGAGGGGGAAGTGGTGGTTGGGGAAGGGAAGAAAAAGAAAAAGAAGAAGAAGTGTAAGCTTGACTTTTAAGCCCACTCCATATTGTGTTCTCCTCTCAACATACTTGTCTGTTTGTGTGTAGGGCGTAGGGCCATGGTTATAGATGCAGGGTGAAGTGGCAGATTGGAGGTGATCAAAGAAGGGAGTGAAGAAAGGAAAGCTTCTAACGATCAGCAAAGAAGAAGAAGACTACTGTCGTACAAACTGAACCACCCACAATTGGCTTGAGTAAAATCTTCAAGAATGGTGTATATCCCATTGGCGAAGAGATGGATTATACAAATGAGTAAGTCATCATCTCTATTGTCCACGAAAACAAAGGGAGAAAGAAAGATTCTAATGTATAGTTCCACTCGTCGAACTTCTCCTGAAAGTCTAGAACGTGAACGATTAGCTCAAGAAGACCCAAGTAGTTCTTATCAAAATATCCGTCGAGCTGCCGAGGTCCACCGACAAGTACGCGCATACGCCCAAAAGACAATAAAACCAGGGATGACCATGACGGAAATAGCAGAGTTGATCGAAAATGGGACCCGGACGTTGGTCGAGGAGAATGGATTAGAATCAGGGATAGGTTTCCCTACTGGTTTAAGTGTGAATGAAGTGGCTGCTCATTACACTCCGAATGCTGGGGATACGAAAGGTAAGTGACTCGTCACCTCTCTCTTAAACCTACTGTACTTGATAAATTGAGCTCTGTTTGTTCAGCTTTGATAGTGATCACTATCTCATGCTGATATCTTGCTTTTCTTGAGCTGATATTTTACAGTCCTACAACAATCCGACGTTATGAAAGTCGATTTCGGTGTTCATGTCAATGGTCGAATATTAGATTCAGCATTCACGATGAATTTCGAACCTACTTGGGATAAATTATTAGAAGCTGTTAAAGACGCTACGAACACAGGTGTGAAAGAAGCTGGAATAGATGTAAGATTATGTGATATGGGTGAAGTCATACAAGAAGTTATGGAATCTTATGAAGTTGAAATCGGAGGTAAAACATTACCGATCAAAAGTATAACAAATTTAAATGGTCATTCAATCACACCTTATTCAATTCATGGTGGTCCATATGGTAAAAGTGTACCTATAGTGAAACAATTCGGAAATGAAAAAGATGAAAGAAAAATGGAAGAAGGAGAATATTTCGCTATTGAAACTTTTGGTTCTACTGGTAGAGGTAGAGTGATTGAAGAAGGTACTTGTTCTCATTATGCTTTATCACCAAGAATGCCAGATAGATATACTTTACAGTGAGTTGATCGATCTCTTTTTTTTTTAATCGGATCTCATTCTTGTAATATTCTGATTCTCATAATAATCCCATTCTTTTAATAGTCTCATTCTTATAATAATCTCATTCTCATAATGATCTCATTCTTACAAGAAATGTTGTAAAAAGGGAAAGGACTGACAACGAAATAGTCATCAATCTGCTAAGAACTTGTTAAAGTCAATTCAAAAGAACTTCGGGACATTACCTTTCTGTAGGAGATATCTTGATCATGTAGGAGAAAAGAATTATCTTTTAGCTGTGAGTCATTTTGTTATCAATCATCTGATATGTAAAATGTGAAATTAATGATAATGGAGCTAATGAATCAGTTGAACACTTTAGTCAGAGAAGGTTTAGTAGCTGATTATCCACCTTTGGTCGATCCTGTACCAGGAGCCATGACAGCTCAATATGTGAGTTTGTTATACTTCATCAAGTACTTATCTCCTCCCCCAACTCTCCCACTTTGCTTAAGCTCGTATGACTGATGAGGTCGTGCAATAGATGTCAATTGACATTTCAGGAACATACCATCTTACTTCGACCCACCTGCAAAGAGGTGGTTTCACGTGGTGATGATTACTGAGTGACCTTTAAGCTTGTATGGCAAATTCAAACCGAGACTCATCTGTACATCATGTCCAATGCATCTTTTGTACAATGTTCCATCTTATCGAAACCAATCCTTCTCGTCTTTGCTCCCCACTGACCACTGAAGTGATGTAACAAGGACGAATCATTAAATAATCAGAATGGATACGTGTGTGACATGTGTGAGAGATCAAAACCCAAACATGTAACCTAATAATAACAAAACACAAAACGCCACGACACAAGCAACGATGATACTATCCCTCCTACGTCTGGAATGTATCATAGAGATGAGAGAATTGATTCCTGGTATTTGAGAGAGTACTCCACCGAGTCTGGAATCTATTCGAGCGAGAAAAGTACGTTGTTGTGCGAAATCTTCTCTGGTGGCATATGCTTGACTGGGAGGTCAGTGTTGAATTCGTCATTCCTTCTTATCATATAATCTGAAAGATACCACGAATGGCCTCTCCATGCGTGATGACACATATGTTCGCATGACGAGGATGGATACCATGAGACCAAATACAGGAAAACAGAGGTATACGCGAAGGATGGAAGTGAGTGGTGAGAAGAGCGAGATAAGCCAGAGAAGTCAACTGGAACGTGAAAGAAGACGAGAGAGAAAGAACAGAGTTGAAGGGACAGAAGAAGATAGGATAAGAAAAGTATAAAAATGGACTCACTTGAGAGTATCATCAATCATCCTATGTGAAGAATCTATTCTACCTCTATCTGCCAATAAAGCGTCTGTTTGGGAAGGTGAGGCAGATTTGTAATCGCTGATAATCAACAGGTATCTTGTTTCCAGGACAGAACATTGATGGGGGGGGGGGGGGGGGGGACAAACCAAAACTCACTTGATATCTTTTCTCACTGATCCGAGTAGGTTAGAACGAGCTACAGCAGCTTCGACATTGTTCTTCGTGTCAGCAGTGAACATGCTTCGAATCTTATGCCTGGATCCTGACCAGCAATTTTCAACGTGACGGTCGATAAAAATATAGAAAATAGCTTCGGGCAATGCTCACAAAGTCTTCGTTCTCTGGTGTAGATACTTGAGGGTATCTTTCAAGAGATTGTGATAGACATTCAGCTTCTCACAGAACATCGGATCGGGGTAAGGATTTCTCACATGAAAATTATCTTGAAAAGTTTAACTCACCCTTGTCCTGAGAAAATCTCTTCGATAATCATCTAAGTTATCTCGATGTCGTTGAGCCGCATGTTGCATAGAAGCTGAAGGTGGTTGAGAAGGAGAGTTTATGAGTGTCATCAAATCGTCTATAGCTTGTTCGAGCTATACGTCAGTCTCTTTCGCCTCTCATCTTGCTCTTTCTCCTCTTCCTCTGTCTCTTCTGCCCCGGGTTCTCTCTGTATCCACTTCTCCAGAACTCATGTCCGTCAAGGTGCGACAGGAGATCGCTGAGGAAGGAGCCAAATCTTACTCACTTTACCTAACAACTCTTCAATCTCCTCTTCTACCAACTTATAACCTCCCTCTCCCTCATCCAACTCCTCCCTATCTTCTCTTTCCCTACTTCCCCCTGCCGACCTAGAGATATCCGCTGCTAAACGGGAATAAGTGGAGAGTTTCGTCCCTAAAGCAGTCTCTAACGCTCTAGCATGTCGACGAGCGTTATCCCATGCGGTTGACATTTTCGAGTTATACGCTTTCCTCTGCTTGCTTTGTTTCTCGTGTTGTAGCAGGGAAAGGACTGATATGTTCTTGTGACCTATGTATTCACAGACAGAGATCACATCACTCACTTCCGTAATTGTAATCCGAGGGGATCGAATAAGATTCTCATCTTCCACGCGAATCACCCAAAATCAAAGTTCCTGCCAGTTCACGTTGAGTAGACATTATTCTAATGCTTGACAACTCTCAACATGCTCTTACCTCGAACATCTCTATCTTTAATATGGACATTATCGAGAATATGGATGGTATCATCCACAGCGTTAACTTTTGTCATTTCACCAGGGGAAAAGAGTTGTTTCTATGCTGATGTTGATGGTCAAGGGGAGAAAGTTGGTCAGTGGTTTCACACATTCCATCATTGCAACCATCCAACCATTCTGCTAGATTACCATAACTCAACAAGGCTATATGGGATGGTGTTTGATATTCTGTTATGTTACAGTGGTGAAGTAAAGCGTCAATGCTGAGTTTCAGGATTCTACTTTGCAGTTCAATCTGGTGGATCATTCGAAATAGATTATGCTATCATGAACCCCGACGATGTGGTCTTATTACAAGGTACCAATGAACGTCAAGGGGACTATATATTTACTGCTAATAAGGTGAGTCACGTCCCTGATATCCCTTCCTATTGTATATTCTCACAAGATCACATATACACACAAACTCCTGGACCTATCCCTCCCATGAGTTCCTCCTCACTCCAAATTCGGACAGCTTATATGACCTCTCGGAGTGAGACATTACTCTACGCTCGCATGCCGGGAGGCTGTGGGAACGACCAGCAGTATTAACTCTAAAACCAAGTCACTATAGGGTAATGTTGCTCATCGCAGATCGGCGAATACACATTTTGTTTCGAAAATGAAGCTTCCATCTCTGACAAACTTATCGATCTTGAGTGAGTCTACTGTACCTTACTACAATCTCTCCATTCACATTCAATACCTCACACTTCAAGCTGCAACCATATCGAGTACAAAGCTGAAAATCAGTATCATGGTGGAATCAGAACCAAGACGAACACTTTCAGCCCAACAATTACCGTTCAAAGACCATACTAGCGCATTAGAAGAGAGTACTCATAAATTAGGAGGGTTGTTAAATTCCATCGCTCGGACGCAAAAACAGTGAGGTTCTCTCCACTCTCTCTCCCCTCACACCCACCACATTGACTTTCATCCTATACCTTCAAGTGTCTATTGAGCCTGCAAAATACGTTCCATGAGCCCCCGGGGTTGTTCAATGAGAGCAGGGAACACATGACAAAGAAGGGAATTTGGTTGAACAAACTGACGGATAGTTATCATACTCGTCATCATCGGAATTACTCGACTGTCCAATCTACCCAAAGTAGGATATTTTGGTTTACAGTATTAGAAAGCATTGTCATTGTTGTCAGTTCATTGTGAGTCAAAACATTTCCATTGACCCTCTATTCTTCTATTCCAAACCACCCTCGCTCCTTCCTCCTACCCCATGTCTGGGGACCCATGATTGAGTGAAGGAATGGAAAGTCAACCTCGCTGTTGTTCCTACGAAGAGGATGTCAACGGACTTTCCCTGATGACCATTTTCTTTCGAAGACACAATGATGCGTTCAGCTACTGACAACAGATTGCAAGTTTGGATCCTCAAGACATTCTTCTCCAGAGGTTCAAGACGATTCAAAGTTTAACGACCCAAACGAATGCATGATCATGACTTCTCATCGTTTCCCATGTTGACGACGTTCCTGTTCCATCCTCGCTGATTCATGCACTACGATAGCTTCATCGACCCAAGGCATAGTGAACAAGTCGCTCCTTCTCAGATCCTCTTCTCGGACGCTTCCGCCGTTGAGAGATGCTACGCCTATTTGGAAACCCAGCATTTCGTCTAAATCCCGAGCTTGAGCTTGAAGCCAGTTTTGTATGAAAGCTTGAGGGTTTGTGCTGCGTGTCAGCGTCTTGACTTGTCACTTTTCCTACCAAGAACCTGTTTATGGTCCATGGTCCACAGGGAGAAATGGGCAGAGGCAGCAAAGAGAACAACAGCGATAATCAGAGAGAGGAAGAGGGAGGAGGTAGAGGAGAAAAGAACGGGAAAGAGAGGAATAAAGAGATTGACTGACGCGAAAGCTTCTAAGAAGTCACGTTTCTGTTTCAATTCCCTAGCGTGATAGACCAATTCCCCAACTTTATCTTCCAACTCCATAATCTCCTTCCCTTCATCCCCTTCGATCCGTTTGAGTAAATCAGCCATCTTGCTCTTGAGAGGATCTTCCATTTCCACCGGGATATCAAAACATTTATCGTGAAATTGATAATCTCGGTCAACGCGGATGGTGTAGGGTATCACTACGGGATCTGGATGAGCTAAGAAACGAGTGACAAGTTGAGGGATGTCATGAAAGGGGACTCCGTCTTGTCCGGGCATCATCAGCTGAGCGTGAGCATATGCATTCGTACGTAGAAGAGATCTCCGCATATTTTCTTGACCAACAAGCCAATTAGTCCTTGATCACGAAACAGCTATGAATTTTCCTCGACTTGTTGGAGATCGATGTTACGCTTCAAAATGGAAAGGAGAGAAATTAACCAATAGACTGACCTTTTCTAAACCCCCGACTGGTCTCACGATGGTAGGATCTTCTTTATCTTGCGCACCAGCAATCTTTATCAATTTCCAAACAGCAGAAATGATCTCCCCTCTAGTCCCCTCTTTACTCGCTATCAGTTCACTAAGCGGAGAAGTGATACGGTATCGTTCGGGATAATGAGCGATGTCGAGGATGATACGACAATTGACGTTCGAATCTCCCCGACGAAGAATTTCGAAGCCATCTGTAGGAGGCTGGTTTGCAGGAGACCACTGTATGTCAGACATAGCGTCTTATTTGATTCTTTCGCATCACATTTGTATCCTATCACAGAAATCCGGAAACCCATTTGAAGTCACCATTGGTTTGAGTGAATTTGTCGTGAAGAAGAGAACGGTATATGGGATGAGGAATGAATCTGACTCACCTCTACTACATTTCCCTCTGGATAAGTGGGTGGTTCGCGATTATCGAACTCGACTACTACCCTACGCAGGAAGGTTGAGAATTTTCTCTTGGTCTTGTCTATTCTGACATTCCCAGACTATCATCAGTCAGCCACTCAACATTCATCCAAGTCTTCTCTCATTGATTTGATTTGGGGGTTATTGTTGGGAATTGTGATGATTGTAAATGGGGTTCAAACTCACATCGAGCAATCTTCCTTCTACCCTCAATACCCAACCCGGAATACCTTTTCCCGTTGATAAGTCCACATCGTTCCCAGTCCCACCGGATGGTTGATCCCCATTCTCCACGCCGTCCCCAGAATCCTTCGACTCTACAGCTGCGTTCATAGATACATCAAAATCTATGACTGCTTGAGCTGATTGTGCGGCTTGCCATGTTTGGTCGTGTGCGGTATTAGAGATGAACACTCTGATATTGCGTTTGACCTGATGTCAGTATACTATCTACAAAGAGCTCGGATAGCCTCATGAAATACAGGCAGACACATGACCAAAGATCTTCGAGGTACGCGATGAGCACGCAGGTGAAGCCAAACAAGTCGCAGTCGGAGTCAGACAATTCGAATATGAGCAATGGAGGAAGGAACCCACCTTCACTGGTCGACCAAGTGTATCATTAATCTCCGCTCTTTTTCTCATCAAAGTCCAATCAAGTTTCGCTTCAACATCTAAGAGCTCATTGAATGCCACTGATTCCGGTACTAAAGACGCGAGTATATGAGGAGGGGGAAGTGGTGGTCTGGGTTGTTTTCTATGTTTTCAGTGATTCACTACCGGCAACATAATCTTGTCCATCCTATAATCATAGATGACATTCTGTATATGATCTTTTTGGCATTTAGACACGAAGGTGGGAGAGATATTGAAATGAAGAAGACAAGAATTGAATCAAGGGATTGCTAGAGGAAAGGAAGTAAGAAACACGACATACGTTCGACGAATCTGATCCGGGTCGGGCTCCACACGTTTCTTGGCGTCCCCTTGAGTTTGAGGAGGGATTCCATTAGTAGACGGTTGGGTAGATGGTCCAGCAGTGGGAGGTACAGGGATAGGGGTTGACATTGCTTTTCTTTGTTAAACGAAGTTGGCGGTTGAATCAAGGACAGCCTAAGGGTTGACTCTGGTATTTATTTCTTGTATTATTATCATTTAATCCCAGAACTTTGACGTCAATGACGATCTGTCGAAGATTGAAAAGGTTGAAGAGTTGAACAGTTGCTACGAGCCACGAGGACTCAATCAATATCGCACAGTCAACAGTCAACAGTCATGCCAAAACGTCAAGCATCTCCAGATGATAGTGTTCTCGATACCGATTCAGAGATAGACGAATTTACCTCAACTCATCAATCTCAAGCTGGACCTTCATCCTCCCCCGGTCTTGCTGAGAATCTGGAAGAACGCGGGGTTGGGCTATGGGAGCCAGATCAATGGGATGAAGAAGGAGGAAATAGTGATTTCTCCGATTATCAAAATGAGAATGGCGATGATACTTCAAGCTATGAAAGTGAAGGGAATGAAAACGAAGATGATTCCGACGCCGAAAGCAGCCAAGGCGTGGATGGACAGTTGGTGAGTTGTCGCTCCTCTACCCCTGGTGTAATACAGCTGACAGACTTCCAGAAAAAACTGCAAAGTGGTATGCGCACATGCTACTCTACTTCGAATTATGCAGGATTTGTGGGTATATCGAACAATCGCTGATGATGAAAGACCTCACTTCTGTACCCTTCGCCTCTTTGCTCAAAGCACAACGTGCACTTCGCAAAACGAACAAAAACGATATCATCTCTGAACCTCATACATCTTCATCGAAAGACAAGAAAGTGGAAAGGATTAAAGCTCGACTAGCTACTCTACAAAAGACTAAAGGGAAAGCTGCTCTCGTTCCCTTGGAAGCAAGAGGATCCGAATCACCTTCTGGTTCAGGTTCGGAAGATGGTGGATCCAATCTTCAAGATCGGATCAAGAGGGGTAACAAGCATGCGTTAGTCCCCTTCATGGAATAATTCACATGTGAAGGAGGCTGACGACTAGACCAGCAGCGATGAGTACGAAAAGACAGGTTTCTCGTATACGTAAAGTTGTCGACGTAGCAAAGACGGTCAGCTACACGTCAAAGATAGTATGAAGCTAGCTGACGTCAAAGGAAAGACGCGATCCCAGATTCTCTTCCGTCTCAGCTGGACGTGTTGATCCTCATCTTCATTCCAAATCATACGATTTCTTACCCGATCTATTGAAAGACGAAATGGCCATACTTCGTACCGCACTCAACACCGCCGTCAAGGCCGAAAGAAATTGCCCTTGGAGTGAGAAGACAATACGAACTGCGGAGAGAGAGAGGATCGAACGTGACCTGGGACAATTACGCACGAAAATGGACAGGACGCAGAGAGAGGCGAGAGAAAGACAGGTGTTGGCTGAGGTTAAGAGAGAGGAACGTGAAAAGAGGGAGAAAGGAAAGGGAGCTTGGTATTTGAAGAAATCTGAAAAGCGAGATTTACTACTGAAGAGTCGGTATGAAGCTCTGGAGAAGGAAGGTGGGAAGGGACGTGTGAAGAAGGTTTTAGAAAAGAAGAGGAAAAAGGTGGCTCAGAAAGAGAAGAAGAGTAGACCATTTGCACCCTCAAAGAAACCTCGTACAGCCTAGTGACCTTCAGTAGTGTGGCAGGATGATATCACCCATGTCATATCCAGTGCACTCGTAGCACCGTACGTAGGAAAGTGGAGCAGAAGATTCAGTCAGGAGACCGACCCAAGTCCGATCAGTGAATCAGTTGATACTCCATGCACACAACGATCGTCTTGCACTTCTACATCAGATCTGAGATGAATGAAAGACACTCAACGTCCACCTTTACCACCAGCACCCTTCATAGCTTGTTTAGACACCTTGGGCGCGGTGGGAGCACCTCCAGCGGGTTTGGTAGCTTTCTTGGACTCTTTCTCACGTTTCTCCGTCTTGGCCTTGCTGATAGCAGCTTGACGAGCAGCGGCGCGAACCTCGGGTTTGGCGGTCCTTCTGGCAAGAATGGTGCTGATGTCGGCACCGACCACACCACGCTACAAGTCAGCGTTATTTCTCACCCGCACGCACGACATGTCGCATCCCTTCTGTATGCCCCAATCGGATAATGTGAAAAGGCGATGTAGGATGCAAATGAAGACATACCTGAGTCTTAACATTCTTTCTGCTTCGCCTTTTGGCTACCTCCTCAGTGATACCCTTCTTGTGCATGCTGTACCCTTAGCATTACTCTTCCATTGTTCAAAGCACATACCGTCGGTACACCTGCGTCCAAGCGATCTTACGCGGGTTCTTGCGCTGTAAGAAAAGGGATTCATTTTTGGAGTTTAAGAATCTGAAGACCTGATTATAAGTGAATTTTCTTTGTCACAAACATGTATGATCATCTCCGGTGATTCATGCCTTTTATGGATGTGAATGTTGAGAGAAATTCAGTGAGAAGGCAGGACAAGCAAGAAGCTGATGACACACCTTTGAATCTCCCCGAACATATGTCTTCCCGTTCGATGGATACACTTTGAAGCCTGAAAAATCACAACGGTCGACACGCATCCTATTCTGTCAGTCTCCTTACTTTCAAAATGGAGAAATGGTCGTACGTCGTGGGCTGTATCTATGACTTGACGGATGAAGGAGATGCAGGTTGAATGGAGAGACTTGGAGGAAGGAAGTGCCACATCGGTAATATGTGAGATTCCGGAGACCCCTTCGGAGTTAAGCCTCTTACCGATAAGTCCGAACTGACCGGGAAATGTGGTTTTCAGTTGCTGGTATGCAGCGAATTACATGCCTACAAGAATTGGTTTAGGATATGTACATGAATGCTATGTGTTCGGCTTGTTGCCGTTCGCTTCCAACTCCCTTCCGACTCCATCCAGAAACATGTCGGCTTCTTTCTGACCCTTTTCTCGTCTCAATCGCTCAACTTCCTCCGCTCCACCCAACATCTTTGTCCGTTTTGCTTCCACCAAGGCCTTCCTCTCGTCCAACTTTCTCTTCCTCATCTCCTGTGCAGCTGTCAGACCTCCACGATTTCCAGCTTTTGCACGTGCGTTCTCAGTCTCAACTCTCTGAGCATCAAGCGAAGCCATCTGCTCTTTCCTCGCGTCCTCGTCAAGGGAGAATTGATAAGCTCCAGCGCCTCGAGTGCGAACTTCCTTGGTGGAATCATAATGATGTGCCCGAGCTTCTTCCTCGGCTTGTCTATATTTTTCTCGTATCGCGTCGGGGTCAGGCTCGTAGACCGGAAAGATTTTCTGATCCCCATCTGTGAGATTAGTGCTTGTCAACTGAAACAGTAAAAATCATACGAATGACATTAGATTGTCTGGTCGTAAGCTGTGATGCGAAACGATATGATTAAACTCACATAACTTCCGCGTATGATGATTTATCTGCTGGGATTATCGGTGCTGGTGTTCTACTCTCTTCTTGCCTTGCTTTTTCGGCTTCTCTAGCTTCTCGCCTGGTTCCAATCCGTGTTCGACCCATTTCGTCGACATACTCCACTCGAGCGAGATCATCGTAGACTTCTTCCTGATTCTCATTGTACGACTAAGCATCAGCTGCTGCCATGTTCCGTGTACATTGAGAAACTTACAGCTTCCAGTCGTCTGGCTGGCGGAGCACTTTCATCCACATCGGACGAATGATCAGACCACTCCTCTTCGGCTTTTCTGTCGAACTAAGATCAGATACTGTCCAGTACTTGCAGGTCATAAGCATGTCCCACTCACATCGATCACGGCCTCAGCAAGCTCCCTCTCCGTCATACCGGAATGATCACCCCTTCGAAGCTGCTCATACTTCTTCGCCTTGGCCTCCAGGATCCGCCTCCGCTGCTCGTCGCTAGGTCCTGCCTCGTCTTGAAAATGCCGCCGCTTCGCATCGTTCTTAGCCTCCGCCGCAAGACGTTTGATCAGACCGGGAGATGGGCGATCAAACGGGTCTTTGGACTGAGGTGAGCTGTGCACGACAAGCATATCCTCACACTTACCTCCAACTTTGCCCGCTTGACAGACCTCTGAGCGCTGCGTCCTTCTTTGGAGAACCTATCCACATGCTCGGCCGTGATTGCCTTGAGGTCTAGTAGGGAAGCCTGTGAGATGTTTGAAGGTCCCGCCATGGTAAGACTGAAGGGCAGGCATTGACCTCAGTGCGAAAAGCCAATCACGTCATGTCCAGGGTGAGTGGCGACTGCCACATTCATAACCCCGGAAGGTTTTCACGCCGCCCCACAAGCGTCTCTCCCCACTAGGCTTTCTTTCCTCTTTCCCCTCTTTCTTCACACGTTTCTCTTTTCCCATACCCTCTTTGTCTCTTTCTTTAAATTCAACTCCCTCTATTCTGCAACAATGTCCGGCGCAAAAGTCTATGTTGGTGCGTGATCGCGTCTTCTAGCCATGTCTTCGTCGTAACAAGTACGCTTTCGCCGTCGATGCATGGCATCTATTCTTCTTGGTTTTGGGTACTGTGTTTTGTGTTTAAGTGATTCCTGACTTGTTTCTAGGCAATCTTTCGTGGAACACCACGGATGACACTCTTCGCGACGTATGCTTGTTTCTTTTCGTGTGTGATGTGTCTTTGAGCTTATCTCGTCTTGTTACCCTCTTGTCCGGTGCTCGCTGTATCGTTGTCCCTCTCCTTGTCGATCTGTGCCCTTCCGTCCATCGTCTGGCTTATCGATCGTCGCTCGAATCTGTCCGTCTTGCAAATGACTCGTCTGGCTCGTTTCGTGATCCGTCGTCTTCTCAATGTTTGGTCTCCAAAATTTTGTCATCTCGTCATCCATCGGATCTGAACATGCTTTCAAATCACAACAGGCTTTTATGCAATTTGGTCAAGTACTCGACGTCGGTTTCGTTTCATTCTTTCCTCGTGTTTGTACTGAATGATAGAGCATCGTCATGAAAGATCGTGAGACCGGCCGTTCTCGTGGATTTGGTTTTGTCGTTTGTTGTTCGTGTTATTTGGATCCGCATCAGCTGAGCAAAACAGACCTTCAGTACTGCTGAGGAAGCTGAGATCTCCATTCAACAAATGAACGAGCAACCGCTTGATGGTCGTAACATCCGAGTGTGTTCATAGTCTCGTTCTCTCTTCAGTGCTGACTCGATTTCCAGGTCAACATGGCAAATGCTAAACCCGCCGGCGGTGGTGGTGGCGGCTTCGGTGGTGGTGGTGGCGGCGGTTACGGTGGTGGCGGATACAACTCTGGCTGTGGGTTTATTTCGCCCCAAAACTTGCGTGGCGGAAGATATCACATTTCCGACGCCCAACGTGATGTCTCACCAGGTCAAATGCTAATGTCAGATGGCGGTGGTGGTGAAGGAGGTCAAGGTGGCTACGGAGGTGGTGGTGGCCGAGGAGGTTATGGAGGCGGTGGTGGCTGTAAGTCATTCTGTTCCCGACTGCGCTGACTCCCCTTAGACGGTGGCGGTGGTCAAGGTGGATATGGCGGCGGTGGCTATGGTGGCCAGCAAGGTGGTGGCGGCTACTCTGGCGGCTGTGAGCATTTTTTTTCCCATTGTTATAGTACAGTGCTCAAGGCAGACGGCGGTCAAGGTGGCTATAGTGGCGGTGCCAGTGGCGGCTACGGTGGTCAACAAGGTTATGGCGGCCAACAAAGCTACGGCGGTGGCCAGGGTAATTGTGGGTCGGTTTGCATCAAAGCCCCGCTGATGAACAGACGGCGCTGCTCCTGCTGCCCAAGGCTCAGGCGACTACGCCCAAGGTGGTGAGCTTGATGTTTTCCTTTTGATTCTGCGGGCTCTCTCTGATCATGTGCTCCATTGCGTTTGCGATTCTATCCCTTGCCTATCCTGTTCACTCCCACATTGTTGGCGATCATGCTTGTTACGATTCCGCGCATTGCTTTCTACGATGATCCGGTCAATGTCTCGGCTTTTTTAAATTCTACCGCTACTTGTCGACTCTCCGGTCATGCTCGGGGGAACTCATCATATCTGCCCTCGCTCAATGCTTCGTCACTTTTGATGGGCCTCCCGTTTCGTGTCGCTCGACTCTCTCCGGTCTCTTCCTCACTGTCCACCCTGTGCGGTCTTTATGGATGTGTCTCCATTCGTTCGTGGTGTCGCTCGATACGTTTTTACGTGGGCGGATGTCTCAACGCAGGTACGGGATATGGTGCGCAAGGCTATAGTAGTCAACCGTATGGGCAACAGAGTTATGGCGGTGCTTCTCTTCTTTCTTTCTGCTCCATGTCTACACATGTTGATATGCCTCGCTTCGCTCTCAGACGTGACAGAGTGAGTGTGCATGGCTGACCACCAGGAGCTCAAAGCAACCAATACGGCTCTGGTTCCGGCCAGTACTAAGCCATTCCTTCCACTTTCCGTGTAACCAAAGCCCCTCTCCTTCCCCCCCTTTTTCCCATCTTGCGACAAAAATAATCCCACCCGAATCGACGAGACCGACGGCCTGAGCATTATTCATCTTTTCATTCGTTGTGGGAACAATGAGGCGCCTTCGTAAATCTGCTAGTGTGAATGAATCCGTTTGACCGTTGATTGTTGGATCGTTGGACTTGCTTGCTGATTTCTGAGCAAACTGACCGATCGACCGACCGTCAAGCTCGAATCATTGGCCATGGGTATGATCGAACGTTGTCGATTAATTTCAAAGACTGATCGACTACTCTCCATCCTCTCAACTTCACATGACCAAACGATGTATGATCTAAACAATGACGAGAGAACGTACTGACGAAGTTGATTGTCTTAGGCTAGGGGATTCGAACCATTCGTCATGGGAATGACATCGTAAAGAGGATTCATATATATGAATGGTCTAGTCCGATCATCTTCCCCTTCATTCCTCTCGTTGTGTGAACTACTTTCCTTCATTCTTCTT